CCTTATTCAGGAAACGAAATCTCGCACAAGCGAGAAGAAAGAGTCTGTGTCGCGACGAGGTTTTTTGTTAATTCTAGTTTCGTCGCGCGGTGACGTAAACGATGAACTTCCTGCGAGAAAGATACCGGTCGGCCTCTGAAATGGAAATCGCGCGTATACATTATTTATAGAATTATGTAAGGCCGTTTTTCTGTTCCAGACCGATTCGCGCGCGAATACGAGATCTTTCTTTTCTCCTGCGTTATCAGAATTTTCTCTCGTCGCTTCGTGTGCGTAAGTCTCCTCGTTAAATATGCCAGCCGAATTTCTACGATTTGATTCGTGGTTCTTTTTTTTTTCATCTCTCGAGCGAATCGTGTCATCTGAAGTTTTCTTTTGAACATTTCGAGACATAAGGATAATAGAAAAATCTTGTTTTGACACGCACGTATCGTTCGATTTTGCTGAGTTGGAAAAAAAAAACAGCACGACTAATTGCAAGTTTATCTTATCCTTATTCGAAAATAAAATTCCACAGTCTCCTTTTTTTTTATTCTTGAAACCTAATTACTAAAATATGTTTTGCGCAGTTATGCAAATGTCCGTCGCCGCTATCGGCGCTTTCACAAAAGGAAGAAGTGTTTCTAATTTTGCTCGGTATCTCGGAGAACAGCCCGGTGTATATTGAGTGACGACGATACTTGTTACTGCGCGGCCTAGACAATCGTTCGCGAAACGATTTCTACAAAAGCTTCGAGCTCAAGAAAGATTTAGCGTCTTAAAAAAAAAGCGGGGCTCGTATAAAGGTTCTTGTCTCGATCGTCGTACTCGCGCGTCGTACACAAAAAGAGTTCCGTTCCTTCATTTTTTTTTCTTTTTTTTCTTTTTTTTTTTTTGTCCGTCCGGCTTTTCCCCGTTCTTTCTTCTTTTGCTCCCCCTTCTTCTTTCCATTCGTACTGTCGTTCGCCAGAAACGGGAAACGCCTAAACTATCGATCGAATTACGTAACTCGCAGGCGGCAAGGGGGGAGGGGGGGACCAGTAATCTCGTTTTTATAACGAACTTCGCCGCGCGCGCTAGTGAAATGTCTCTGGAATCGTTATAGACGTTATGAATTATGGGCTCCTCCGGAACGATCGAAAGCGCGCGGCTCTCAGCAGAAAGTGGATATTGATGCCGATGTTAAGTACCGGCGAGTACTACCGGTAATTACGGTAATGTCGAGAAGTTGATTTTTAGGAGAATATTAATATTTATCGAGTTCAGTGTATACTGTGAAAAAAAATTTTTTTTTTTTTTGTGCGTGTGTAATTTTTAACATTTAACTTTGAGTGAACGAGTCTTATTCTCGATTTTCTTGTAGCTGGATAATCTTTACACTTCTCAGGATCAATAAATCTCTCAGAGCCCTTGATGTATCGATTTTCATATCAATGCTTTTATTCTTCGACGCGCGGAATTTCCAGCTGCGCGCGATAACACGTCGCGTTTCGCTTATCTCTCGCGAGCGCTTTCTTGCTCTCTCGCGAGAACGTCTTAAGTTTCCTGAACCCCGAGACGGGATTGCTGACTTTTTCCGCCTAGATCGGCATATCTAATCTGTTGAAATGTCAAAAAAAAAAATATCTGTGTTACGATAAATCGGTCGATTTTATTTTGTGTGTAAACAATTATTATTTATTTTTTTTTTTTGCATCGAGAAATAACGATTTTGCGAGAAACAAATACTTGAACTGTTTTTGAAAACTAGTGTTTTTTTAATAACGTGACAAATTATTATGAAAATAAAAAAAGTGCAAAGTGTGTATTAGCTTGATTTTTGAAAAACACATCGATTCTCGACACCATTTGCGCGAGCAAATCATCATTACGTCGCCGCCCTTCGATTTTCTCGTAAAACGTTTTTATATTGGATCATACATAACTGAAATAATGTCCGGCCGAATAAATATTTATTGCTCGCCATTACGAATGTAAATTTTTGACGATATTCGTCCGTCGTTTCGCTGCCGTAAAGCGTCTTGGGATCGATCGCGCGCCTGTCATGCTCTCGCGTTTGCTGTACAAAAAAAAAGAAAAAAACGCAACGTGGGGTGAGAGGGAGAGACGGCCAGAACGAGAGACGGACGGAGGGAGATCGACAAATTTGACGAAGCACCCCTTTTCCGCAGGCGGGGTCGTTTCTCTCCTCTAGTTTCTTCCATTTATATTTTTTTTTTTTTTTTTTTTTTTTTACCCGACGAAAGACGAAGCACCGTTATGCACGATAAAAAGTTTAATGTCAGAAGACGTCGCGGGAGGGTGGCGGCGGCGGCGGCGGCGGCGGTCGGTGGTGGTGACGGAGTGGAGGGGAGGGGGTGAAAGTGCCCGAGGATCGTAATGACTCGATATGAAACCCGGGCAGTGCAATTTCTTTCTTCTTCTGCCCTTTCCTCCCACCCCCGCTCGTCTCGACGTCTTCCTCTTTTTTCATCGCAGTATTTCCCCATAAAAGCGCTCCGGCATAATAAAAAGCGTTATATAGCTGGCACTGAAAAGTAACGCGTCTATGCGTCTCTTTTTCCTTCTCCCTCCCCCGCCTCTCTACCCTGTCTCTCTCTCTCTCGCCCTCTCCCTCCCCGCGAGACAGTCTTTACGGCCTTATTTGCGGAGACGTAAAAATCGCGAAAATCAATACGGAACTTCTAACATTAAATATTCAGACTATTGACTGGGCGGGGCCGAGTCAGATGCTCGACGTTTTGCGGACCCCTCCGTTCGGCGACGAAGGGAACGAAAAATTAATAGGAACCTACTAAGGGCTCGACGACGGATTAACGACGGTACACGCGACGAATGTACGCGGGACGTAAATAAAAGAACGGGAAATGAAGTGCGACAAACGAGAGAGCAAAAAATGCGTGCGCCAATATAATACGGATGTGAACGAAGAAGAGACGTTTTTGAACAAAGAAAAATTATCGTCTTTAATAACAGAGTGTCGCAAGTAAAAATCTCTCTAACGTGCGTTTATCATATTTAATAAATCTCTCTTCAGTAGCGTCTATATCTCCGAGGAGGGTGGGAAGAACGATGAGATTCGAAAGCCGAAAGAGCGTGTTTCGCAGGTAAAAAAAGATGTAAGAGAAAATCTTCGCGAGAGAAAATTAAATTTACTGCGACAAAAAAAAAGATGAAAAATGTGTTCGCTGTGTGTGTGTGTGTGTGTGTGTGTGTACGTGTGTAATAATGACTACTGTGCACGTTTCCTCGCGATGGCGCAATCGAGAATTTTTCGCCAGCAATTTAGAAATTCCCGTTATATTTTTTTCTGATCGCGCGCGATGACGTCGCGCCATTAGCGAAACGTCGAAAGAAATCGTCGCAACGCGTCCGGAAATTCCCACGACATTTGGTGCAGGGTCTCGTAGCAATTTACCTAGTCCTTGTTCCGCGTTGCGAAATACGCACGTCGACATCGGCCAATTAGCATACAAAAGAGGCAATTAATCGAAAGCTGTCGCGCGCGCCAACGACACACGGATGACTAAAGTCCCGCTACCGCGTGACCGCTGCTCGAGCGAACGAGAACAGTTGCGATCGGAAATAGGTGCTTAAGATTTTTTCTCCGAGTATAAGTGATAAAACGCGTTACAATTCTTGTTTACAAAAAGTATCGTTATGCGAAAAAAAAAGTCAAAGTTGTAAAAAAGATATACTCCCGGAAATTAATGTGTCGCATAATAAAAAAAAAAAAAGGATAATCGACAATATTACAAATCCATCGATCAGGAAGATATATCGCTCCGTATAAATTTTCATCGGATGAAGAAATCGGTCCCGAAGGGGAGGGGGGGGGAAGGAGAGTTTATAAACGACACGTCGCGAACGAAAATTCTTAAACGACGACGAGGGAAAACCTCATTGACTTTCATGCCAGATATTTACGTCGAGACGCCGCGCCGGTCGGCGGACGGTCTCTCTCGCAAAAATCCCCTCGACGCGCGCGCGGACAGGAATTCATATTTTATCGGGTGACGTTCGATCCGTGCATTACGTTAGTCGTGCCGCTCGTTACGCGCGTCAATGCGACTTCCCGGATAATTCCATTTCGCTGGTAATTAATAATGATCGACGTTGTCGTTGTCGTCGTCGTCGTTGCGGACCGGGAACGGGCGCGCGCGCGCGGTGTCCTTACATTGGCCGCAGCGAAATAAATTGGATCGTGTTACGTAACGTGAAACTAAATGATGATTAACGCGAACTACAAAAACAGGAAAAAAGAAAACAGATAATGTTACATGTTTATGCTAATTGAACGGGTCACCAAATGGCTCAACAATTCGCGGTTCCACGTGTGTCAATTAATGCGAATTAATCAAACGACTTGAAATTGGAACTGTGTATATATATATATATATATGTGCGCGTGATGACTTTTCCGTATGATAATATTGCACAATATTTACCGCGTGGGAGGAAGAGACACAATAAAGTCACCTCCGCGACGGTACGGGATTTAACCCCATGCCGCGGCGCATTACAGCGGTAAAGTCAAAGTCGTACGGAATGTCGTGTGTGGCTCCATATTGCGCAACCTGTCGCAATTAACCCTTGCCTACAATGATTAAATTTGGATAACGTACCTACCGCCACACGGACTCAGTTTGGCCGCGGTAATTAAATGGTGTAATAATTTACGTATTCATATGCCGTTTGTACGGCGCGAGCGCATTTTTCATTAATTGCCTCCTCTTCTCCCCTCGTGTGTACGCGCGCGCGCGCGCGCACGATGAATAGAATAAAATATAATTAAATGTAAAATTTTATGAAAAATTTTATCTTATCAATGTGTGCGCGTGTAATGGTACGGTCGTGTATATAACGTTTCTCTGTTCTGTTTGGCGCGATATTACACGCTGTGTGTGTTAAGTTACAAGTCGCGGCGGTGATTTACTGAACGTTTTATTCCTTTTGCATTTCCGCAAGATAAGATCGCCACATAAATAACTAACAGTTGCATCGACTTCGCATGTTCGCAGGTTGTACTGTCGGCGTGTAGCACGTACTTCGACACGATTCTATCGCAGTACGAGGAGAAGGACCCCATCGTCATCATGCGTGACGTCAAATTCTCAGACATCAAAGTGCTCGTCGAGTTCATGTACAAGGGAGAGATCAACATCGATCACGTGAGTGTTTGTTATCTTCCGCACACACAAACGATCCTCGCTTAACTCGTCGTTTTATCGAGGTTTTTATTTATTTTGTTTGTTTTTTTTTTCTTTGCTTATTTTTTTTATTTTTTATTTTTTTCGAGTAATCCGCTCGAGAAATTTACTCCGACCCGGTAATATATTTAAAGAAGTTTATTTCTCGCGAATATTCGAGTGTAAATACGCGAGAAAAGAGAAAAGCGGAGACACAATTCTGAAATATATATATATATATGTATATTTCAGAGTAAATATTCTTGTACAGCAAGAAAGACATTTTTATGAGATTCTCTCGAGAAAAAGTGAGGAAGATTAATTGCGCGGATCCACGCAATGGTTATTATTACCGCACACATTCGCAAAAAAAAAAAAAAAAACGCAAATTAAATATTGTAGAATCAATAACAATTTTCTCGTTTAGAGATATATATCTTAGATATACATTTCCACAACTCGCGTTGCTCATTAATGTTGGTATTTGCGGCGAGCGCGTTTTATTGCGTCGCCGTGAAATAAAATTGCGTAGTAAAACCGGTGGGACAATAATATTCTCTTCACCGTTTTCTTCAACATTTTTCCAATATAACAACAATTTTTCGCGTAGATAACAGTCAAAGCCGCGCCACGCCGTGTGACGGTTCGCTGTGCCTTAACGAGAGAACTTTACGACGCCTGTTATCCGACAAAAAAATCGACATTTCTCACTTAAACTGATTGCGCGAATTCGAATGCGCCGACACGCATGTCACGACGCAAGACAATACACGTACGCGAAACCACTACTATATTATTGGGCTCGTTGAAGAAGTAAAAATTTTGTCGTCGGAATAACCAATAAGAAAACACATGCAAAATGACATTCGAGTCAAGAGGTCGATAAAAATATAATTTTACATATATTATTGTGACGAATAATAAGAGAGTTTTTTTTTTACATTTTCAAATTCAACACTCATTTCCTTCCTATATTTTTTAAAGTTTTAATCAATGTAAATTATCAGGAAAAATTTTTAAAACGCTTTCACAAAAAAATAATGTAAAAGTATATACATTTGCAGTTAATGTAAAATGGCAGAAATAGAGAGACTGCAGAAATTTTATTTCAATTTTGTACGTTTTGTTATAATATTTTATATAAAATGGTTTATTCTGCATATTGTACACATGTCAATGTGTGTGAGCGTGTATTTTCCACGTACGTGTAAACTGGCAAGGTTTGTACGGTAATAACACAGAGTGTACATTACATTTTGTTAATTGTTTTCTCGTAATCCTTGAGACTTTTTGATCGTGGATTAAAAAGAGCTTTTGCTTGGAGAAAATGTAATAATAAAGCCACAAACACTTCTCGAAAAAAAAATATATATATATATATTTATAACGCTCTGCTCCTTGCGCGCATCCGAGGTTTATTAATTAAAACGAGACGAGTCGTCCATCATCTTACTTTTTTCAATTTTAAGACCGCCCGTGTAATATTTAATAATAATTGCGGGGAAGAGAAAGGACCGGGCCTGAAAGTCACACGAGTCGATTATCACGAAGCTTACTCTTCTCGCTTAATACAAACAGAAGAGAATATTCTTTTCTACAGCAGATCGCTACCATCGTGTTTATAGTCGCGTGTACGAAAATGGCTTTTAGTAAACACCATGACACGCGGCATCCGCGCGAGCATCGTTTTACAGATTGAACATATTGCGCGAGTTTTTTCCGGTCTCTGGTTTCTTTCTTGTAACTTTCTTCAGATTTTTCTAACAAGAACATTTCGGAGTTCATTTTATCTATTGTCTACGTTCCGACACAATTTACGACAGTATCTCATCTCTAATTTAGAAGATTTTCGTACTACTCACGTAGTTTCCCGCGAGTCTTGCGAAATTTGCGAACGATCGCACGCGAATCTTTATCTAAACGTTGTTTCCGAGAGAGGAAAAGAGAATTCTTCCCGAGATTTCTAGTCGTGAGGAAGTGTGCGCGCGCGCGCGCGCGAAGCTTTCACCGTCACGTTTTGTGTCGCGTATAGGCCCAATCAGAGGCTCGCGAAAAATCGCCGAGTGAAAATGCGGGGGCCCGATCCCGGATTGGAGATCGGCCGCGGTGATTTAAGCTCGCGATTGGCGATAAAAGCGGCTGCGAAAGAAGCAGAGGGACGAGGGGGGGTGGAGAGGGGGAAACATGTACACGATTATAAATCAGATTTTTGCGTCACGCTGTTCTTTTTTTTTTCATCCGCGGTCCCTTTTCTTGCGCGCGCGCTGTCTCTCCTTGTTTCTTCGAGAGCGAGCGAGCAAGAGAGAAACGAAAGCGGCGATATTTCTGAAATACATTATTCCGTGGTGGCGACGGCGACGACGCTGACCCACATAGACATTTTTCCAATTCCAGCCGTGCCCGATAGAAAGCCCGATAGAAAGCATTGGTCGTTTGTAGAAAGTTTCCTATATATATTATTTAGCATTCGATTGCTCGCCGCCGCGCCGCGAGCTGACGATGAAAATTAGCAAATAATAATTGAGGGGGAGAGGAGGGGAGAAGGAGGAGGGGAACAACGTTTTGTTGTTGCAACCTCGTTAAACGTGATTTTTCGTCCGATTTGTCGTGCCGAGTTTCTCTGCGTCTGTGCACGTGAGAAACAACACACGCGGTATGCGTATTTTTAACGGCGAAAGGGTCCGAAGAAATTAGCGAGGGAAAACAACGTTGATGAGAATAAACAAGCGAGTCGTGTCGGCGACGCGAAAGTGTAATAAGCCTGTCGTTTGTTTTCATTTTGTCTTCTCTCGCGGTATTTCGCAGTTTTTTTTTTTTTTTTTTTTTTTTTTTTTTGTAAAGAACGTTTATATGCAAAGTAAATAAAAAATCTCCATAATAACGGAGTTGTAATTGATGATAAATTTTTCGGTGTACATCGATTGCCGCAACGTGTGTTTCTAACAAACGACTTGTTAACTACGTGTATGTGTTGATATTGTATCCACATGTGATAGAAAATGTTTCTCTCCGAGAGAACCTTTCGTGAATTTCCGTCTTACGGCGGATGAGTGTAATTGCGGGAAGAATCGGTTTCTCCCGAATGAAAAACTCACTCATTCAAACCAACTTCCGTTCGCTTCACCTTGCTCCGTCCCTTCATGAAGAAGCGTTCTTACACCCCATCGCGTCACGCTTTTTATTAAAATGTCATTACCATGCATTAATGACATCCCGTAATTACCACATTTTAAAACGTTTCACTATTACATTTGCATATTTCTTCCACTTATAGTGAAATTTTAACTTTCATAACTTTATTCTCGAGATGACGACACGTCTCCGTGAATATTTCATTCCGCGGATTTATAAATAAGCGCGCGATTCGCAATTTCTCTCTCTCTCTCTCTTTCTCCTCCAGTTTTTCTCGAGCGGAGTGTTTCACATTGCGGTGTTACACAAGTACGTATCTATTCCGCGCGTTTATACTTTTGTTTCAAGACACCAATAGCAATGAAAAGCGTTTCTCACACTACGTAGTAACAAGTGACATGACGGAAAAAAAAAAAAAAAAAAAAAAAAAAAAAAAAAAAAAAAAAAAAAAAAAAAAAAAAAAAAATGCACGATTTGTCCTTTGTTTTGCGCAGACGAGGTTATCGTCGTTGTTGAAAACAGCCGAAGATCTGCACATCAAAGGTCTCGCGGAAGTGAGCTGGCGCAGCGATTCCACGCAAAACGAGTTGAACAACACCAGTCACAGTCCGGCCGTAGCCACCCCCGGCGTCGAGACGGTGTTGCGAGAAGGCGAGAGTGACGATCCGCCGGTTCCCAAACATAGACGCAGAGGTCGACCGCCTCTGGACGACACGCCGTCGGCTCACGATGTCTTTACACCCAAAATCACATGCATCACCGGAAATGTAAGGGCAATTCAAATTCCTTCTTATCCGTTAACACGTGAGAATCGGTGCGGTTGCGCAGTAGTGCACACACGCGAATTTCCTCGCAAAGGAAAATCACTCTCGGAGCTCTTGGCTTGTAAAAAAAAACATCGGAACGCGATCAAATTCACGTGTTTTCTCGCTCCGCGTTTAAGGAAAATTTTGTACCTTTTTTTTTGCACCTTTCCATACAGAATGGTGTTGTCTGATGTTTCTCTGTCAATTTGTGATTTAAAAACATAAATCTTATGCAAATCTTAAAAAATTGGTAGATACTGTAATTTTATAAGAAATGTTGAAATTAAATTGTTGTTTTTACTTTATCGTTTCTGGATACTACGAAGATAAGTTATCAATATACTAATACCAAAATCGAGATGTCAGAGCGAATCGACAAAAAGCCTTGTTCTCTCATTGCCAATTGCAGTTAAAAATTCAAATATTCGAAACAAAGCTCTAAATTTTAACAACTCGAAATCTTTCTTTCATCTTGGAATATTTGAGCGCAAAGAGATCTAACGTGAAATGTATGACAACCATTTCTTTTGTGAAAAAAAAAAAGAGAAAATCAAAGGGAGAAAATCAATTTTGCACTGCTTTTCGTTGCAACGACACCGACACTTGCAAACATAATTTAGAATACTTAAGCACTTATTACGGGTTGATTCTTGTCGTGAATGTAGAAAATTCGAAAATTTTGTTAGACTCGCGACGGCGGGTATTACACATACGCGGGGGTACCCACGCACGACTCTAATGTGTCTCGTCGAACCTTTTCCCAGGAGGAAATGATGAGCGAAAGCGGGGATCACGAGAGTTGGGACGACGAGGTGATGATGAACGAGAATAACGACACTCCACTACCGGTGGTAAGAGCAATTATTACGATTAGATTTCAATTCTGATTTTTTTTTTTTTTTCAACGCATTTGCCACACATAATTAATTCGTACAGCGATAAAGATAGGAACTGGTGGGGAAAGCGCCTGCTTGGAAAGCGGGAAGTTCCAAGTAATACTTTCCACCGTGGTATTTTTGTAGCGCGACGAAAAATTTTTATGAAATGCGGCGAGTAAAAAAAAAAGGGAATTGATATCAATTTTATTGTAATTATACTTGTGCGACTTACAGTACGATGTTATTATTATTACACATTTGCGTTTACGTCGACTCTTAACGAGTCGTTATTTTTACTTTTAATCATTAACTTAAAAAAAAAAATAAAAAGATCTTTATACCTTTATTTCGTGCATTTCGAGTCTATTGTTTGAGTGGAATTAACGCTTTTATTCGATTTGTAAAACAAATTAAGCTACTTTCTCCCGTTTGATACTGTGACAGATTTAGACTATTCTTCGCGCAGGTATTCCATTCAGCGACTTTAACGATGCCTATTGTGCTTTCTTTCAGCTGTCCTATTTGCCCAAGGAAGAGAGTACGTCTGATCAGGAAAAGAAAGGTAAATTTCGAATTTTTTTCTGCTACTCATCATATACGTTATTTTTTTTCTTTTTATGTTTAATTGATAAATTTTTATTCTTATTATTTCGTTCGTTGATGTTCAAGCGCAGTGAGTGTTGTGAATCATCGGTGTTGAAGAAAAGCGAGAAAATTATCAAGAAATTGCAATTGTTGGGTTCCTTTCTTCAGAACTATTTTTCGCTCGGTTGAAGACGGTTTCGAGAACAATCCTGTAATTTATGTTGAAGATTTATAGGTGGACGATGAAAGTGTTTTTTTAATGTGTTTTGTACTCGTTTACTTGTTATTATTGTTTTCTTATGTTTTAGATTATTAAATTATTTCTGTAAACTCTGTCCGAAGAGCAAATGCATGCGTGGTCTCTACAATTATTATTATTATTATTTAGCTTATATTTATTGTTTTTGTCATTGTTATATCATTATTTCTCGAGTAATGGCGTTATTAATATATATTCAATTTCGTTTGTAATAAACACAATAGGATAAATACTAGAGAGAGATGAAAAGAATAATTTCTAGTATGTTTCAAAAATTAAAATGAAAAATTGAAATAAAAAAAGAGTAATCACAAAATAAAATTTGGATCAAAAATCTTCTAATCAAATCTGTCAGAACAAATTTTGAAAAAAAAAAAAAAAGTTTATTGACGAAACGCCACAACCTAAAAAGTTTTTGTTTTCGCTAAGCTTGGATTGACGATCATTTAATTTGAATTTAACTAAACATTACAGCGACCTGTAACCCGTCAAATTCAAATGCCACAAATCCGTCGATCCCAGAACAATTCCGGGACGTGGTGAAGATGAACGACTACCTGACGACGGGACGTCGACAGGAATTCTGGGAGGAGCCGTTCACAAGACGTGTCATGGACGCCATCAAGAGCAAAGAACTGGAAATGAAGACTGCCGCCGAGATACTCGGCGTCTCCTACGGCACCCTCTACGGCAGATACCGCGACAGTTATGGTTGCCTTAAACACCCGTACAGGTAATGGACGCACACGACAATTGGAAAATCGACCGATTGGAAAATTGTTCCTGCTCCTGAAAAATACTGCTCGCGCTCTCCGCGTTAAAGAAGACTGTACAGTCGAAAAAAAAAAAAAAAAAAAAAATCAGAATAGAATCTAAATTGAAAGTAAATCAGAACCAAATTCAGAAAGCGAAAAATAATACTATAAAAGAAACCAAAGTAAAATCTCGCGAGGGAGTCCCGGTCGGAATAATCGGTAAATGTGATGATAATATGTACAGATAAAAAAACAGAGATAATAACTTCCAGAGTAAGGGATTTTTGGTCTGAACCGGGCCCAGCTGAAGTACTGGCGAAATTACGGCGGAAGGAGATATCGTTGTTTCGAGCCGCCGAGTTCCTCAATGTGACCGTCCATACGCTCGCGACGTACCTGTCGACGCTTCAGGGTCCCGACAGAATCTCTCTCACCGGCGATCTGAGTCCAGCGGCCAGCGGTAGTAGCATCGACGGCAGCAGCAACAACACCGCAACGACGAACGAACCTACCACCACGAACGAAAATAACGAATCTGTAAACGACATTCTGCAGAAGATCAACACGAACGCGGCGACATCGGCGACGCTTACACCGACAACGACGCCCATCAAGCGCGAAGGCGGCGGCTACATCGAAGTGCCGACAACGGTGCCAAAAGCTGCCACTTCCGTGCTTGAAAATAATCCGGACATCACAATTGTGAAGGCGGAGACTATGTGTGTGCGCAAACGCGAATACGCGAAGATGTCTAGTACGGAAAACAACAACGCGAAGCTGATGAGCGGCGGCGCCGTGAGCGAGATCAGTCAGCAACAGCAACAACAGAAAAGCAGCACCGATGCGCTCTCATTAAACAGTGACAGTAGCAAACCCTAACTATTCAGACCTTATCTGACACCTACGTCGAACCATCATCATCATCATCATCACCATCATCGTCATAATCACCATCTACGCAGTGTAGCGCCCAGCGGCTACAGATCCGACCTACAGTGTCCGCGAAATTTCTATTCCAACGTGTTCACCCGCTTTCTTACGAATTTTCATTTGAAGTAGGTAGAAATACTACGTGCTGCTTCGGGCATGTCCGAAACAGCAGCCTTAAGGCCCGTCTATAGATTGTTATATTTGCAAAGACACGAGCGAATCGGATATGATGCGATTCGAAATTCGCGAAAATCTTGTTGGCAATGTCTAATGCTACTAATATATCTTACTGTTCGGGTTGTGTTACACCCGATACGGATTTTTTAATTAGAATTTAATTTTTAAAAAGTCTGTGGTATTTATAACAAGTCGAAGAGAGAAAAACAAATGACACTTTTGCATATAACGATTTGAAACGTAGACAGGCTTTTAGACAATCTTGCGTATGTAACTCACCGCGGATGAACGCGGGTCGTCACTGCGATGACGTGGAGAAGACGAGCTCAATTTAAAAAAAAAAAAAAAAATCGTCGCCGCGCAAAGTATATACATCGCGAATTATGCCGCAAACCGATGGAAGGATCAAGCGTACGTTTCGCTGTGCCTTCGAAGTTCGCGTTTGCGGCGTTCGCGCAATACTTCGCGCACGCGCGGAAAGAGTATTAAACTGTTGCGAAAACCAGCTTTCTCGAGGGATTAAGTATCACAACAGCGCGAGAGAACTCTTCCACTTTTGTTTTCTTTCTTTTTGTTTTTTACTTCAAAAAAAAAAAAAAAAAATCAGTTTGCTTTGAGCCACACATTGGCATTGGCGCGCGCGATGCGTTCGCGCATCTTGGCCTTCGCGAAGAAAAAGAAACAAAGAAGAAGCAAAGAAAAACAAAAGAGAAAACAACAAACGCGTATAATAAAAAAGTTCAATCGAAGTTCCTTTTGAATAACGATGAGATAGAGTGTATTATCGCAACACACAAAAAATGCCTAGACTATTTTCTGCCGCATGTGTCTGTATAGCACGTAAAGAGCGACAATATATTCACCACAAGTAGATTCCATCATAGATAGGATACACACACACCGCAAAGAGATAGAGAGGAAGAGAGAGAGAGAAAGAAAGTTGCGCTCGACTTTTAATACTGTCTGTCAGATCACGGTTCGAAATTCATTTCTATTCAAATCCAATGTTTTATTTGAATTTACACATTTGTGTAAATACACTTGTGATTTTTTTTTATTTTTTTGTTTTTTATTTTTTTTTTTCATTTTTTTAATTTTTTTAAATTTTTTTTTGTCACTCAAGGTCATTTTTAATTAGCGAAGGCTTTGAGATCATTCTAAAAAAAAAAAAAGAGTTACCTAACGTGGACGATAATGACAAGACTGACCGCCGAGTGTGAAAACGATGTAACAAAAACAACCCATAATCATAAGTGTTTCATCATTGGGATTCGATCGTGATCTGACCGGAAAATGTGAACCGAGCTTTCGAACGGAGAATAACGATCCTTTTTTCAATATAGATATTTCTCACGCAATCGTAAGAGGATCGTGGTAAGAACGTGTTTTAGTTGTAGTGTTTCGTACACACGAACATGAGAATTAAAATCATAAAACATGTACTATTGGAAAGAGCATCTATTCGTCACGCAACAACGTAATGGACGCAACACGGAAAAAAAAGGAAGTGTGAGAAAACTGAAAAAATTCCTCCCATAAAACGATGACTGTAAATAATATTCTCACAATAGTTTGTATTTTAAAAAGTATTCAGAAGGCGAGAGAGCGAAAGAAAGAAAGAGAGAGTATTTCGTCAGACTGCATGTATCCAATAGTAAATCGTTTATGATTCAGAAACGTACTTTTGCGATATATGGAAGCCTTAACTTAGAACGTCAGAGTCGTCTATCCGATTACGTTATCAAGTTGCCGACGAAATTCAGTTCTCTTTTCATTCTTACATTGAATCTATGTTATATTTTTATTATTTTTCATTGTTAATATATTAAGTTCTTTTCCATTTAAACGAAATTAATTTACGAATTGTTTTTATATTTATGTGTTATCGGATTTTTTGACGGACGTCGTTTCGAAGAACGGCCGAAATTGATTGTAGCAAAAATTCAGTCTAGAATACTGCGTTATAAATGTTGAAAATTCTTGCGACGACTATCTCGTGAAAATTGATTTTATTTTTGTTGCTCTTTTAACGCTGCACAACACGCGTAGTATGTACTATATAATAAACGTTTTAGTATCGATGTGTTTATTATGTACGTAGACTTTTTTTTTACGGAAGATTACTTTTACTAGTTTTTATTTGAGTCGTGAATGTACATTTATATAGATATTAAGAGCGATTTATATATATATATATATATTTTAAAAGCGAAAAAAAAACATAAACGTCCACGGTGTAAATATCGGTGCAATATATAAAATCCTTTAATATTATTTGGCACGAAAGATCAGAACTATTTTAAAGAAGAAACGCTTAACGTGCAATCACATTTGAATTCGTATTGTAAAAAAAAAATAAAATAAAATAAACACCATGGGAAACGATACGGACGATAGAAATAAATACTGTTACACGCGTTTCCTCCTATTTATGTAACTCGCGATCCTTCCTTAGTTTAATTTTGTCTCATAAGCTTGTACACAGGCGCGGTATTTAAGTTAAACAAATGGAAAGAACACGATACACACACGTACACACACCGCGCTTTATGTAAATATATATTCATATACATATATATATATATATACAATAACCGTACTCTCAACATGAGACACTGACTGGAAATAAGTATTCCTGCTCGCAAAGGTAAAACTAGATAAAGTTAATAGCATAGTAGATGTATCTCCGATGATATTTTTCGATGATATAAGACTTTCATTGCAGTTTGCTTTGACGAGAAAAGAAGATTTGATATATGGGAGGGTACTTGTAAAGTAATCTGAAACACAAGAGCGGAATGAGACCTGCGCGGAGGAGAGATCACTTGGAAAACAGAGCCGGCGCGATTTTGCGCGCCGACGCTTTAACGTTCACACGCCCGCTTTTCTCACTTGTCTCCGTTTTTAAGTTCTTCATGTGAATCACTTCAAATATTGTCATTCCGAAGTGTCAACTGCTTATTAGGAATAAAAAAAAAAATAAAAAAAAAAAAATTAAAAACTAAAAAAATTTGAGATCACGAGAGACGAGCGTGAAGAAGAGAACGACGGGCGTGAAAGCGTCAAAGCCGGTCCAGAAGCAAAATCGCTCCGGAAGAAGCGCGACAACGCTTCTTTCGTCGTCGAAAACTTCAATATGCCGAGCAGGTAGAAACAAAAAAAAATCACAAATGTATCATGAAGCGATGTAAATACGATACTGTATAATATTATTATAGAACAGAAAAAAAACGCGCAATTATTTGTACGCGCATAACAATGAAAAATGTATGTACTTCTCTCTTTCTAAATGGACCCCTCCCCCAAGAGTCGACTGAGTATTGAGATATAAAACCGAAGAAAGCAACAAAAATTAAAAACAAAAAAGGCGTAACGATAGGAGTAGTGTATCGAAGTTCTCGATTAAGTACGAAACGCACTCAAGAGATACACACACCCATACACGACAATTGTACATAAGTTTCGGATTCTGCGAGAGAAAGTATTTCCGGCTAGCCTGTACTGTAAAAGACTTTTATTATTGGAACACGTTAAGCATACTCTTTTTCATCTACTTTGTATATTTAAACAAATGTGTGTATCATTTTCTCGACATCCTCGAAAGAGCAAAGTCGATTACTTTACGAGTGCTCTGGGGATCGATTATTTTTATCTCGTTTACACCTATATGTAGAATTTTTATATATACGCGGTAAAACGCATCTCGCACGTTTATATGTAATAATTTTTATTCGTACGGCATTATCTGGATATTAGCAAGAACAATTTTGTCCCAAAGATTTGCTAATAATAATAATAATAATAATAATAATAATAATAATAACGTTAAGAGTCGTTTTTTCTTTCGCGTGTTAGCAAAAGTCATAAATTTACATCTCGGCTGCTGCGCGTGACCCGAGACGATTTTACGACCTGTCAACTTTTATAGCCGACTCTTTCTTTTCATTTTGCCGTTGCGAGAAGTAAGTTTCCGTTTGCGTGCCAGGAAAAATTTTGGTTGCTAATATCCCAATAATACTGTTCGTTCCGTTGCACGACAAGAAGGAAAACCGGGGGAAAATGATCTGTTCATCCTCATTTAATTTAATGCTTTCTTTTCGTAGAACTCATTTGTGTTTAATTTAATTGCTTATTGCGTAGAACTTCTCATTATGACACTTCTCATTCGACCTTTGTATTACAAGTGAAGCTTAGAGTAACTTTTTTTCCTTTTATACATACGTTTTTTTTTTTTAAATAAAATAAGACTAAGACATACCAAATGAAAAATGTAACGACAAGTTTCGTTAGGTTAGGTTAGTATCTATCGCATATCAAGGAAGCGGAAGTAAAATACATGCGCTCGTACACACTGTATTTGCCTATTGGCATCCGGATATGTCTAGGATGCGCGCGACCACTTTTACTCCAGCGAGAGTATACGACTAGAAGTATTAATATTTAATAATAAAATAATAACATTAATAATAATAATAATCGATATAACAAATTGTACGCAAATGGATGGTCATGTTTTTGAGAATGGTTGAGCCTTGCAACAAAGAGATAATTAAAAAACGATAATGTGAGATAATAAAAAAAATGTTATGCTATCTTACTTTAATTTTATTATTTAAATTAAATAATTTTATATTTATCATGTACATATACCTTTTTTGTTATTGCGCACACTAACTGTTAATCTTTTATTATTATTATATATAAAAGTCCACGTGGAAAAAACTCCTCGGAATATATATGTATATATACACTATATATATATATACTATGTCTGTATATCTGTTTTTTTTTTTTATTTTTTGCTCTTATTTAAAATATGCAAATTTTCCTTTTTCTTTGACGAGCGCGCATTGGGCTTTCGTTGATTGAAGTACAAAACGCATCGTTTCTCAACTCGAATCTTGGATTACAACGCATCGTAAGGACGCATTATAATATGTGCACGTATCACGCCAAATCGCACGCTCGAAGACTGATGACCGTTCATTTGACATATGTATCATATGAAACCACGCACTCGGGTGTGGTGATACTGTTCTCTTTTTTTGCGAGAAAAGGGAATGAAAGAGAGAGAGAGAGAGAGAGAGCGAGAGCGAGAGAGCGAGAGATAGTGTGAGTGTGTGATCACATGGTGCGAGGTGACAGGATAAGACTACATTTTTAGCCTATATTGGCAAAACGACGCGCCGCGCGTCCTGTGAGGACGCGCGCGCGCGCGCGCGGCTGTCGGAACCATGAGACTAAAAACAAAAAAAAAAAAAAGAAAAAACCTTGATATCATTAATATGTGTCGTTTGATATAAAACGAGTGTAAACGCGAAAATAATAATAAGTATCATCGTTTTATACACAACCTAATTAAACAAACAAAAAAAAAAGAATTATTATCTACGTACACTATGTACATTCCTAGTATACACGCTCTTCACTGTCATTACACGTTGCATTACACGCGCATGAAGGAAAAGAAATGAACGCATGGACCTATTATATATATATATATATATACATATATATATATATATACATATATAAATATATATATATATATATATATATATACATATATAAATATATATATATATATATACACATATATATAAATATATTTATAATAATTAATTATATATAGCTATTCCAAAAGAAAGAAAAAACGGACCACCGCCACATCGACGAATGATTAATTAAATTAATGCCGGAGAGAGATTTCGACGACATCCACGCGCGCATTAATTATCATTATCATCATCATCATCATCATCATCCATCATCATTATCACCATCACCACCACCATCATCATCATCATCACCACGGTGTTAACGACAAGTTAGCGTATATATATATATATTTATATATATATATATATATATATATTATTCACGTCGAATACCCGGTTGCGGAGTGTCTCATGTATAACACGGAACAGTCATACCTGTCCCAACCGCCTGCAGTGTAAAGAACGTTTTTTAGCAAGACACATAAGACAACTTGAGAGCGCAATAGAGAGAAAGAAAACAAAATATATGAAAATATAGTTTTACAAGATGGCTTTTACCGGCCGACCCCGTTAGTTTTATACCTGAGACACGGAGAACAAAAATAAAAAGCGATTATAGCCGATAATGGAGAGAGAGAAACGATTCTCTATGTAAAGTTGTAATAACATTCTTTCACACATACATACATACATACATCGAGATGAACGATTATTGTACACACACATACACAACATACGTACGTATTTTTTATGTGCGCGCTCGGACGCGCGCGCACATTTGCAAAGGACAAAATACATATTGTATTACACACGCATTTTCTCGGACTCATTTTTATCTCTCTCAAGACTTTGTACCAAGTTTTTTTTTTTTTTCTTCAACTTGCCAGTCCGACATTTCGAAATTGCAGAGCGCAATTGCCGGAATATCACGAATATCGAGAGAATAAACGCAGCCGACGTCGCGCTTTTCGAAAGCGAAGTGTCAGTCTCCTTAGCCAAAGTTAGTATTTTTTATTTTTTCTTTTTTTTTTATTTTATTTTATTTTAAATCTCTTAGTTCCTCTTCTCTCTTTTATGCATCACTTTCATGTTCCTTTTGTGCCCTCTCCGTCCTACCTCCCTCCACCTCCCTTTTTTCCTTTCTTCGTCTCCCTACACGACACATGTATCTGACACGTTATCATGATTGCTAATTAATTTTTAATTATAATTGCTCTGAGGTATATATAGATATATATATATTTACCTTTAATCATTGTGGTAATTTTTAGACTTAGAAGAACAATATATTTAGCGGATAGAGATTAAAGTATACATATACATAAAAGAAGCGAAGAAATATATATATATATTATATATATATATATATATATATTGATAAAATAATTATTGAAGTCAAAAATTAGAAATCGAGGTCGAGCGCATGCAATGCCGAGAGAGAACGAGACAAATGAGATATTTGCCGTATGTAAAAGGTGTATAACGAACGGCAGAGGACACACATACATATATACACACACGTACACGTAACACATAAAAGCAGCCCCGGGACCGACGCGAACCGTCGACCGAAGAGGTTGCTTCTCGCGGAGAATATTCATTGATTGAACAAAAAGATGAAGAGCAGTAAGTGTAAATGTTTGTAAACAAATTATGAAACATTATTTGTTCAGTGCCTACATATTTACACAGTAATAATAAAGATGAAAGATTAGTGAAATCACTTGAAATTCTTATCAATCTCAGAATCCTCTCTTCTCTCTCTCTCTCTCTCTCTTTTCTACTTCTTTCCAATATAAACTTTCAACCGAAAATTAGAAAACTTAATTTTTTAATTATATTAATTGTTAAAAAAAAGTTTTTAAATATATTATTTTAACAAATATCGAAAAATTTTCGCATTTTGAGCACAGAAGTATAAAGAAGTTTACTTTTTTTTCAGGAATGTGCAGTCACATGATAAGTTACTATCAAGAAACACAATCTGTGCTCAGTTAGTTCCGCACAAATTTTTTATTTTTCTAGTGTATCGTATCGCGCTACTTTCCGCATGTGTGCTCCGTTACTTTTCATATTATAATAATTTCAGAAACGAGTTCGGTGCGGTTTATACACGTCGCACTGTGAATTTATGCAGAAACCAAAAAAAAATCACGTGCGCATTAACCTTTAACCACAAGTTCGGTCATTGACTTCACTCTCTATTTACTTACGTCTACTTCAAAATAATTTTATGCAAACTTTTTCATCAAAAAATAAATTATATTGCCGTTGTGTTTCGTTAAAAATATTCCTTTTGTTTTATTTTATGATAATTTTCTCTTTATTAGTAGCGCAAAATGCAATAAAATATACAAATTTACTTTTTCAATTACCTGTAATTACTAAACCGAAGTAATTTGAAACTCAATAAAAGCTTACAAGTCAGTGAGCACACCTGAGTGATTTTTGTCGCCGTTCAGCGGTAGAAAGATTATTATACGCACGTAAACATTTACCTTTTAACTGGAGGGAAGATTCATTTCCATTTCTTCTCCGATGACGATCGGCTTATAAACATTAACCGGTCAACGTGGCACAAAGAGCGCCGAAACGAAATAATGATGAGTCACGCTTGAACATGGTAGGCTACCGATAAAGAAAGGCACAAGTTCAATTTTCAAACTCAACTATTTATGTGTATAAAATACATATATACACATACACACAATTCAATAACAAAAATAAATATAGAGTAAATAAACATTTAAAATCCTGAAATGCTTAACTTCTTCTAACCTATTTTTTCATGCTCTTGAAAAATCAAACTTTTACAAGTAAAATAAGTATAAAACAACAAATAAAAATGAAATAAACTAAAATAAATATAAAATGACTATGTGAATAAAATGATATACTACTTCCAAGAGAAAAAAGCACGCACACAATCAGAACTCCAGTTTTCTTTTTTCTTTTTATTATCCTTTTGCACGAGACAAAGGCAGTATGAGGTTAGGATTACAAGTCGCTCGTGCGAGCATTCCAGGATTAAGATAAATTTAGATATTATCTTTTTCATATGTCGTTTAAAAAATCCGACCAACCAGAATAAAAACATTCAACCGGATTATGATGCGTCATAATCGCGTGTCTTACCTTCGGGGCGCAGTTTTCAAATGTGCCTATATTTTCGCGAAATTCCCTCTCGACGATCCGATTCCGAGAGAAGAAAAAAAAGACACCGACATTTTCGGCGCGACCGAAAAGACACCGCGAGCATAATAAACACGTCGTAAATAGATCGGCAAATCGATTGAGAGCGACGGCTGTCTTCGCTTTGATCCGGTGCGATCTCGCCGACGACCAGCCCGATTCCGTCCGTATTTCTCGCACAATTGCCGCGCACCGCCCTTCCAGCGTCAGTCCCGCCAATCTTTGTCGTCGGGCCCGAGTCGGCAGCCACTGACGGAGCGAGTTTTCCCACTATCGAAATCTTCGACTTAATGCGAGTCACGCACGCGAGAGATCCTTCGAGAGGCCCGGGCTTCTCTCACTGTCAGTGTTGATCTGCGGCGCTTAACAAGTTGTGGAAAGGAAAGTTGGCGAATTCTATTTTTCGCATCTCGTCCATTCGTACGAACATTCGTCAAAGTCAGGTGATTATCGGTGCGTTCGAGATCGCGAACCGGTGAGAGGAAGATACGTCTGAGTCTGTTCGTAGCGAGAAAAAAATTTCGCGGCTCTGCTCAATTATATATATGTGTGTACGTGTATAAGTATGAGTGTTTCGGAGTGTCATCGTATCGCGCGCACACAGATCATGTTACCAATGTTGCAAGAAAATTCGTTGTTTCCGCTGAACCCCAGCCTGGAGGACGAGATCCGTCGGCTGTTCGACATCAATTACAGGGTGCCGGTACCGACAGGTAGGGAAATAATTACGTAGATTGTTAGATTCTCGCGTCTCCCGATGTCAAGACGCTGTCATTCGATCGTCGAACAATTTTGAAATTAAGCAAGTAATGACTAGATGTTTATTTTCCCTTCAAAAAGAATGATGAAGATCGGGACAGTCTTCGATTAGATATTATTTTATTCGATTAGATTATTTTATTAACGATAGTTTTTATTTTTATTGCGACTTGAAATTTCAGAAAATGTCGAAGAAGCATAACAGAGTTCACTTGGAATGCGTAAGAGAATTTTGAAACGAAATCAAAGAGTTTCATATATCACGCGCAAATAAGAGCCAGATTATGTAGTTATGTGAATTGTGAACAAATTTACTTATGCAGCGCGGAATCGATTGTCTTCCCTATTGTTAATAAGACGATATTTTTTTTTATTGTTGCAAATCGTTTCCTTATCTTTTATCTCCGATCTCGCACGTCGGTCTAATTTGTTATTAACTTGAACAATCGTGCTCTCTCAGTTTGCGTGAAAGCGACATGTGTCTCACGCTGATATTTTCTAACGGGCGTTTACAAAATTATCGCGCGCAAGAAAATCCAACATATATTGAGATTTTTAAATTACGCGAGATAAAAATTTAAGTCATTACTAAAATAACACCAAGACTGAACGTTGTTATTCTGTGCGTGATAACTTCGTCGCTTTGCAATATTTGTGTGTTTATTTAATTTATTTTTACTTCATCTCGTTCATTTCGTGTATTTTTTTCGAATCTTCAACGCAGTAAAATTTCCTGTTAATTCTTGTCTCTTCGTGAAAGAGTCGTCACAAAAAAAAACAAAGCGCGTAAATTTTTTTTCACAACGAAAAAACAGCCGTATTGTGTTTTCGTTGTTTGCGAAGTAACAGAAACGAGCGGCAGTTAAAATCCTCTAATCGCGCGTCGCGCACGTGTGTGCAACTTTTGTAGTTGCCGATGTTTCATCGTCCTTCTACGTGCGTGTAACTTATCTCGGTGTCGAAAAAAAAAGCAGGTCCCGCTGTGCGGGAAGTGTTTATGTCTTTCGGCACCGATTTCCTGATAAGCGAAGTTTTATGACTAATATCGCTCGCGTTCGATAAACAATTTTAATAAGGATTTCCGAGAGCGGATGTGCATGTTTACTTAATCGTATCGAATTACATTCCGGCCTCTTCATCGCAGGATGACTCCGAGATATCCCGAGGCGCCGTCGTGAGATTTTGATTGCCGCGCGTTTATTTCAATATCATATGTTACGTTCGATTTTTTTGGCCATGTCGAGTTCTAATTACACGATGGTGTCGAGTTCTAATTACGCGAAAATTCGAAAAAAAGATGAGATTTTCGGATCTGCAATCGATTTTACATCTCGGCCGATTAGAACTGAATCAAAAGTCAAGATTTAAATACATGCACAAAAGGGTCTTTAGTTTTTCTTCACATCCGTGTGTTATACGAGCGAAGATTCTCCGGCGCGAAGGTCAAGTTTATATTAAATTATCATATTATTGCTTAAATTTAACAAGATTTCAAAGTGAAATGAACAGATTTGCGCGCGAACATATTTCAAGCGTTGAAATATTTTTGTCCGTCAGCAGTGTTTGTTTGCGAGCACTTTGTGAAGGTTGAATAACATTTGGTTTTTTTTCCCCTTCCCCGTTTTTAACGTTTGTTACAGTTGAAGAAGTGATGGCGGACTTTCGGCTCAACGGTCAAGATTACGAGTATTGTCCGGACTTGGACACGGACATGGTCAAACAGAATGTTCCACGACGAAAAAAGAACAAGAAACCCTTGCCTACGGAATGCGTTTTTTGCAGAAATAACGGCGAAGAGGAAATGTATTATCGACAACATTTGCTGAAAGATGTCGACGGACGTGTCTGCTGTCCCGTTCTCAGGTCATTATTTTATTTAATGTGTGAACTCGCCTTTCGGTTCGTTTATTTTCTCTCTTGAGGATTTTTCCAGTAATGCTTGTTTTATTTTCACATTTTTATATTCACTTCACCGAAACTCAACACCTCGCTCGTATAATTTCTGAAACAAAACTCTTCAAAGTTGTTTATACGATTTGATGACAAACACATTTAGAGTTTTATGAGAGAAAACGCGTTCTCGTAAATGCCACTTTTGGTCTTCACCGTCGTAAAGTTTTACGTGTAAGAATCTCTCATGAGAAAAAAAATGTTTTTGGAAAAAAAATGATACTTGATACGACGTTCTTTCGCGTCGATATAATATAGTATATTCCAGGCGTACGGAACAAAATTGTGATGTTTGCTTGACAGGGCGTACACGTGCCCGATCTGCGGGGCATGCGGCGACACGGCACACACAGTCAAGTACTGTCCGCAGGGTCCTTTTAACGCCAACTCCTTGACTGCGGCGAGCGCATTCAAATTCATGAGGAACTCAACGGGCAAGCGTCGCAGCAAGTAAGTGCACTGGACGACACACGGACATCTTTTATGCGCGGGCGACGAAAAATTAAGTATCTTTAAGACAACTAAAATAAACCGGAACGCGTTTCATGAAAGAGATAGAAAAGAAGTTAAACGTCGATATATTTAACAAGTGTCTCGTATTCCCGCAAATACGTTTGAAACTTCGATTCTAAAACGAGATCGACATTTGAACTTGTCAGGTTGAAATTTTACGTTTTGCGCTCAATATATCCTGTATTTTTTCCTACTCATACATACACACACACACATACTTGGATATTCATAATGATATAATTTGTAATTTATCTCCGAATTTATTTGTAATATTCATCGTTTTTAATTTATCCGAATTTCTACCATATTTTTCTCTAATTTGTAATTTATTCCACTTCCCGCACATTCTCCTCCTCCGTGTATTTTATTCTCTTCTCTTATATTCCCGTCCCTTCCCTCTTGTATTTGTAAAATATAATTTATGAATTATATGCGAATCACATCATCAGATGCAAACCGCGTTGAGATCAAATGAACCCTCTCGATTTAGAACTGGAAAGTTTTACGCGTATTTCGAGAGAAAGAGAGAGAGAGAGACACACACACAGAGTCACGTCATCAAGTCAATTTAAGAGAGTAGACGTTTATTGTGATGCACTTCGTGATTTAAGGTATTCTTTGTTCCTATACGCACATTTGTGCCTTTTCCGAGATCTATTTGAAGGAGAAATCGTGTACAAACAAACATTCCTTGCATCCACTGTTTCCGTCTAAACAAAAAAAAAATCATGCTTCTTAATTTGCCTTGACTGCGAAACTTCCCGACTTTTACAGAAGAGAAGCGATCTTAGTGTGTTTCTAAGAGAGCGTCTATATTTTTTGAAGATTTACCTGTTTATACCCTTTCCCCCCTTAACGCGAGGTGATACTTTACAATTGAAAAAAAAAAAAGGGAAATTGTGCCTATTTTAATTTATTTTTTATTTATTTTGTGCATTATTTTTTTGGCACTGTCTACTCGAAAAAGTATACAGTTTTCGAGAAAGAAATTGTCAAATAGATGTGGTTTTTATATTTTACTATATAGTTTAATGAAAAGAGATATATAATACGAATATATAATATGTAATATGAATATATAATATGATATGTAATATGAATATATAATATGAATTTTGTGTAAGAATCAACTGCGCGCGTCTTGTTGTTTGCGTGTTTTTACAACGAATGTGTACTTTGCGAACGTTTTTACTTATTGCCGCATGCGCGATCGGTGTTCGAACATCTTCTCTACATGTGTTTGCGAAATATGTAAATTCGTTGTAAAAGCACGCAGAGCAGAGGTGTGTAGTTGGCTCCGGTACTACAATGTTACAGTCGGTGAAACGGCTTAACGGCGTTGTGTTTATAAATATACTTAGGTAGCGCGGACTGTTGCTTTGCAGATGACAGAGTGTATGTTAGAAGACACGGTTTTTTGCTCTCTTCTTTCCAAAATGTTCTTTAAAACTCGTAGAAGGACGTTCTTTCACGTAATTTTTTTCAAATAATAATAATAATAATGCTGTACATACAATGAAAATGAAAAATAGATATACATAGAGACAATTATATTATTAACTAATTATAAAGATAAGTAATTATAACTTGTTGACGGTAAAGACGGGGCAAGAGAACTGTGTCTGACTTCTTTCGTTTTTTTTTTTTCTTCGCGCGAGTTCACGAACTCTCAAATTCCTTGACTGAATATCTGAACGATTCTTTTCAAATGTTTTTGCACATGATGTAAGAAAACAAATGATTTTGTGATACAATGATACGAGAGTTTTTTTTTTTCTTTCTACATGTTTGTCGATCAGACCTTCCGAGATGAAGATTTTTTTGTTGAGATGTTTATAAAGTCGAAAAATATTTAAGTTTCAAAATGTGTTCTTTTAGTTGTATCCGCGAGACCAAATAATAGAAAGAGAAAGTATATAGATGTAAGTACAAATATATATATATATATATAGAGAGAGAGAATAGATTTATATAGATAATAATTAAAATATAATTCTCTCTTTTCGGTGTTATTTATATACATACATAATTGCTTAATTACACAAATTTCGAGAAATGATTTAAAATTACTTTCATATACGCTCACGTTTACAGTGTGCAATGGTAAATTATAGAATGAATGTTTATTGATTCTCTTAAAGTATTCCAATCTCCTTGAAGAAAGTGTTTATGTTATTTTTTCTTAATCGATTTTTTAGTCACGGCGTTAGGCTAAGAATTCAATGCTGCGGTTTTGCCATACGACAATTAGTCGAGAATGTTGACTTTACACGTTCGAAAATTAATTCTGAATGCGCGCAAGAGATCTCGCGTAATAAAATTAAAAATAACAGTTTGAATTTAATGCGTTCGCAAGTTTCGAGCGTTTTCTCAAAAACGAGAAGTTCGACGGAACTGAATTAAATATTTGTACCACAATATTGCAACACGTGTGCATCTCTGGATATTGAATTATTATAGGAAAAGTTCGTTGATTTTTCTTTTTATATTTCTGCCTTTATACGTATGTATCTGTTATTCTCTCGTGTCTGCTGCTGACTCTTAATCACGAGTGCTTCTATATACTCGGGTTTCGGATTACCATTACGTCATCTCGCGTCTTATGAATTGGTCAGTACTGTACTGCGTACAGCTCTCTGTATTTTGGTCATACATAATAGCAGTATAATACAGTCGGATCTTTGTTCTATAAGCCAATCAAATCTTTGTTGTGCGAGCAAAATGCAGAAGTGAAATCTCAGTCTCATTCGTTTCAGTTGGCTCAAAATTTCGTTTCTACAATTTGATTTTGCGTACGATAAGAACCTTGAAATTTCTCAGCTGCAAGAAAAGCTCGATTCCATTTATTTATACCGAAGTCTCTGTACAAAACATCTTGAAATATGTAAATTATTTAAATCACTTTACGAGTATTGCAGTTTTAACAAATTATCTAGAACTCAGATAGTTTTCAATCTCAATGTGAAGCTACAAGTAGATGTATCTTTGAATAGTAGCGGTGGAAATGCTTTCAAGATTTATTTTACGATCGAAGAGGAATAAGAACAAATATTTTAGGTATTAAGGATGATAGTCTGTGACTTTTGTTTTGCGCTCACATTTATTTAATATATAAAAATATAATGTTTGTTGCAAATTTATAATTAATACTCGGAACCTTCGAACTGCTGTACGTTTTCAACGTAGAACAAAATAGAGTTTCAGTCTGGGAAATCATCGTCAACATCGTTTTTGTCAAAACCTTCGTCAAGTTAACTTCGTGTATCTTCTTCCTCTCGCGTTGATATACCCGACGACACCCATTGTGCGCACGCGCCGCTTTTGTACGTAGATATGTAGATTATGTGTATCTAATGGTATTTACCGGAACTTACAATAGTCGCGCAAGCGTGATTGCCAAAGAGTGAGAGTGGAGGAGAAATTAATTTTTTACCAAGGTCCGTCATTTTTCCGAAAAATTATTTCCACGCGGGACGAAGAGTTGATTGGCTGTAGGACGTAGATCCGATCGACTGACCGCACGCGATTTATATTGAAGTATTCAAAGTCTATCGTTTAATAGTTCGTAAGTTTTACGCCAATAAGTTTTTACTTTTGTAGAATCTCTGTGTTATATTTTGATATGGTATGTGTGTGAATTAAGATTCGCGTCTACAATAGGATAGGCCGTAAAGTAGAACGCGCAAGCAGTAGTGCAATTTTTACGACCATGTCTGTTCACAATGAAGACGACAATTTCTTTATCAAACATCGCGCTATTTTAAAAAATTTAATTCAGATTAAAAAAAAAAAAAAACAAGTATACGCTTGCTTATGCAGGCAGTACCGAAATGGAAATAATTCATTTTACTTGTGGCTACTGCTGCGACCTTCTAAACCGGAAATGGGTATTTTACGACTATTGTTGCGGCCTAAAACTCTTCTATTAAATAGACGAATTTTTTACAGTATTAATACGAGCCAAAGATTACGAGTTATATACGCAGTTTCCATACGAATGCTTGCGTACACTCTATATATATATATACATACCTCCTACTATTCGATTCATAGTAAAACGCCAGATGACGCAATGATAATCCGAAACCCGTGTGTAAGCAGCATCCGCGATTAAGAGTCAGCAGCAGGTGATAACGGCGGTATGTACGAACAAAACATTTCACATGTATACGAGCAGAGATCTTTAAGAGAGGAAGAAAAAAATTCTGTCAGTAAGTGTTTTTTACGCGTTTTAATAATAATTTAACGTTGTCCGTGGTGCGTTTCACAGAATTGTATAAATATGTAACTTCGATTCGAGATTCTATTGTACGATGATGAACTTCGTATCGCTTCCTTTCTCTCCATCTATTTGGAAAATTAAATTTTGTACACTTTTAAAAACTTGTTTCGTTCGCAATTGGAAATCCATAATTTTGCTCGTATTTCGAGTTACGATGCGTTTCGAACGTGTGCAAATCGACATGCTTGAATTTTTTGATGCACGACAATGCCAGCATTCAAATCTTAGCCTGACGCCGTAGCTAAGCAAGTTTATCTTTACGGAGATTTTGACCATAACGACGGAAGTCACGTTGATATCGGTGAGTGTATATAGAAACTTTATTACTCGTGCCAAGTATAGAAGCCAATTGTTCGAAGGTTTACAGGATATCGTTCTAAAATTCCACTTTTTAAAATCTTTTTTGAGATAAAATCTCGAAACATTTCCACTCCTGCTATTCGAAGATGCGCACACTTACAGCTTAACATTGAGATTAAAAAATATCTGAGTTCTGGACAGTTTTGAAACTGTAGTATTTGTAATTTGATTTGCGTTATTCTCGTATGACTCGAGATATTTTGTACAACGATTTGAGTAACTAAAATAAAGCGTTGTGCAAATTACGACTGAAGAGTATCGAGCTTTTTTCTAGCTGAGAAACTTTGTGTGTGCGTGTGTGTGATTATCTTACAGAAGAACGACTTGTAGAGATGCATATAACAAAACTGAAACAAATAAGGCTGAGATTTCATTGCTGCACGCATCGTCATAATACTCATCTTGCCGCTTCTATCCCTTTTATATATTATTTAAGTACATTTGTATAAATAATTTTTGTATTACGCTCAATAATGAATAGAGAATATATATATATATATACACATACATGTATTTTTCAATGTAAGAAGACACTTTATTTTTACCTTTCCTGTATATATCGTAATAAGCGTATTGTCGGTCTTTATTTATAATAACAATGTTATCTGACAACCGTGAAATTCAGTGAAATCACTGCTCTGTGTGTAATATATACTTTCTGTCACTTCATATACACAAAGGGAATCGTTCAATATTGCGTGAGTTGTACATCTTTTGCACAATGTACATATAATAGATCAGTCGGATAATTTAACTCGGCGACGACCTAGTTAAGCAAAAATCTGAATCTTCAAATCAGTGCGAATTAAGTAGAACATTTTTTCTTTGAATATTTTGTCGAGCAAAATTGTGTTGTAATCATTATTTTCTTTAAATTTAATTTTGCGTATAATATACTTGAAGTAATTATTCTAATTTGTACTCTCGAATAAAAATTTAAATGTAACGTTCAAGCATTAAAAATTCTCGTTTCAATATAAAACGTTCTCGCTTTTGGAGCGTTTTATTAAAAATACTTCATCTTTGTAATTTCTGTATTTAATATTGCTTTGATTCGGTTATCGGATAAATATGACATATCCTCTATATTCGAAACAAATTGTCTTTCACGTACGGTAAAGTTATTATTATTTTTTTTTTAATGTAACAAAAAACATTTAATTGAAGTTTTTTATACGAGTAACGCATTGCTCTTTTATGGTTACTAGATAATAAATAAGTCAATATTTTATGTTCAAACAGTTAAACAAAAATTTGTCTTAATTTTATTTTTATTATAAAAATTTATTTTTTTCGCAAATAGATATAACTGTTTTAAATGTTTTTTTCTTGTATAACTTCGTGAGATTATTACGTAATTGATATTTTATTCTGTTTACAGTAAATATATGTCAAATTTCTGTTAATGCATTATTATAATTTATTAAAATTTATGAAAGAAAAAACGTTAATAAACGTTTTTGCAATTGGAATTATTTAAGATTTGTTTTATTCAATTAGAACACATCATTATTTTTATGGAAACTCCGATGATGCACCGCTTTATTATGTTTTACCTTCGAAAATTGGTCGACACAACAAAAGGTAAGCTATTTAGAGTCATATCTGAATCTGGACGTTCCCCATAAGCCGGGAAACACCAGCACATCCTGTATACATAAACGTGGACTCGTGTTAAAAAACGTTCAATAGAGTGCGAGCCGCCGGATAGCATAAACGACTCGTGTCGTCATGTCACGGCCTTACGCGTTGTCGGTGAACGTAGTTGTTGCCGTTGCGATAATGATGATGACAACGATCGATAGCGTATCTTTGGAAGATGCGGGTCGCAATTCCGGTCAGATCGATAGACCGGTTGCTCTTCGAATGAAGAATGACATCGTCGTTCCTCGAAATCCAAACACGCCGTTTGCCGAATCGTCGCGTCTCTTCTTCTTGCATTGGCTCAAGTTCAAACCGAAACTTCGTTATCAAAAACTCGACAAAATCAGCAGCACTACAACGCAGCGAACCAGAGACTGCATCTGCGTGCCGTTCTATCTGTGCGACAACAATCAGACTATCATCGACGACGGCGCGGGAATAATCGACGTGCGGTGAGTTCAAGTTCGCATGAGTTCGATATAATCGATCAGTACTTGAAAATCTAAATTTATCAGTACCGATTCTAATTAAATCGAGAATGTTTCGCGATAATTGCTAGGCAAACTGTATTGCAGCATTGGACAATGTGCGGGAATCTTAGAAATCTGTTGTTATCCGCGAAACGCCACGGGATCTCCGATCGTGACACCCACGACTCTCCCTACAGTACTTCCGACGACAGCAACGACAACAACAACAACAACAACAGTAGCACCGACCACACTTCCACCGGTAGTTTTTCCAACCGGATCGACAAGTCCTCCCGTCACCGGGCCAAATCTGAACTGCATCTGCGTGGATATAGCGCTGTGCGATCCCAACGGGATAGTTTCCATTTCCGGCGAGGGTATAATAGATCCGCGGCAACAATACGGTTTGTGTCCCGGCGCGAATCAGGTCTGTTGCAGGATTCTGATAATCACGCCGCAGCCCACCACAACAACAACAACGACGACGACGACGACAACGCCAGCACCGACAACGACGACCCCCGCACCGACTACGACGACCCCCGCACCGACTACGACGACGCCCGCACCGACTACGATGACACCAACAACGACCACGACGACAATGGCACCGATGACGGTACCGCCTGGACAGACACAACTATGTTTCGTCTGCAACAACACTATTATATGCTTCACGTGCGCAATCATTATCGCGCCCGACGGCAGCGGCATGATAGATCCGAGATTTTCTCAGATCCTCTCGGGAGGAAACATGTGCGCGTTGACAAGCCTGCTGTCCACCTGTCCGGGCACAACCGTCACCCCGATCACGGATCTGCTGGGCCCGTTGAAGAACGAGGGAACTCCGCAGGCTTGTTACTGCGTGAAAACCTGGCTGTGTTCCGAGGGAAGCGCCGTCAGTCCCGACGGTCAGGGCGTAATCGATCCGAGATTCACGGGATGCTCGTCGGCGGACGAAGTGTGCTGTCAGCTCGCGGGGATCAATCTTCAGGGTCTTCGCAGCGCCGGTACTTCCACTCCCAATAGTCCCATGGTGAGCGGACGATCCGATTTCTCTTCCGAGATCACTTGCGGTCTGCAGAACAACACTTACGCACCGCGTATGTAAATTTGTTGTATGTACATTTGCATCATCAGCATGATCGAAGGCGATAATGCGATCGATGATTCTTACAGCGCAACCTTATCCCGCCGAATCCGGAAAAACTTACTTCGCCGAATTTCCCTGGATGGTCGCGCTTCTTCTGAAGCCCGCGAACGGCAGTTCTTACGTTTTCAATTGTGGCGCTTCGATGATCAGCAGCGGGGCCGTTCTCACCGCCGCACATTGCGTTGCAAAGTACTGATGATATTCAAAGTCGAGAAATATAAGAAATGTACACACATTTGTTTGTAACAAATAAGAAATCTCAATTGTTTAATAGTCAAAAACCGGGGGACTTGGTTGCGCGTTTCGGCCAGTGGAACATAGAGAACAACACTCAACCGCTACCTACTCGAGATGCGAACATCATCGAGATAGTCACGCATCCAGTGTACAACAGCGGCGGATTGTTTCACGACGTGGCTGTTCTCGTTCTGGAGAAATCAATTGCTTACAGCGCGAACATCATGCCGATTTGTCTTCCCGAGCAGGGTATGGTCTTTCCGGCAGGAACCAGATGCTACGGCATAGGATGGGGAAGCGATTCGTTCGGTAAGCTTCGAATGGAATTCACAGATCGAATGTTTGTCGATTTTTTTTTTCTGATATCAACGAAAATCGCACTTCTGCTCAGGACCGGAAGGAAAGTATCAAGCCGAACTTCGCAAGGTCGATCTTCCTATTGTCGAGCAAACGGACTGTCAGACGCGTTTGCGAAACACCAAGCTAGGCCCGTATTTTCAACTGCACGGATCGTTTATTTGTGCGGGAGGCGAAGCGAATAGAGATACGTGTCGTGGCGACGGAGGTGGACCTCTGGTTTGTCGAGCCACCACGGGACAATTTTTGCAGGCACGACACACACAGTATTTAAAAAAAATCACATTTTTTAAATTTATATGAGAAAGAGAGTTTTTAAATATAGACAATGAAGAATATAAAAGAAGTAGATCTAGAAAATAAGTAAAAATAGTTAAAAGTTAGATAAGAATTTTTTATTTCAGGCTGGCGTTGTATCCTGGGGCATTGGTTGCGGAGCCTCTAACGTTCCTGCGGTATACGCTAGCGTTTCGCAACATCGTCAATGGATAGATCGGCAACTCGCAACTTACGGTGTTCAGTGAAGCATATTTGATTGTTCTTCTTCGAATAATATATCTTATTTAACTGTCGTTTGTTTGCTTTTGATATACAATGACATAGACGATAATGTGTGTGTGCAGTAATCAATATTGTAATAATAATATTATTTTTTCATATTCTCTCTACACGCTACTATTTAATTCAGTTGATTAATTTGTAATTTATCAAGTTTTTCTCTTCGATTTGCTTGGCGTATTCTCTTTAAGACTAAATAAGTGAAATATTATTTTCTCATCAATACAGCAACATGCGCTATCACAGCATGATAATATTGTGGGAAAGAGCCGAAAGGTCATGTATACACATATCGTGTTCTAGTTAAAATGTCGAAGCAAGTATTTATGTACACGTACATTATTCACACGCACACGGTTTATATACATTATGAATTATTTATATGATCATTATTATTATTAAAATCGAATGTAATCTGTTTTACATAATATGACGCAAATATTTTTAAATAAAAATTTATACACACAAAATATTTTTTAATTTTTATTGCACACTACACATATTTATTTTATAATATATATAATTGTATTTAAATATATAACAAAAACGCTTATTTTTGTATTAAAATTTTTTTATTGTTTGTGTTATATTTTATCGCAAATAATTTAATATATTATTTGATACGTTAATGTATATTTTATTATATTACTTAATAAAATATATATTTAGACACTTAATCAAATCTGTGTGTCTGATGTAACAGTTAATTTGTATTTTGTACCTCTGGAGTCAAGTCTTCCAATAGCCGTGATCGTCTAGTGGTTAGGACCCTACGTTGTGGCCGTAGTAACCCAGGTTCGAATCCTGGTCACGGCAATGTGAAAACATTGTCACGGTGGGAGTTTTTTTTTTCGTTTAATTTTAATCATATAGTATTTTGATTTGTGTTTTGTAAACTAATTATAAAATTTTTTATATTTTAATGTAAATATTAATATTTTACTGACAAAATCAGCTGTCGAACTTGTTCGTAATTTTGATAAAAAAAGTGATCATTTAATCAAATTGATCAACACTTATTTTTGCAAAATTTCTTTTTGCTTAGTAATTATAAATCATTATTATTAACAATATTTCTCACACATGTACATGACAAAAAAGATTATCTTTAATGTTCATATTTTGTCGCGAGTTAAACGTAAAACTTCATAGTAAAATATACTTTTTATTTGCATTTTTATCGATATTAATTTGTATAAAATTTTGTTAAATAAATAATTAAGATTTATAAATAAGTTATTCGCAAATGTTTACCATATCCATTCAGTTCTGTTATCGACTCTCCGGTTAAGTCTTCCAGTAGCCGTGATCGTCTAGTGGTTAGGACCCTACGTTGTGGCCGTAGTAACCCAGGTTCGAATCCTGGTCACGGCAATGTGAAAACATTGTCACGGTGGGAGTTTTTTTTTTAGCTAAATTTATTAATTATTTCTTATTGCGTAGTAATTGTGCAAACTTAAATATATTAATATTTCACATATGTGCGTTTTGTCTCTGAATGTGCAAATCTGTTAAACTCGTATTCACCGTTTCTGACGATACGATGAAATTATAAACATAAACTTTTTTAATTAAAAGCATTGTACATTGTTGCGTGCGTATGTGTGTACGTGTGTGTATGTCTACATATTTCGTAATAAATCTAGATAAGAAAAATTTATATGGATATAAGTTTTTTATTGATACTTTGCGTTAAAGTGCAAGCAGATGCGCTTGATGATATATGCGTCAGCGTTACGACATCAAATTATTTAAAAATATTCCATCAAGTGGAATCATATTTGATCATATTTTTATATAGCAGATATGCGCGTTTTCATGGAAAATAGCAGTAAGAAAATAATTGTTTAAATTATGTGTGTAACATCGTCGTGATTTTCTAAATAACGATTAATTACGATCAGTAATGATATCTTTCGCTAATGAGATATCACGACATGCACACTTGTTGACATCGCGAATAAAACAAACGCAATCCCTAATTCGTCAAAATGTAGAAATTAATTCTTTTACAAGAATCCGTTTAGTGTCTTTATACAATTTGCAAGGTCATTTTGTTTTTTTTTTTTTTTTTTTACTTTCAAAGCGTGAAGTGATAAATCGCGTGATTTGTACTAATTCGCGTTCGATGAAATGACAAATGGTATTTCCGGATTGTCATTTCCGGACAGATATATAGTCGATGAATGAAAAACGCTATTGCGACACTTGCGGACAATACCTGTCGACCAATTACGCGTCACCTGGTTTTGCGTGTAACCGAACGGTAAAGTATGACAATATCCCGACAATATCTCTACGTACGTCATCGATGACGATTAACGCCCGTTTTCATCATCTCCGATTAAATTAATCGGCCAATTATTCCATTGGAATTGCCAATCGCATTAATCGTTTAAAAGAACGAACCAATCACGACTGATATTTAATCGCCGATTAAGTTAATCGGAAATGGTGAAAACGGGCGTAAGTGACACGACCGTGAGTGACCCATTTGCATCGCGCGTGTTTATCTTCTAACAAGAGACGCACAAATCGATATGGATCGTATCTCTCCGCAATAAACACATACACATCTAACAATATAAATTTTTGTTTTACATATATTCTCGTTTTAAATATATCTAACCAAACGTTTTAAATATATCTAACCAAACAAACTTCAATTTGTAGATTTTTATGAGACAGAAACGTGTATTTTTATGACGAGGCAAACCGTAGATTAACGTTTCAGAATGATTTGCAACAATTTTTTCCGTAATTTTTTATGTCAGATCAAAACTTAGATATTCGATGTTATCTTTTTTCTTTCGCGATGTAACTTACGTAAGACGAGGATTATACGAAATATCATCACGCCGTGTCTATCATATTTTATAATAGATTCTGTACGCTCACACACACACACACACACACACACACACATGTTTATTTAAACACACTCGATTTGCTCAACGACCTCAACATCAAAATTGACGATTCCTTCAACGTGTCGAGTACGATATTCGACGTGCGTAGTTAACAATATCGCAACGCTCGCCACACTAAAAAAAAAATATATAAACGATTGTTAAATTTCTTTTTATAATATCGCAACGTTTGCCGTATAAAAAAAAAAAAACATAAACGATTGTTCCTTTTTATGATAAAAACGTGTAGATTTAGCAATTTAAAAATTCAAAAAAAAAAGAAAATATAATTTAATAATAAGAGGAACGCAGAGCCAATATGAGCCTTAACACATATATGTTGGTGTGCAAAATTTCTTGTATCTATTTTTAAAACTTTTAATGTTCCCATCCGACAAGACGGGATCCTCTTCAGAACAAAATATGAATTTCTTGTACAAAAAAGACACAATACAATACAATAGGAATAAAACCTTGGTCAAGATATGATCTAAAAAAATAAACCTTGAATAAACTTTTGCATGAATCTCGCAATCATATCATTACGTTGTGTTAATAAACTCATCGTGTTTACAATTAATGCTGGCATTTTTTATATCACTCTGATAGTTGACGTATCTATGGGGCGTTTTGGGAAATTCCCTCTTTCTTTCTTTCTCTTTCACCACTTGAGGAACTTGATCCGAAATCTGCGTCATGGGAAAGAAAAGTTTTCCCATCCAAGGCCGTTCGAATTGCTCTTTGCTCGAAGCTTCTAGGAAAACAACATTGATTTCAGTTAACACATGGGTGGGAAATGCCAGTTCTCTCGTAAGATCAGAGGAAACTCTTCTGCTAGTAGCAACGACGGTATCTCGCGCAGCGAGAACGACAAAGTGGGGAGAGTCTGTCATAAAGCCGGGAGTAGGAATTCTTGTGGATCTCAGCTAAGTGGAAAGAGATTCGCCCTTCACTCATCGTCGGAGTCGCGCGAATCGGACATCGACTGCTTCGATCATCGACTGCTTCTCGATCATAGACGTTCGTTTGTCTCTTTTCGGTAAGTGTCAAATCAATTTGTTCTTTGTGTCTCGTCGAAACATAAATAATTGCTCTTCCCGAATCTTTCAATTAAAAGTTAAAATTCACTGTACTCTGTACGGAGCGCGTGTTGCTTATTTTTAATGACGGCTAGATTTTGACGATTTAATCAATTAAAATCATGTTTTATTTCACTTTTCGCAAAAAAATCTAATGCAAATAAACGATGTTATCTCTTTCCGTGTGTCGTGTATGTGTGCGTATATATACATATATAGTTTCAGAAGTGTCGCGATTCTGGATTTAATGAAACGCACAATTAACAGTACCGGTTTTTGCGATCGCGTCATCAAACGTTCGTAAAGTAGTAGTGAACCGTTTCGAATACACGTACCGAAAGACGATATAGCGAATGAAATTGTTATGTAACATCCTATCGTGTATTACTTTGAAATGTTCTCTCGCATTATTCGTTCGATTAATGAAATTCAGACAATACTGAGTGCGCTCACAACTGATAAAAAATATCGATACTTTTTTTAATAAATCTTAATAGACATTTTTTAAATATAGCTATTGGATAAAAAAATTCTAGCAACCTCGTAAAATTTCCACGTTCACAGCTTGCAGTTTTTCGGATTACACAGGTCGAGTTTTCTCGAATAATATTATTGTGGTCGTTAAGTGCGCGTCTAATTAATAATTGCGCAAACGTACACATAAAATCGTCACGTACATATAAACCTTCAATGTGTATCTCGCAATCCGACAACTCCGGGAAAGTCCCGGGAAAAAGTTATCAAAACATTTCGCGAAGATTATGTTTTTTCCCTATACACACATCAAACGATAAATGTGTGTAAAAACAAAAAGAAAGAGAAAAACTACGGTATCTCTACAGTATTATTTTTTTAACATATAAGCAAATAGCGTTGTTTTAACGTGATTCATAAGACATGTCGAAACACTTCTGCATTAACTGCGTTTTATAACGATTTGCGTTCTGTTGAATACATGAAAAAATCTTGATTGTTAAATACGCGCGAAGTTGTTTACTCGTTATAGTCTCCGATGATATCGTCGAGACGGTTAAATCGTTTCCCGAGTTGTCGGATTGCCGATGTTAATCGTCGAAAGACGAAGCGGATCTGGAGGATTTTTCACGGTCTGTTGAATCTTGCTTCGTTTCCTTTGATTTTCTGACTCGCATCAGAACAACCGAGAAACATCACCGTGTCATCGTTTATTTTTAGTTAAAGAAAAGGTACCTACCTGGTTTAATGCTTGTGCGGTCGTTATGGGAGAATTTTACGCTTATCGTAAAATCGTTCCGCGACTCTGCAACTTATTTCTCATTTGCGCACGCACTTCCGCACATATTCCCACCTGTACATCGTTTTTTTTTTTTTTGCACTCCTAGACTTGAAAAGCCTTCGGTCTTTCTCGAACCATGTGGCGACCAGTTTCCGCGTTGACCTTGGTCAGCGTAGCCTTGGTGGCGGCGTTGCCCGCGGCGCAGCAAGACGGCGGCCTCAAGAGCCTCGTCAATTCGGCGTTTAATCCCACCACGACCCCGCAATCGGTGCCTCAAATAGACGGCGATGATGTCGACAGATTAATCAAGGAGGTATACAACATCGGCGACGACACTTCCAACCGCGCTGTGACCCTCGGCATTCAAAACACGCCGCCCCCGAAGCCCAACAACTGCGAATGCGTGCCCTATTATCAGTGCAAGAACGGCACGATCGAGGACAAAGGAATCGGCATCATTGATATCAGGTCCGGTTTTGACGATGATAACAATGCGACCCAGGGGTGAGTTCATTAACCAAAGAGTCTCTCGGTCGGTTCTTGATCGGATGGCATGCTGCGGAATTTCTCTGTCCTCCACACACGAGCGTGGGATCGAAAATGTGTATTGATTAGCGCCTTGTCCTGAAGTGGCAAGATCGAGATTTGAGATTTTTTTTTTTAGATATTTTTTATTTTAGATTTTCATAGCGATATATATGTGTGATAATTAGCAGTTGCGGAATAATCGTCGCAACAAATGGTTTGAGTCACACACAGAAAATAATCGTAATGAAAGAAAAGCGCGGAAGCGTTGACGTATTAATGTTGCTGAACTAGAAATGATTTGCGGTTTCTTTGTTACACACGCACCCAGCAAACACAAAGTAACAGTAACGTAACATTAATGTTATAATTTCCCGCTCAATGATGTAACTGCAATGTAACATGCCTTGTACGTACCAGTTACATTGTTGAGTGGGAAATTATAACATTAATGTTACGTAACTGTTACTTCGTGTTTGCTGGGCAGTGACCAGTTTTCGATACAATACTGTTGTCGTAAATAACGATGCAATTGAATATCGACTTCTTTTATTGCTATAATATTCAAAAAAAGTGACATGCTAGTTTTTTTTTGTTATATATTTGATCAATAAATTATATTGATTAAGAACGGGTCAAATACAGCGTAACGCGCTAACCGAATGATTGATTGTTTTTTTCAAGCATGCCGCCTCATTACTCATGTCGCATGAGACTATCTTTGGAAAATGAAGTGCCCTGCAGCTGTGAATTAATTAACTTCCGTCATTAATTTAACAATTATCCGAATTATCTGATCTGGTAATTAACGTATGAACCTATAACAAGGAAACCATTTTTTTTTGTTACTATCTAATAATATTCCTTATCCAGTAATATTCTTTTTTAACGATCTCACAAAAACATTTTATGTGTGATATCATTAACTTTTGCGACTTTCTCAAACATTTTTTTATGTTTTTAAATTTTTTTATGTTTTTAAGTTTGTTCCTAATGTTGTTCCCTCTACTTGCTGTATACTTACGAAAACTAATTGTGTTAAATGTAATCGAGACAAGGATAATTGCGATCCTGAAACGTTTTCACGTGATGTTGTGTATTCAGAGGACTCGGGCCCTGCGAAAACTACTTGGACGTTTGCTGCAAGCCGCCGGATATGCAAACGCCGACCACGCCGACGCCAATCGGCAGAAACGGATGCGGGCAGCGGCATCCTGACGGAGTTGGTTTCAGAATCATCGGCCAGACCGACAACGAGGCTCAGTTCGGCGAATTTCCGTGGATGGTGGCCATTCTGAAGGAAGAACCTATCGGCCCGGACGGAGAGAAATTAAATGTTTATCAGTGCGGCGGAGCTCTTATCCACAGACAAGCCGTACTTACCGCGGCTCACTGCGTTGTTGGGTCAGTGATTGTGTAATCTTTGCCTTTTATGTTGCAATAACAAATCAATTGACGCTAGTCGCAGTTATTAGTTTGTGTAAAATTTATTAAAATATCTGTAGCATAAATGTTATTCGACCCTTAATTTAAAGATCTTCTTCAATACAAATTAAACAAAAACGAATATCTGAAAAAATATTTGTTTTTCTCTAATTTGTACTCGGAAAGTTTTCGAATCAAAAGATCAAAATGTTTACACTTCTTTTTTTTTTTTTTTTTGTTAATTCAGATTTTAATCAATTCTTATCGCACGAATAACTGCGACGGATCTGTATAGTACCAGTTTATTTTAAATTTGATATTTTCGAGAGTTTCGTTAACAATATTGTACTTTTATTTTATCTCATCTAGCAACTGTAATCAGTTTATCACACAAAAGTTTGCTTTGCGATACTCAAAATTAATAAGTAAGGCAAGTAAAATAAAAGAGAATGATCATGTGTCTCATTGGGTTGTCGAGATTGATAGAAAATTTTTAATTTTTAACTTCTATTTTTTTTTTTTTTTTTTTTTATACATGTTAGTATTTTTTCTGAAAGCGTTTTTCGATCAAGCAGGAAGCAACCCCGAGAGCTGAGAATTCGCGCCGGGGAATGGGACACGCAAACGAAGAACGAGATCTATCCTCATCAGGATCGCGACGTTGAGAAAGTCGTCGTTCACAAGGATTTCCATTCGGGCGCGCTCTACAACGATTTTGCCATCCTGATCCTCAAAGATCCGATTGAGTACGCGGAGAATGTGGACATCGTGTGTTTACCGGAATCAAACGCGATCTTCGACACCTCCAAGTGCATAGCCAGCGGATGGGGAAAAGACGTATACGGTAAGCAACATCACGAAGTGAACATCACGATCAGTTGTCACGAGGTTGTTTTCCCGAGGTTGTTTATTAAGAAAATAGATTATCTTTCATTTTTTATGTTTGATCGCAGGCAAAGAAGGACGTTACCAAGTGATCTTGAAGAGAGTGGAGCTTCCTACAGTGCCTCATGATACGTGTGAAAATATCATGCGTACCACCAGGTTGGGAAAATACTTCTCTCTGCACAGGAGCTTCATCTGCGCGGGTGGTAAAGCAGGAAAGGATACTTGCAAGGTAACTTTGAGGAGTTCTTCTTATATTTGTATTTATAAATTATTTTTTTGCACAAATTTATTTACACGACAATTAGAAACTATCACAGTCTATGAAGCCTTCTTTTGATTATTTTTAAAATATATTATTTATTTTTTTCCTCCACTTTATGGATGTGTTATATCTATAACAAATTAAAGATAAACAAATAAAGCAATCTTTTCCGCAGGGCGACGGTGGAAGTCCTCTAATTTGTCCTCTGTTGAACGATCCGAAGAAGTATGTTCAAGTTGGAATTGTGGCCTGGGGACTTGGCTGCGGTGATGACGGAATACCCGGTGTTTATGCCAATATAGCGTACGCTCGCCAATGGATTGACGAGCAAATGACCTTCAACAATTTGGATAACAGCGTCTATCAGTATCCGAACTAATCAGCGCGTTTTGTACGCCCAATATTTTCAGTCGTGCCAAATTGTGCTCTCAGAATCATTTATCAAAGATAATTTGTTTTCGTACTGAATACTTTTTTTTTTTTGTATTAAAATAATTTTGTACTTCAATGGAAAGTGATGTTCGACAAGCTGTATGTTGACTTAATACTCAAACAAAATAGAGTAAGATTCAGCGAATCTCCTTAGTGTTAAGAAAATCACGTTGCATTTTGTGTTACACTTCACAATTTGAATTCCGTTTTTATAAAAGTTTGTTGAAATGATTGTAGATTTATATTTTACACAAATAAGCAAACAGTCAATGAATTTTGTCACAAGCAAGCAATCAATGTAGCTTATATTTTATATGTGCGATATAATAAATATACATTTTTATTATTTAAAAAAAAAAAATTGTTCCAAAATATTCAATTGTACTATAATGTTCTTCCGTAAGTAGCAGCAATTTTATTATACAGGAGGAAAGTGTTAACATCTCTTGTTTCAAAATTTAACAATCTCTAACAGTAACTCAATGTAATTAATATCTATGTAATTTTTCGAAATTGATTTTGATCAAATTTTCACTTTTTTTTCTTCTTTTGGCGCAATAGAAAACTTAACAAAAAGTGAAATCTATTTCGAGCTGTATCGATTCCGAAAACTTACTTTGACAGTCAAGATAAGTTTTGTCGAGATTTTGTCAAACGGTCACAAAAAAAAAAAATTCAAATTAAACTGCAAAATTTATTTTCAAGATTGTTGACGGAATTGTGGAGACAGAAAGACAAAAAACCGGTTTTCAAAAGTCAATTGGCAAATTGACGCAAAGATCTTTACGTCTCAATATTAATTTGTTTACTAAACAAAGTTTTTAAGACCTCAAAAGTAATTTACATTATTGTTTTCAAAGAATAAATTAATTATTCTTGAGTTCGTAAAAACGTTCGGTAAAAACTATTTTAGTAAAAACTACGTTTAGTAAAAACAATTCAACTGATCTCAACAAAACCTAGCAACTTGTTATATTTATCTTGAGATAATGATAGTATGACGCTTTGTTTACAATGCGTATAACATATATATAGTTTAAAAAAAAAACACTGTTTATCTGATTCAGATCTTTAGAACGAGTAAGATAATTTTCTTATGTCAGGGTGGCACTTACAATCACAGAATTAGACACACCTATCTTGACACGATATGAATAATTATTACGTTGTTACGTGATACATGTTATTTTTTTGTTTTTTGTGTATTCGATGAAGTTTTCTTCTTCATCGTATATACATAACATTTTTTATCTTCATTAATATTAATAAATGAGCAAACTGATCTATTACGCGTCTAGTATGCTTTACGTTATAATAAAAAATTGAGAGATAGCTGTGTTTAAAGCTGCATTGTAGCGATCATCGGAAATTCAACAGAACGACGTTTGTTTTATAAATAAAACCTCATGCGGGCGTAAGACATTTTCACTAATTTGTTCAAAGTTACACAAATTTTTTATTTATTTATACTGAATACGTATTTTCAATCGGAATTAGAGCAAATTTTCACTATTACTAGTTTCGCAAAAATATGGGCGTGTGCAAATTAGTGTCTTGATTTTTTCGAAGTATTTTAACAGTAATAATGTCCAATCTCTCAGAATTCTTCTCAGATGTTCTTTCTTATTTCATATAACTTTTCAATTTCGCAATGCAATTCTCTGCATTTGTGTGTTCAGATTGCGTTGCCTACTCTATTTATCAGAAAATTATCTCTGGTTTCATAAAAAATCTCATAAAAAAACCGAGTAATCTCAATCGTGGCAACCTTATTGGAAAAAACCAGATTAATACTACTTCACGATAAATAATTATCGTGAAGTAGTATTAATCTGATTTTTTTACAGTCCGTATAAAAACACAAAGTTGTAAAACTCAACATCTTTATCTCGTACGATCTTGATTTTGAAATGAGCAGAATTTGTTTCTCACGTAACGATAGCAGATTTGTTGATTTAAAAAAAAAATTACCTTGCTATAATAATTTATTATTAAATTACTGACTTTAAGTTGCGGCAATAATATTGTAACAATTTATTGTGAACTTTCTTTTTGAAAGAAACAAAATGCGATCGCTGTAAACGAAACGCTGATCATTAACATACGGAGGGTTTACGGCGCACAATTGCATTTTTTGTTTTATAAAACTAGTTCTATAAACTTGCGAAATAAAATATAACATACGCATGTATGGACGTATATATACGTCCGAGGGTGTATATATATACGTTCTTCGAAGCGAAAGGCGTTTCTCGATACCTTGTCCGATTTGACAGTAACAACGTTGGTCGAATCTAATAGTAGTAAGCGCGAGATTTTTTGTGTTGCTTCAGTATAATCCAATAGTGTTTTTGACGTGATCGAATCGCTTCCAGAACGATTGATGTTATACGTTACGTCGGTAAATCGAGCGATAAATGTGATCGATCGACTTGTCATCAAACTGACGTCATTAATTGCTTCGGAAGCGGTTCAATCTATATCTCTGGTCGGAAAAGCTATTAAATTATGCGTTGAATATTGTAAACTTTACCCATTGTTATATCTCATGACTCAGGCGTTAGTTTTTCTTATAAATCAAGTTTTTTTTTATCCTATATGCATATCATTTATTCGTCTTTATCATCGCTTATAAATAAGAAGACCGATCAATTGAGCGTTTAGTTTCTGTTGCACGCTCAGTCAAAGCTCAGAAGATGGCTCGTCTAAGCTACATCATGGCGATTGTTAGTGTCGCGTTGCTGTGCGTGGTTGCGCAGGAACTTTACACCGATAAATTCGACTCCATCGATATCGGAGCACTTCTAGAAAACGACATGGAACGAGAGAAACAGTACAAGTGTATGATGGACGAAGGCCCATGCGAGACAGATTCGCAAAAGTTTTTCAAAAGTATGCACATCTTCATTTATATACACTTCACTTGTAAATACGTATTTCAACCAGAGACATTAAATTTTTTTTAGAGAGAGAAAGATACATAAACTTTTATCGATATCACACGGACGCTAGTTTTTTGTAGAAATATTACAAAACAATGTCTTTTCAACTTTTTTAAATTTAACATACAAACTCGCTCCCAAGTTTTTATAGATGCTCTTTTTTTACATATACGTAACGATTACAATTGCTCTAATTGCCATTGCTTTTATATTGTCGCTACAATTGGTAACATCAAAATATGATAAAATATAAATTAGAATCGAATATCATACTTTTACTTCTTCATTTATAGCGGCTCTACTCGAGGTCCTGAAAGTCGGTTGCGGAAAATGCACTGAGGTACAAAAAAGTAACGTTAAACTTACTACGGAATGGTACGAAAAGAATAAACCGGAAGACTGGAAGCGTCTTGTTGCGAAGGCAAAAGCGTCTTAATTGTTGATTGACCACGAGTGATAGTCACGAGATACTACACGATACGCGCTTCATTAATCTCTTTGGCATTCCTTGAAAAAAAAATGCTGCAATTATTACTATAATTAATAGATATACTATAGTAACTAATGTTATAGTGGTGAAAGGATTTTTGTAAAAGAAATTTGTTACACAGCATTTTATATATTATACATATATATGTATATGTACAAATATACGTGCATTGTTATTAAATACTTGTAATTAAGTTATCGACTCCATTTCTTACAAAGTTGTGTACATATTATTATTTCTTCTTTTTTATTGTCTTGATCCATTCGGATTGCAATTCACGTAACATTTGTGGAGTTAGAATTCCGTCGGATATTAATCTCTCAGTCAATTTGCCCTTGCCTATATTTCGTCTACCAAAATCTTGACCTACAAAATAAAATATATTACCCAATTAATTTATTATATATGCGCACGAAAAGATTTTTGTTTTCTATACACAAAGAAAATTTATACCTTTGTAAAAGTTGTGCTTCTGTGTTTGCAATTCAAAGTTATCGCTTTCCCCGTCTAAATGATGAAAACAAATTTATACATCAATATTCTTTTCTCAGCAAACATAAAAAACTCAATAAGAATGTCAAGTTTCATAATTGTTTCTGTGTATTTATTATAAAATACACGCGTAAAATCTCAAATAAAACAAATTTATACTAAAACGGGAATTAGATTTTCGAAAGAATCGCATTTACCTCCGCCGGAGTTTGACAACAACACTGTTAATCTAACTATTCCTTCTTCTATAAGCGCATCGAGTTCTTTCTGCACGTCACGCACCATCTCAGCATCCGGAAACAGATCCATAAAACGGTAACTAAAAGATAATAAAATTGCAGTGTGCGATATAAAATAAGAAAAAGCAAAGCGTATAATCATATCTCGTAAAAAAAAAACACTCAATAATTGGCACTTTAAAGAGTTAATTTTTTTCCAAGAACACGAGCTAAAAAATTCTAAGACAACGTTTGTTATAAAAAATCCAAATTAATTATACGTCGAGTAAGATAATTGGTAACTAAGAAAAAATCAATAAGTGCCAATCATTGGAGAGAGAGAGAGAGAGTTGCTAGCTATAGGTTCGGTTATTCTACCTCAGCCATAGATAAAGATCTAAAACGTCGAATACGCTCTCCAAATGAACGAGATCGAGAAGAGTCTTTGGTTGCGTAAACGGCCATCCAATATGTTGGCACAACCAGTTGAACGTTATTGCATCGTTTTTACTGTATTGACGTGCAAACTAAAAAAATGCGTTTATATTATTTTTTACTAGATCGAACAGATCGTGTCGCGATAACACAGAAATGTATTGTACCTTCAAGAACATGGTGCACACATACGGCAATTTTCTGTTGATCGGTGCGCAACAAAATACGTATCTCGCACGTAAGGGCAATTTGACGTGCTGTATCATATCAGCTAAGAACTTGAAGTCATCCAAGTTGCACATAAAGTACAGCGAATCATCGACTGTACACAGTGATACGAAAATATCCTGAAGTCAATGTCACAAATAGCGCGTGATTGTTTGCGACTGTATAATCGCAGTTTGTTTATTCACTGCGGATCTTTACATAGACCTACCATAAGATTTGACAATGTTGAATTTGGCAAGTGATAAGCGTACAATTCAATTTGATCCGCTGTTGGATGAAGGCCAGCTTGTGTTATTGTTTCCGGCATTTGGCTCAATAAATTCTTCAAAGTTGACAGATCCTCTCGTTTGTACGTCGTTACATAACCCTGCAACGCGTATTCAATAAGGAGAGCTTGCGAATTCGAGTCTCTTCTTCTTTTATAAAATTATTTCATCACTAGTGAAACAAAGTGAAGATTTACGCCTACCGTTTCCCAAGATGTGCCGTAACGTCCAGCACGACCAGCTATTTGCAGAGCTGATGACACAGACATAACATCCATTTCTTTTTCGCCTTTTTCATTAATTGTCGGCTGAATCAACGAGTAAAATATGATTCTCCGTATGTGTCTGTGAAAAATATGTAACAAATCTGAGAAGAGATGTCTCTTTCGCAAGTTCATATATATCATCATTCAAAACTGTGAAACACATAATATGCACATGTTTAATGTATGTGTTTGTTTATGCGCGCACAACTTACAAATTTAAACCCATTCCAATAGCGTTAGTCGCCACCATAACTTTGCAAGAATTGTTTGGATCATTAAATTTTGCGGCCTGTGCCAATTTGGTACCTGGTGGTAAGCTGCCGTATATTACAGCCACTTCTTTTCCTCTACTTTCGAGGGAACGCGACACTGTGTATATGTCGTTTTTGTTAAAACAGACTACGCAATCTCCCGGTCTGACATTGTTGAGAGAACCGAGCGCCTCATTTTCTATCTCCAAATCTGTTAATCGCTTATATCTGCGAACTTCCACATCTTCGCCCGCTGTGACGCATATGGATTTTACCTGTGAAAGTGTGACTTTCAGTTAGCGGAAGTTACTTTTTCGCATACAATCTGCGCAATTGTGATTGAATAAAGAAAAAAAACACAAGACGTACCAAATCAATAGCAGCAGCTTCGCCACACAGGTGTATTTCATCTGCTGGTATTCCTAAGAGAGCTCTCGTCCACGCCCAGCCTCTGTGGTGATCACGCATCAATTGAATCTCATCGATTACAGCTACCTCGTAATTGTTTTGTAGATTCACCATTTCTACGGAACAGGATAAGTGATTTGCGGGAGAGTCGGGATTTTTAATAAATTTCCGTTCCTCTCCGGTTAAAAGATCACACGGAGTCCCTCTCTGATTGCATTTGTGAAATACTTCAGCTACTAATAGTTTCAAGGGTGCGCAATACACGCCGCTTCTTGCATTGATAAACCTCTCTAAAGCGTGATGAGTCTTTCCACTGTTGGTTGGTCCAGCGTGAAAGACTATTTTCCTATTTTTTGACCTCGCCAAAGGATACCTGACAATACAAAACAACAAGCTAGAAAATTTTCTTTTCTTTATATCAGTACACAATTAGTGATTTTCTAGGAAAAAATCTAAGCGAGAGATACACTAAGATATACTAATTTACGTAATTTTTACCAAGTAGCGGGATTTCGCAGATCGCTGATCTTTTTCAAATCATCCAAGCAATCGATGTGCGGAAATATCTGCTTGACGTGACGTATAAAATACGGAAAAATATCGGTGACATTTCCAGCACCTTGAAGAATATCGCTCATTATCACATGAAGATCCACAGGTAATGATTCAGTTTTTAAACAATATTCCCTGAAGTTCATAAATGCCTGTCCTTGGAGAGAGCCTGAAATCAACATTATATACTCAATATATATTGACAAATATACATCTCTTTAACATATTTAATTGCAACACGCACTGTCTAATCCGTGTTCTTTAGCTAGTTCCCTGATCTCTTCCTTCCTAGAAAAGGCGTTCAATATTTTCAGAAGATCTGTTTTCTTAATTATAGATCCAGTCAACTCAGCTCCGACGTTTATGTCATCAGGACTCGGTTTGATGGGTACGGGATGAAACAGAGACTCCGGTGTGTTAGAACTACTGTCACTTTTCTTCCCTCTACATGGCTGAACACAACTTGCGCCAAGAGCTGTAGGTCTATGTGCGACGATACGAATATAAACAAACATTTTGATCATATATAATATTTGTGTTCATTATAATACAATATTTATCTCTACGTTACCTTCGTGCAATTTTCAATGTCAACAATGCGCTTCTTCGCATCATTTGTTCCAACGTCGCGCACTTTGTAACTATCATCTTTTGAGACGTACAGACACGTTTTTATTGCTAAAATACTACTTGAGAATAAAAAACATTTGCAACGCAATCTTATCTAACCAAGAGGGACACGCATGTGCACATGTGACAGACTTTTGAAATTTCATCACGTTTCTCGGATTAGTTTTACCAGAGAGAAGACTGAGAGCGGCCATGTGAACATCTGTAATAACTTTTCCGCTTTGTAAATCAGCGCTATGTTCACAGGTGGTGCACATTGGCACCTACGTAGCCATGTCGACGAGCGACTAGTCGGTGTGTGCGTACGCTATGTCCAAACGTGGACGTGGTTCTATTCCGTGCTATATTCACAGCGTGCGGTTCTATTCTGTTCCCATTTTGAAAAGTTCGAACTAATAACACAACAACGATATGTGAATTTAAAGCCCGTTCTACATTGATCGCAAACACAAGATATAGATCTCGTAGAATTGACCAATCACGCTGATCAATTGGCTGATTTGATCAATACGATTAGTCAATTCTACCAGACCTATTTCTTGCGTTTGCGCTTGCGATCAATGTAGAACGAGCTTAATGTAGAACAGGCTTAACCGTTCGAGATGTGATCTCAACATTTCAGAATGGAAACAGCATAGAACCGCACGCTGTGAACATAGCGCGGGATAGAACCATGCCCATGTTTGGACATAGCGTACGCACGCACCGACCAGTCGCTCGTGAACATGGCTACGTAGTTGTCAATGTGCACCACCCATGGACATTGCGCTGGCTTAACGAAAAAGCGATTGATGTGATTACACATTCTCTAAAATCTTTTATGAACCTGGCCGCTCTCAGGCTGCGTTCGGGGAGCACGCTATCAGCGCTATTGCATCATTCTATCTTTGTTTTACATCTAATGAGCAATAAAGATTGAACGATGCAATACTGAGCCACAACAGCACCAAACCACCAACCTTGAACGATGCAATAGTGCTGATAGCGCGCTCCCCGAACGCATCCTCAGTTTTCTCTCCGTCCGTAACAGATCGACCGCGATTGATCGACTCCGTTAATCTCGAAATTATCTAGACGCGTGCGCACGTTATCGATATATTTTTTTACATCGAAGTTTAAAATATCGATATCTTCCCACGAGTATCATGCACGTATAAATCCCCCGTTTTTGCACGACAAAAGTCATCTCGTTGTTCTCGCGAGACAAACGTAAATAATATTTTAATTTAATTTGAATACAGTAGTAATTTTCGCTCTTCTTGACGAAAAGTGCGCAATAAGACGGAAACATTAACGTTAACACTAACATACGTGCGTGCAACAAAGTAATCTCTGAGAGAGAGAGAAAAATATTTGTTAGTTTGCGTTAAAAAATTTTCGCAAAATTTCATATTCGCGCGCGCCGTGAAAAAGAACACGGTTTTTTAGGATCCGTCAATTTCACAAATCGAAATGCACGAGATTTTTGCGGAAGACGACATCCCGACGAAGTCGGAGCTTCGTCAACAACTTGGAGTTTCGCTGACGCAAGTGCTCGTCGATTACAGTCATGACGATGTGAAAAACTTGTTAGGATCTTCGGTGAGACAATCGTTTGACGCGACAACACCGCGATCGGACATCGACGACGAGATGTGGCCAGAGAAACATAAAGTTCTCAAGTCGCATGTGCATCATGACATTTTAGGTGCGATTGACACAACAACATTTGCACGAGCACGATTACTACGTTTAATCACCTTGTAACATAAATAATTTATTTAAAAGTCTTTCTTCAGCTTTGGGCGAGAAAGAGTTAAAACAGTTTCGAACCCGCGTCGAGGACGCGACGACGATCAGACTCAGAGACGAGTTTGCCGAGAAGTATCACATGTTCGAGGCGGAAAAGAGATTCGCCATCGAACGTAACGCGAATGAGATTCACGCCAGATACGCGGAATTGTTCAAGGCCGCTCAGGAGGAGTTGCGGGAGAAGCTGCGGGTAAATAATATTAGAGTCATATTTCTTTCCGCTTTTGTTACAAATGACGTGCTTGATACTATTGTGATATAATCCGTCCGAAAACTACACGACAGATCGACTGGGCGGACACGGAGGCTAAACACAAGAAGGAACTGCAGAAAGCTATCGTGAGAGCGCGAATGGATACGACGCACGAGGTGCTTAGAAGAATGCGGCCTCAAATATTCCACGTTATCGCAAACCTGTACAACGATCTCGAACTGTCTTATCGCTCGAAGAGAGAGAGAATGATCGCCGACTTCAATCAAATCATGAGGTATTCACGTGTAATGCTTACACTTTACGTAATTTCAAATATATAACGAATAGAAGAATAATAATTTTTTTAAACAAGATACACTATATAACACCTCGCACTTTTACGCCTCTCTTTTACTTCAAAAAAAAAAAAAAAAAAAGAAAGCACTATACCGAGATGGATGCGAAAATCGCGAAAGTTGAGAGCGAAAAAGTGAAGGAGTTGCGTGTTCAACGTCGCGAACTCGAGATGCGAAATATCACAAATATCATTTATCTCGTTTGCGCGGAGAGATTGCACTGCGATTTGCAAACGGAGGCGTTGTGCAAATACTTCGAGGTAAATTACGGATATCGATATCGAATTTTTTTTCACGATGTGTGCGATATTTACAAACATCTGAAACATTCAAATCGCACAAATTCGCAGAATCGAATTGAATCTCTGTACGAGCACATTGCCGAGCAAAACGAAATTATATGGGCGATGAGAGATGGGATCGCGGAGCAACGCGACAAGAACGCGAAACTTCGAGAAAAAATCGTTCTTATTACCGAGGAGTTTCGGAAATTCATCAATTTCGCGCTCGACAGCGTGCCGGAACACGCCGACTTCTTGTTGCCGTCAGACTTGTCTAGCGCGGACGAAGAAGTCGCGGAGCAAGAAAAGAATCGATAGATAAAGAGACGAGATATATGTATATTTATCGCAAGAAGAAAAATTATTAAAGAAAGTGATGAGATATTGTGTGAAAACACATGTGCGCACATCTCGTGAGACGATTGTTACAATGCATTTACAGCGTGGTATAATTGTTTCTCGTAAAAATTGCAGTTATATATACATCAAACACACATAGCAACAAATTGGGGAATCAGAATCATCGACTGATCGCGCGATAAACAGACTAAGATTTGTTTTTTTCCGGCGTTCTGTAACAGAAAAACGTATGTATGTTGCAAATCCTCCCGTCTATAAATAATTAATATGTCAACAGTTCGTTGAAATTCCGGGCGTTCTTTGTTTGACAACCGCGATACCACTTCGGATCCCGCAGCAGATTGAAGGTGCGCTGATAAAATTGCGCGATCATTACAGACTTCAGACCCAGTTTACTCGGCGGGACGGGAGGAAAATCGCCGAGGCGCCAACCGTACGTCCAGTTCTGGGAGTCGGGAAAGTAGTAACGCTTTTCCGGAAGTTCTTTGTATCTGGAGAAACGTTTTTTTTCGGAAGAGCAATTGTATATAACGAGCAATCGAACGCGCGTTTTTTTTTTTTTAAGCGTATTGATATTTACGCGCTCTACCTTTCAGTTAAATAACTGTCGGCGGCGATGAAAGTCGGAACTTTTTTCTCGTAAAGCAGAGCTCGGACACTGGGATCGACCGGCTTCATGATATCTACATTGACAGAATCGTCGGGTTCGAGTGGCCTCCAGCGCGGCAAAGGCTTCCGTTTCACCTGCGCGTGTGAAATAACATTTGAGAAAGTTTGAATATCTACGAATCTCATCTCAGACATTATTTCACGTAATAAAACGCACCGCGGGTTTGTCAATGCGAACTTTCTCCTCCCGTTTCTTCGCGGATTCGATCGCTTCTCTGGCTCGTTTCATAAGTTTCGGCTCTCTCAAATTTTCTATCAGTCGTTCTTGATTCTTTACGAACCATCTCATTCGTATTCTGTTCTCGTTTCTTATCAATTCTTTATGAAATAATTGACAACGAGTGTCGCACACGTCACCAGCGCTTCTCGCCATAATTTTCGCTCGTGCGCTTTTTGGTTTTTGTAAAGAAAATTAAAAATAATTACAAATAATTTCAAAAATCAAAACAGATACACCCCTGCTTCAACACATACGCCCGTCGGAAAGGGATAATTTCGTGGAAACAGATCTGAAGTAAGATTTTTGCGATGTTTCTGTCCTCAAATGTTTTTGTCCTCCGTTTTTTTTTTTTTACACACATCGATAAAAAATAAGAAAGACAAAAAGTGTAACGCACTTAAGCACAACATTGCTACACAATATTTTGTAGAATTGATTTATTTACATTGTTATTATGTATATTTGCGTGTTTTCTCACTGCGTGTTACATAAATTCAGTATGTATACTTTTAATAATAATAATAATAATGTACGACATTATTTCTTTATAATAATACCAGTGGGAGCATATATATGTATATATATGCATATACATACGATTATGTACACCTTGCTTTACAAAAACACGGGTAATGTATAAAAACAAAAAAGAAAGAAACATAAAAAAAAACATCTAACCGATTCGAATAACCGTATACAAATCACATATGTGCGTGCGTGCAATAATAAATTCTCAAAATAAATTGGAAAAATGCTGTATTTATATAACATCAACAATTCAAACTAAATGTGAAAAGTAAAGCGTACGTTCGTGTGAAATTCAAAGATGTCAAGATCAATTAAAAAAAAAAAAAAAAGCTACAACGGAAAGTTGCGATTATCAAGTAATAGCAAATTATATATTGTTTAGGTCGAATTTTATACATAATACATATCATGTATTGTTTCTTTTTACATATACATATATATAATTTTCGTTTCTTTTTTTTTTTTTCATATATGAATACTGTGCTCCAACAACATCGAATTGGACTGCATCCAGTCGACGACGTATGGTATTACAAAATTGTAACAATAAATAAATATGGCGTGAAATATGAGTTTTATATGATATTACTCCCTCTTAGAGTCAACATCAAATGACCCAGTAATCACAGCCATAGGAAGCAATATTGTGGTATGACGTTGTATATACGGTTTAGAAATACATGGGTTTTTAGTTTATATTTATATATTACAAAGTGACTAAAGAGCATTTTACCATTTGTACTTGAGTAATCAAGAGAAATCGTACAAATAATAGTTTCGTTTCTCCTACGTTGTTTTTTTTTCTTTTTTTTTATCCACTTTGTTTCCTTTTTTTTATACTGTACATATATAATATTTTACTTTTTTTTTATATCTACAGTTTTCTATAAAATAATATTATTTTACAACGTGATTTTGTTTTCTCTAGATTTTCAAGTGGCCAATTTCGTGTGTCACATATCGATTTTATAGCACTCCGATTCGTGTTCTCGCACACCTCTAGTCCCAATACAAAGTTATGCTTGAATAACATGTTACAAATAGTCTAAGTTTGCGAATTTTTTTTAAATTGTTATTTCATGTACATATATATATATGTGTGTGTGTGTGTGTGTGTGTGTGCGTGTGTGTGTCGCGGTTATGCATTTGTTATCATGCTCTATGTAAAGTGTAGTTTTTTTTCATTTTGTTATTGATAAAATTCCTGCATGCATCCCACTGTTTTTCCTAACTCATCTAACGGTAAAACGATGGAGTGGGCTGCAATCTGATGACGAGTGCTATTTGCGTTTCTATATATCTATTTTCACTATTCAAGTGGAGTCGTTCGGATCTCTTTTTGTTCCTTAGTCTCTTTTAAACAACCAATTTCTACTAATTAAGGAATGCTAGAAGCATGTCGAACAAACAGCGGTCGTTTATTCCCACATTATAAATTTCGCCTGACGCAATTTTTTGTGGAAGTATTGCCACAACGCATCGTCTAACAAATCGATAAAATAAATTTTTTATAAATATATACAAATTAGTCGGTGACTACGCTGCAATCTTTCAACGTTTAAAAGTGGGATTTTAATAATAAATTGATCATAAAGTTCAGATGCGGTAAATAAGAAACTAAAAATCTACATTAAAAAAAAAGTACATACATTTGTGCAATAAATATTTCAAAGCGACGTATGTATACACGTATCGAATTGAAACATCACATTTGTATACTCCATATGAACAGTATAATAGACAATAGCGTTATGTTTTTAATTGTTTATCTCGACGGCAGCCGGCATAGAGTCGCGAACGAAGAATGAGACACCGTAAAAACAAATGTCACAATTTTTCAATTCTCATATTTGCCACGTCGCAACTTTGCTCACAATCGAAATTTATAAGTGACTTCAGATTTCAACACTGCTAATTCGTCATATTTCCGTTTTTAATTTCTTAAAGTAAGTAATAAAGTAGTGGTGTTTTGACATGTTATTTCTGGATACACGGCCAAAAATACAATCTACTCGAAGCGCGCGAGACGCGCTAATAATAAAGCGTAAAAAATTAGTCGTTTTTTTCTCTCGAAGAGATTGCATTTTAAACTCTCAACGACGTTTTCACTCGCAGTATAATTAAAAAGTAAAAAAACAAAATAACTGGTATTATTTTAACGTCGCTGTGTAAAGCAGTTTTGTGCTGATGATCAAAGAATTTGTTGATAATTATTGTATCAATAATTATAACAATTATATAATTGTATCAATTTAATCACAAAAATCTGTGTCACGTACTCAATATTGTCTTTCTTTAGCATCAATTTTTGTTTGTTTTTTTTTTTTTTTCGAAAGTTTATACATGTATGTACATAAAAATGCCGTTGTGATGTAGATGAATGAAGAGAAGTTTCATTATCGATAAATTCTCGTGAAGAAAGAGACCAATATATTTCTATAAGCAACACTTTCTTTTTTCTTCTTTCTCTCTTTCTCTCACTCTCTCTCTTTCTTTCTCTTTCTCTTTCGTAACAAACAATCGCCATTATTGCGACCTCACTGCGCAACCTAACTCGTAGTCACCTTAAGTAACACGGGTGACGAGGCGTGGTTGTTGAAGTACAGACCTGCGCCCTGAAAACTGTTGGATCTCGAGGCGGACATCGAGTTCTGATTGATTCCGGTGATCGCGCTCTCCGCTTCAAAGTCACGATGTTCATCGTCCTGCTTGCCGCGCAACATATATTTGAACGACTCGTATCTGTCACGCATTAAAAACGCATTACGTAACGTATTTCAGCGGATGATGAGTTACGTCATCTTAAGAGAATACGAAAAAAAAAAAATAAGACAGAAGAAATCTCGAAAGATCGACTTACATCACCCAACAAATGGCAGTAGCTGGCGCTTGGAATAGAACACGTGCGCGCAATCCGCGGAAGTATCCCTGTATACCGCCGAACCTGTAAACCTGTCTGAACGCATCTATCATGCCTTGCGCGTGTACGCCATCTTGCTGCGTGTTCAGCACGGTTTTGCACACGTCCAGAGGCGTTGTCGCTGCAGCTGCGATGCCACCTGCTGTCGCACCTATTGCGTAGATAAAAACGTATAAATTATAAAACCTTTAGTTAATACATTTTTTTTTTAGTTAAAACGTTTTTTTTTTCAAATTAATATCGCTTTGCATTACATCGCGCGAGCGATATCTTTTACACCGATAATCTTCCGATGATATTGAAGATAAATAGGTAAAACAAACTCGCGATACATGTCATTACAGAGAAAATAACTCACCAGATATGATATGTGCTACCGGATTGTAGAGATTCTCCGGGTTAGTGACGGAGTGTACGAATTCGTAGGAGATGAAATGAATACTTTGAAAAGGCACATTCATGGCCAATTGAGTTGTGTAGCTCCTGTAGAACGCGAATATCCCTTCTTTCTGGTACACGTTCTTTATACAATTCAATACGTTTCTATAAGGAGAGTTGTACATTTGCAATCGCTGTTTAACCACTGCAACAAAAACAATTAAGATTTTTTTCTCTCTCTCAAATTTTACTATTTCTTAAAATATCAATTTGTCTAGATATATACTATAGATTTTTCTTTATCTGCAATTGTGAAGATTAAAAAGATATGTTTTTATCTTCATCGATTAAATGATACTGTCGATTATATGCGTATGTATATTATTGACAGTCTAAACGTAAAAATTGTGTATCGTGTAATCATACATTATCGCGCAACGTAATTTCTATCATAATCACCGACCTTCCGCTGGATTCATAACACCATCGTGTAGGATCGTTGCCACGCAACCGGCTGCTCCGTAGACAAGATGATTGAATTGCGACCTTGGACTTTTAAATTTCTCCTTAAGACATTCGTAACAGGAAAAATATAAAGCATGCGCAGGTCCGGCTCCGGCAACAACCGCACTCACACCCCTAATTGGCCTTAATACACCTTCTTGTCGTATCATTCTGTACAATATCTCTCCTATTCCTCCTCCTCCTCCCGGGCCAGGAGTTAACGCCTGCATTCTTGTCTGCACACAAAGCAGAGAAAAGATTAGGTCAATTTACTATGGAAATAAAGATATAATAAAGCACAATGTTTTACGTTCGTGTTTTAAGAGTTGCAATTTTTTTTTTTTTTTTTTTTTCAGTTTGTTTCACGAAATCATAACTTGTAATCGAGGTTTTCAGATAGAATGACTTGCTGATAGTGAGGACAGTGACTGTCAACTGGTCTGTTGCAAAATGACATTTGATTGTGAACCATGAAATTTAATACAAAAGAAATTATCAGGTAATGATGAATAAATGTATGTTAAACACTCGAGGAAAAAAAAACAAATATATACAATTGAATAATCAAAATTGCGTTTTTCTTTAGCGGTTTGTAATAAAGTTCTTCTTTATTATAAATAATATAAACATGTTATTAACTTTCCGGTCTTAGGGTTACATAACAATCCATTTCTCACTGTATCAAACAAAATAGAATTTCCATACTAGTAAATAATTCCATTTGCATGATGAGCGATTCTTATAAATCACAATTTGGTATATCAGTATAGGGAAGTGTGTATTAACAGTATAGATCACAGTCTGAAAAGCAGAACAGAAATAGAATCCACTGCAACAGACCGACGAACTGTGTTATATAATGAATAGTAGACACTTGCATTCTCAGTGTGATTCTAGCATTATTATATCTTTCATAATTTACAACTCATCTTCTTGTATCATTACCTGTAACCAGTCGGAGAACACAGTGTAACTATTGTCTTAATCAACGCATACACTCTACAATTGTGCAACATCCCACATAAATTGTCATGACATTAAACAAGTGCACGTACAATTTGAACAAATATATAATATTATTTAACAATTATCTGACTCAGCGATTTTAATATAGTTTTGAAGACTAAGAGCAAAGAATTTGATTTTATTCATTTTTACTTGTATGAAGTTTATGTATTATTCATTTTTGCAGAAATGTCAAAATGTACATTTTAAAGTAGGAAAACTGATAGAAAAAAAAAAAAACCATTTCTGTACTATAAATAACTTTTAATGGCTATTTAAAACAAAAATACAGATAAATGAATACAACAAATGCAAATGCTTACATCTGTTAAAAAATTACAATTGCGTTAAAATATATACGAGACACACAAGTAAAAGATATAGGAATAATTACCTAATATCTAATATATATGATAATATATACAGATAGTATACATATGTATACACACACACATACATATATATATATATTATATATTGTACATATTTAAGGAAAAAAGAGAAATACTATTTTTAATCTTTTAAGTAGTAGGCTGTCACTTTATGTTATTACATAATAAAATTTTCACAAGTCGTCTCTTGATATAATCACGAATATAAAACAACATAAATATGTGTGTAAACAATTTTATGGAGAAGAAAACCTGTTGAATTTTACAGTTTGTGCTCTGTCATTGCGCTTAGTCAGTTTTTTTTTTTCTCACGTCAAAACTACAAAACCTGTCGGTGCAGTTGTTTAAAATACCGTGACGAGTAATATATTACTTTTGCCACTTCTTTAGATAATAATTTTACGACAGACGCGAAAATTGTGTGTCTGCGTTTCTCCGCACGTTTGTTTGCAGTAGATAAATTAGAACGATAAAAACGCTCGGCGTCAAACGACGACGACGGTTTCTGAGAAAGCGTCAAGGAAAACGCAGACGGACTGATGAAACGGCCAGATGGTAACTTTTTCTCGGCGTTTCGCGTGCACCGCGAGTACAGGAAATTCCGCGATTGATCATCGCACGCGGAAAAACACACGCGCGGTGCAAGCGACACACGTGGAATAAGTTCGCCAGAAACGACGGGCGCAGAGACCCCCGAAGACCTACGTCCGCGCCACCGGCGAACCGGTCGCGCAAAAGGTTATGTAAAGGATCGGAACACGCGGTTTACGACGCGGATTTCTCCCGTCGTCGATTCTCCCCCACGTACCTTGACACTGTCAAACGGATACATAACGCAGTGCTCCATGATCCCGGCCACGGCGCCGGCCGTCATGTGCACGGCCACGGAGTTGGTCGGCAGACTCTCGTACTCGTCCTTATTCATGATCGCGGGAACGAGCGCATTCGCACGCGAAACCCGAGCGCGTCTCGATCCTTCTCTCTTCGCGCGGAGTCGCGCGATTCGTTATTTTCTCTTTTTTTTCCGCCTTGTCACCTCCTCGTGCACCGCCACGATCGCGCACTTGTGCGCGACGACGTTCACCACGACGTGTTGCAGATAATCACTCGCGCGCGACGTATGACAATGATCAGCGGGAAAAAAAAAAACACTTTTGCGTCCGGTGAACGATGAACACCACCTCGCCTCGGACGGAGGACCGCGACGTGAAATTCGTACCACGTTTCTGCGCACGTTCGCGCACAACCGCGTGCGTTGATCGTTTCTTAATGAGGCCGCATCGGAACAACCGTCGTCGAGTCTCCGTAATCGCTCATTCCCTTTTCTCCTCTCCCCTTGTTACGGCGCGCACACGGGTAAGTTCCCCCCCCTTTTGTTCCACCTGTCTCTCTCTCTCTCTTTCTCGTTTCGTTCTCTCGTCAAACGTCTCTCGTACTCGCGAACGGGGGGGAACAAAAAAAAAAAACAAAGAAACGTCACCGTTCTGCGACGCGCTCGCGTTCCCAATTCTCTCGACGTGCGACAATAAATAATCTCTGCGATTATTGTTACAAAACTGCAATTGCGACGGCCATGAAACGCGTGGCGACGTAAGGAAGACAGCGCGAAACCGACGAGGTTAGGTTCGAGCACACGTGCCGCGCATGCGTCGTGCGCGACCACGTGGTCCGCGTGTGTGCGTCCGCGAGGAGAGGCAATTTAGAGAGAGAGATGTGTACAGTCTGTTGCAGGAATGTTTTCTCGCGTAAAATTACGCCCCAGCTTGCAATCGATTTTCGACATCTCGAGAATCGTCGTCGCTTTTGTATAAAATCGTGCGACGATGGAGATTTTATTTCGACACAATTAATATCTGACGTGTGGACTATCTGTGTGTTCCTTAATTCGGTCTACATCTTTTACAACGCCAGTTTGAGGAAAAGTATTACAGGTAATATAAATTTTTCAAATGCAACACATAATCTCGGTCTAATTATTAATTTAATAGCCGCAAACGTTGAACTCTTGAAATTTTCCACATTTATGTAAATATCTCTGTAGAAATGTCCCGCGTAGTGTGGATTGGATCAAACCACTGTGTGATGCAACTTTGCGAGAGGAATTCCTACAACAAACTGTACAATTTATTGAATGTATTTGAACACATGGAATGTTGCTTTGAATGGATACGCGCATAATGAACACTTACACAATAACAATGAGAATGATAACGATTTTCCCGGACGAGAAAAGTCATCTTTGAACTCGTATCGAATAATAATATCCTTTAGAATGACGCTTCTCTCGCGATGCTATCTCGCAATCGCGTTTCCCGTCGCAGATCTGACGTGTGTTTACTTCGTTTCATCTCGTCGGTCGGCTCTTTCGCGGTGTGTCTGCTAATTAAAAACAATATTTTTTTTCTCCGGAGCGAGAAATCGTTGTAAAAAATTGGCGCGATACAAGTCGCACAAAAGTCGCTGAAAGTTTTGATCTAATTTATATTCGGAAGCGGAGTTTTGTTTATTCAATAAACAGTTTGCAAAAATTCAAATGGATTTCCCAACGCAAATAATTGCGATAATTTATATAAATATGTAAACTTCTCCGCGACAATTCTGTTTTGGATACATAAGTAAAAAAGAACGCTTGAAAATAAATGTAAGCAAACTTTGAGTTCAGGTTTACATGTTTCATTTTTTTCTCTCTCTTACATCATGGGAACCAGAGACGTGCTATCTCGTCTGATATTTTTTTGTTAAATTTTATATACACACAAATTGTTCCTCACAAAGATGTAGCCACGTGTAAAATAATCCTTTCTTATGCATAGTTTCTTTGGTGCGAGACAGAAAGAGAGAGAGAGAGAGAGAGAGAGAGAGAGAGAGAGAGAGAGAGAGAAAATATAAAACACATGTAGAACTGAACAAAAGTTTTTTATTCTTGTTCACGGGAGGTCAAGAGATAAAAGAAACAGAACTCGTGTGTTTCAGAGAAGAAAAATCGAATTCACGCGGAGCCGCGTACGTATGTAGGCGCGCACACACACGTGAGTGTCAGAGGTCGAATGTATAAAAAAGCAGGTTCTGTACATTAAGAACACTTTCGTCGATCCTCAAAATGCGCTCGTGTTGTACAAAGATAAGAGATTTATTGCCTATTACATATTAATATCGCACGTGTCACTGCTCCCTGTATGAAGAAACAAAATTTGATTTGCAACCAAACGGAGGTTCGTGTCTCACGTTTGTGTCGCAATAAAATACCGTAATAGCGCAATACACAATTTCCCGGAAATTATTTTATCGGATGACGTGAACGCGTAATGTGACTAATTTTACTCTTGCTTTCTGTAAAGTTAGAGAAAAAAAGAGAGAGAGAGAGAGCGAGAAAGAGAGGACGGGATGGGAGAGGAAAGGAAGAAGTGGAGCTCGAAACTGGTTTTTCACGAAAAAGAGAATTGGAACTCAACAACTGCATACAGCTTAAAAGAAGCTAATTTCTCGGAAATGTAATAAGAGTATTGAAATTATTCTCTTTAGAACAGATGATGTGACACGTTTGAAGTGAGGTATTAAATAGTTAGTTTTTGCTTATCAACTTACGTATATCAGATCTCTTTGCGCTTAATCATTTTACTCTCTATTACGTTCTATATATATATATATATTGTATAATGAAGTGCCGAGATCTGATTATCTTTCATGTTGTCTTGCGAATCTTTTTTTTCACGCTCGCGCACGATCAGATAATAAACTGTGCGCGCATATCTCGGCGCGATATCAATTCGCGCTATTATTATTTTTTTTTTTTTGTGTTCTTTAATTTTTAAAACATTACCACGAAGGACAATGACCAGCGTTAATGCAAATGCGCGCGTGTATTGTAAAGCGAGAATATTGTACATCATATGAGCGATAAGCTCGCTATCGAGAGGCGCAGTCGATTTATTTGCTGCGCAACTTTATACTACGTATGTACGTATATAAATTTTTGCAGAGAGAGGAAAAACTACACGCGATATGTTCGTCGCGAATGTACGTATTTTATTAACTATTCTTTTCTCTTCCGCGGTGTATAGATTAGATTTCGATTAGATCGTTTGACACGTGAAAATCGATAGCCGTCGTATACGTCGTTGTATATGACGCTGCAAATATCGTGCACAACGCATCCGACGGAAACATAATTATTAAAGCGAGAAGCGGCAAGGTCAACGACGAACGAATGTAATGCAACTTTGGTTTGCACGGCGTGTGCACAGAAAGTAAACAAGCAACGAAACGCTGTGTATCATCTAATCGACGAATCGTCGTTCTAATCGTCGTTGCGCATAATTACGACGACCTTGCGCGTCTATTGGACTCAGCAGGCCGGAGAAGCTGAATCAATCTCTGTTGTTTCTGCGTCGCAACGGGAAAGACGCGCGAGAGAAGTGTCTTCGAACTTCTTTTGTGTGTGACTTCGAGATCCGATGATATTCAAACAAACTCCCTCAACTCTTTTTTGACACGACAAACATCTCGTTCTCAGAAAGATGTGATAATACGAGCTGCTCTTGTGAACGCTTTCGAACTGCAATGTGCAAAGATATAAATTTTATCTCGCGTGCATATATATTGTATTACACACGCACAAAAGCCTAGAGACAGAAAGAAGGCGAGGAAAAAGGTTGAGAAAAAGTTGGAAAAAAAAAAAAGAGACAAACGCGAAAGGCATTTGCAGTATTAATTAACGATATATAAAAACTGTTTTATTTGTGAAAGCGAACTTTTATACTAACGATGGAAAATTTATAAACTTTAAGTGTGTTATATTTATATATACGTATCACACACACAGCTGTGTATAATAAATAAAGAGAACTTAAAGAAAACTTATATCTTCTCTGTACATTTTTTTCTAATGAAAAATAAAGTACGACGCGAGTTCTTTCTTTTTGTATGTATAAACAAAAAAACAGAAGAAACGTTTGAATTTTTGACTTTGTTGGCAACTTTACAACATCAAACACAACACATATACATTTCTATTTTTTGTTGATAACTTTGTAATCAGTATATATATGTATATATTTACATATGTATACATACATACATAAATTATATTTATATATATATATATATGTACATTTGCATTGATATTACAAAGCCGCTGGCAAAGCCAAGAATGCGCTTGCTGAAGAAGCAGATCTAATAATACGCGTGATGTAATGCTGCAATTTTACTTGCTGCTTCTTTACTTTCATGAACACAACGAGAAAAAAAAAAAAAAAAAAAGAAACACTTCTTTAATGCAATTGAAATGATATGGACTACTAGTAGTTTAGTCGTAATCTTTTTTTTGACTACTTTTTATGCGGATCATTAAAGTAATTAATTTTATAAATTAATGACATTACGCAACTTAAGTGTTTCTAGAAGAGAAGATTATACTTCATCATGTCACTTGGCGCTTACTTAACGATTTTTTTATCTTATCGATAATTTCTATCTTGTTTAATTTTATATATTTATATATATATATATATATATATATATATGGAGTTGTTAGGATAAGAATACTTGTGAGCGAGTTATTATATCGTTGGACCTATTCGCGGTATAAAAGTTACGATTACATATAAAAAATCACAGTCTTATAAATATATTTCGTTTTGCGCACATGGGGTGCACTGATTATGTAATATTGTGTCGTAAAAAACTTTTTCGCATATTATACTTTTATATTAAAATCAAAAGCTAGCGCAGATATACGTGTATGCAACACATTGCGCAACAAATATACATTGAAGGTAACTTCACATTGAAGATTTTCTTGAAGTCAATATCCTATCTAAAGAACCGAAAAAATTTTCTATTTCTAAATTTCGAGTTTTAAACAACAACAATTGCGCCTAAATATGTTCGTCTAAAACTTAAATCTATTAGATAATTAATCTCTTGTGCTAAGAGTTTGTGTATCCACACACACAAACTTTTATAAATTTTAATAAAAGTATTTTTCTTAATTTCATTTCTTCTAGCAAAGTTGATGTAATCCTCCGCAGATATGTGTACAGGAGAGAAGCTGTACATATCCTATTAAAAAAGAACGACCTATATATTTCTAAAGAGCCTTCGCTTTGTCACATACACACACATGCACACACACATTTGGATATTAGAAATTCTAATGTATCTCAATTGTAATCCAACTCTTTCGTCAGACAAGTATGGAAGAGTTTTGGTCAAAAATATTAACATTTCTCACTAATGTTCACGTCTGAATTAGTTATAGAAGCATTTTTTGAACCCGTTAGATCTATAATAATATAAATATCAAACTTTACAAGCGTCAATAAGTATGTAACTTTTAAGTATTATATAATCTTTAGTACTTTTTTTTATCCTTTTTTAAATTCTTGTTTATATATATATTATATGTACGTGTAACGTGTAAAATATCACTCTTACATAAATAATTTCATAACATCTGGAAAAAGCACTCTTGTTTCAAAGAAACAGACATAAACGTTAAAAATTCAGATGATAAAAAAACACTCATGATGCTTATACACATATTGAATACATGTATATTTGTTATTCAGTTTAATAAAACTTCACCGACGTATGCACGCGCACAGTTACATACACATATACAACACACACGTAGCAAGATGAATACAAGAAATCACACACTGTATATTTATTATACAATCTGTATTGCTGTATGAAAAACGAAAAACAAGAAAACTAAAAAAAAAAAAAAAGTACGCAGTCAAACCAAAATCTCTAACTCTTCACTTTTATCGCCACTAAAACAAGAGATTGAACAAAGAGAGAATGAGAGAACTAACAGGTTGAGAACAAACGATGGTTTTCCTCTAAGATCAGAAAGGGGGAGCCCGATCTGTGTGCATTAAAATTAGACTTAGGATGTACAAATGTTTTTTTTTTGTTTTTGTTTTTGTTTTTTTTTTTTTTTTGGTTTTTTTGTTGTTTTCAACACCTGAATCCAATATACGGCGCTAACTATGCTTGGTTGGCTCGTCTGCTTCGACGAGATGAACTCGAAAATAACGGACGTGGTTTATACAAGTCATCGCTTGAATATCGTTGATGACTGCTTCTATTCCGGCTGCAATTTCAAGGCACAAAAATGAATTAGACTCTAAGACACCAACTCTTCTTAAAGAAATATCGAAGCAAGTGTTTATTAATAGATTATAATACAATCTGTTTTTTTTGTTTTCTTCTCAGAACAAACATTTAAGATGTATAATGAAGTTTTATACGTGAAACTATATAGTAACACGTACCTTTTTTCTTCTTTGATGACAGTGGACGAAGCGGTTTTCTCGCTCGTCGCGGACACATCGCTGTCCGGACTCAGAGGCATGACGAAGTTCTCGCCGTTCGAAATTCCTTGTGTATTGCACGTACTCGAGAGTCTCGGTTTCTTGATAAACTTCCTCTTTTTTACGACTTGCACAGCGTCCTCGTTAAGCGAGGACGACAGCGTTCGCTTGAGTCCGCTCGAGTCGTTGTTGTTGTTCGTGTTATTCGCCAGTATGTTCGACAACAGACTGGAGGAACGTTCGTGCAACATTGGCGGCGGTGCTGCCATTGATTGCGGTATCGAAGTAACGACCCTGCCACCGAGACTCTCTATTATATCCTCCAGAGAGGAGTTTTCCAGTTCTACACTTTCTAAGAAATTCGAAAACTTCTCCGACTGCTCGTTGTCAGTCTTGAAGTAACGACAGTCTTCATTATCTTCGTTGGACGAAGAGACTTTTGCCGCGCCGATCTTCGACGACGGCACTTCTACCTCGTCCTTCTTATCTTGGAACCTGTCATCGACTCGTATCTCCGATCGGCTGTCGTTCCGCATCTCCTCAACAACGTCCACCCGTGCGTCCACCACTTTACTTTCTCGCGCTTCCGCAAGATCGCCTTCCGTCGATTGTTTAGTGTTTTTGTCATGATCCACGAAATCTGTTGATGTTTCCGAAACACGTGTTTTTTCCACTTGCAAACAATGTTCTTTGTCAACGACAACATCTTTCGATTCTATCTTGTTCTTGAATTTGTTCTCGGAATCGTCGACTTCTTTAATTTCTTGCGAATCTTCAAGACGCGTCGAAGAACCGGAACATTGCCGAGGTGAATTGTGAGATTGCACGATATTCGCGTCAAGCGTCGAGTTCTGCCCGTCCTCCGATGGCATATTTGTCACTATCTCGCTCAATGATTCCTTTATGCGCAATTCCATCTTGGACAATGTCGGTTTCAGATCGGGACGTTTGTTCAAAAAGTCGTTCGTGCAGGACTCTGTTCCTAGCACCATTATCGAACTATCGTCGAATTTCAAACTTGGCTCGTGCTTCTCGGGGTAAGGTTCCTCGTACTCTTCGTCAGGAATCTCTATGATCTGAACTCGCTCATCGTCCGGCATGTCCTTGAGATTGTCACCGTCCTTTGCCGCACTCGACTGACTCGTTTGCTCCGTTTCTTGCGCACCTTTCTTCTCGACCAGCTTGGAGTTGTCTCTTGATTTCTGCTTCTCCATTTGCTTTCTGAGCTTCATCAGTTTCTTCGCTTCGTGTATATTTTTCGCGAACTTCGGCTTCTTAATCTTTACATCGTCCGGATTTGATTCGCTATCTTTGTCAGACAACGATCTCTTTTTTGTCTCACCCAGGTTTACTTTTTCTTCTCGTTCTTCTTCTTTCGCTTTTAATCTATCGGACGTTTCATCGGCATTGCTAATCTCCGGTTTTGAGTTACTCTTGTCCTGTGTCGACAATTGCGAGCCGGTCTGAGAATGAGATATTTTACAATTTGACTGATGTAACGACGATCTCGACTCGTTCAATTGCATCTCCTCGATACTGTCCGACGTTTCACTGCTGGAATTGCTGACGACGTTATCTTTTGTCAATCCCGACGTGTTCGATTTGTGACTTGTCACGTTCGAATACGAAGTGTTGGCCGATGAGGTCTTGTTGTTGGAACCGTTCGAACCATCCCTGTCACTAGAACGCCGATCGTTCGAGTTTTTTCGCAAACTCGAATGATCGTCCTTCGTCTTGGACTTCTTATCCTCTTTGCGCTTCTTGTCTTTCGACGAACTGTTGTCGTTTTTCGAGTCTCTCTTACCATCCGATTTCTCGCTGCGATCGGAACTTTTGCTGCGTTGAACGTGATTCTTCGTGTCCTTCTTACCGTTCGTTGTTTTCTCGCCGCTTACCGCCTTCGCATCCTTCTTAACGTCCATCTTTCCAGACTTGTCGTCCTTATCACTCTTGGAAGATTTCTTCGAATCCGATTTGTCGGACTTCTCCGACAGATCTGTTCTGCTGGTGTAGTGAGTTTTGCTTTTCCCGTCTCTCGACAATCGTTTCTCGTCCCGTTTCGTTCTGTCTTTCGAGTCGGACTTCTTGTCCTTTCCATCAGTCGTCTTTTCCGATTTGCTGCTCTTGCTTTCGTGATGACTCGCGGACACAGTTTTCGACGAGGACGACGACGACGAACTTCTGTGCTCTTTCTTGCTTGGTTTTTTATCCTTGAAAGAATCTTTCTTGTCCTTAGACTCCTTCGTGAGTTTAATCTCCTTATCCTTATTTAATTTTTCCTTCTCCGTTAATTCCTTCTTCTCCCTCAGCTCTCTGATCTTTTCTTTGTAAAGATCCTTCAGGTCCTTCACTTCTTTATTGACATTATCCTTTTTGTCCTTATTGATACCGTCTTTTTTATCGATCTCTTTCTCCTCCTTGATCTTGCTCGCGTTATCCTTGCAACTTTCCGATATATCTTTGGATTTGTCAGAAATTTCTTTCGCCTGATCGATCTTGTCTTTCGGCTTGCTCTTGCTATGCTTGTCGTAGTACTTCGTGCTGCTGTGGCTACTACTGCTCGATTTCTTTCTCTCGTTAGTTTTTTCTTTGTAATATTTTTCCTTACTGCTAACCTTCTCCTTTGTGCTTTTCGACGACTTACCGAAATCGTTATCCTTGCTCTTCTCCCTTGAACTCTTATGCTCGTATTTATCTTTTATACCGCTGTCCGATGCGTCGCGAGAACTTTCTTTAGACGACGTACTCTTTGTGCTTTTGGAATCTCTCGATTCCTTGTAATCCTGTGTCTCTTTACTTTTACTAAAATCGAAACTACTACTTTTAGACGATTTGTTTTTCGAGGACTCTTCTCTGATCGCTTTGAAATTGTCTTTGCTGCTGCTTTTGACTTCATACTTATCCTTCGTCTCCTCCTTCGACGAGTCGTGCGCGGGAGTGATTAAGCCGTGATTGGAACCGAAGTCCGTCACAATCGACAGTCGTGAATCCGAGGAGACTTTGCTCAGTTGGGAATCCTGATTACTGCAATCAAAGTTGTCCCGCGACAAATCGTTGGAAAAGTCCGGGCTTCTCGATCTGTGACTCGTTAATTCCGATATTCCCGACAGATGCGAATCATTGGAAATGTTAGACTCGTTCAGATTCATAATGTCAATCGGCTCGAACGTTGGACTGACCTCCTCCTCTTCCTCGTCCATCTTGTCATCCGATTTCCCGGACGTATTTAGATTCAAATTGCTGCCAGTCTTTAGAGTTTTGCCGGTTTCGTCTGTTTTCTCTTCCGAGGAGAGATGTCCGTTTTCTGACGTGTTTTTCTGATCCTGACACGCTTCCTCACCGAGCGGCTTTTGCTCGCCGTACATCTTGTCCTCTTGCTTCTCTTCGAGAGTGTCATTTTCCACAGACTCGAGAGATACATCCTTCAAACTGTTCTTATCAGACTCCGGTGAGACTGGATCCAAATCTTTCGGAAGCAAATCCTTCAGACCGCACGCTCCGTTTTTCTCCTTCGTCTTTGGTCTCTCTATTCCCAGAAACTTATATACCACATCTTCTATTTGCGACATAAACACCGAATAAACCTTGGGATTCACCACTTGATCCACTATTCGCTCAACACCGGCGTCCAGATACGGCTCATCGTGTATGTGCTTGCGCAACGTTTCTCTCAGCTGGTTCTTATTTAGGTCTGGCTTCCATATTTGTTTACTAAGAAACGAGTTTACTGACCCCTCCACTCTTGTTCTCAAGTTTTGATACGCAGGCTAAAATTACATACATTAAATATATATTATTGCTTCTATACAGATTTTACATCATGTTACGTATTATTATTTATGCCAGTTAGGTTTCTAAAAAATTATATGCGTGTCACAATATCTGCTTAAAAAAAAAAAAACTAGGTGCTAAATGTTTTTGACAATTGTTAGGAGAGGTGTGTTAATGTTTTTAACAACAGTTGTTAGAAGAACACAAAGAGTGTGTGACAAATGATCAAATGCAAAAAAATATACACGTTGTTGTTGTAACTTACCAAGCAAAATGTTACAAAAAACATAAATGTCTATTTTATAATTGCAAACATGCTTGTGATGCAAATATATTAACAAAGTATCTATATTTACAGCTGTTCGTCTCTCGTGTGTTTAAATGAATTACTGTTCATGGCTCCGCGGCTCGATCAGATTCAGCGTAAAATTAAAAATCGAAATTCTCGCAAGACGAGAGAATTGTTGCCGAACGTTATGTTTACCTTCGTATCGACATCGGCGATGCATTCTTTGCGAAATTGATCAAAAATTCCTTGAGATTTAACTTCGCCCACTATATGATCGATCAAACGTGAATCACCCGCCAGCACCGTGTTGGGCAGACTCAGTTCCATGATGTGATACAAGAACACAAATTCAAGTCGGACGTTGTCGCTCGTTGTCAAAACAAAAGGAACGAGCACTCGGAACGTCTCCGACGGAACTCGAAGTCATCCCGTCAGACATCGCACAACAGCAATCAACGCTGCCATGTTTTTTTCGCGATTAGTGCGCATACGCGACCAAGAACAAATCTGACAAACTTTGTTTCGTCAAACGTTCCCAGACGACGTGTATCTACGACGTGTGCGCGCCGGAGGTATCGGAGAAATATATTTCTCCATGTAGTAGTTTCGCAATAAAAGTTGCAAGAAGATAATCCCGAAAGAATTTTTGATTTGAATTCTTTTATTTTTTTTCCAGATCCTGATATTCTCTCGGATATTTTGAAAAAATTGAGGACAATTGCGTCGCTCTGCTGCACCTTTCGCACTCGAAACGGACGTGTCACACTGGCGAGAAAAAGATAAAAAAAAAAGAGGAACCGACGGAAATCAGTGCACACATGTGTGTTATATAGATTAAACGCGTGCGAACTGCTCATTATGCACGTATTTCGATAATTACGACGTTGAGAAAATTTAACATATATAAAGCGGGTAAGGAAGAAATTCATTTGTTATAAACAAATGTATATTTTATTTTCATCAATAAAAAGTTTCGTAATATTCTATAAAAGTTTGCGAGAGAAATGACGAACACAATCGTAAAACGATCTGTCATCTGAGAGCTGGGGTGGTTATCTTGAATTCGGTGTGCCAAAATGTGTCGGAAAAATTATATACATGTATATAGTAATATTTTGGAGGCAAATCAGAGACGAAAAGAACAGATCGTAATTATACACCGTTAGCCGAATAAGATTGGTGAAAAAAAAATTGAAAGAAATATTGTCCGGAAGATTGATCTCGTCGAGCGGGAGAAGCTGCGACATAATCAGGCTGCGAAATTTGATATTCAGTGAGTTATATCATCGTTTAACTCGTAACCCGGGTACTGTGAGGTTAGGTTGCGGTTTTTTTCTCGTAACCATCACTCTTCACAGCCCGAACTGCTTCCGTGACGTTTTTTTGACTGTCTGTCATGACTTGTGGAAATTGTTGTTGTTTGATGATAATTCAGCACGTCTCAAAATTTTCCATTTTTCATTGCGGAAAAATTGTACGAAAATAAGTTTTCCCCCTCTCCACCCCTTCGGTGAAGGAAGGTAAGTTTGAAAATGGCGCGGCGAGATACGCGGGTGTATATACATATATATATATATATATATGGACATGTATCAGAAATCTATATAGTACTTCTGCATTTAAAATTCTGATACGTATAAATACTCCGCGACTATGCCAATGTCTGCAAATAGAAATGCGAGCAGAGATTTATGCGCTGTGAAATCAATGTTTGATTTTCGTGTGTTTTTATTTTCTTTTTTTAAAAAAAAAAAGGAAAATTTGTCTTTTTATCTAGCGCATAATTTGCTCGCTAGTAGTTTCACGAAGCGCGCGCTATGTGTAAGTTAATTTTTTGTATGTCAATTATTATCGCAAACTCTTGTTCGATTTTATATATGAACACGCTTCTTCAAAAGTTGCAGAGAGAAAATTACGGACAAAGGTATTTTGTACACACGTGTACATAAATATAATTCAATCGCGCGAATCTCCAAACGAGATTGCTCGTGTATCTTCCTGGACGTTCGAGTCTGCCCATCGAGGATTTTAATGCAGACTCGCAAATTGAGAGAAGAGAGATACACAATAAGGACCATTATAAAACGCCTGATGGCTTTCAATGGGATTAATTTACGACTCGCGGCTGCACGGAACCCACGGCGGCCGTGTATCAGACAGAGAGAGAGAGAGAGAAAGAGAGAGAGACCGTCTATTATTTTCACTGGTCTAAATACTTCAGAAGAGCGCGTCCTTGCGTACGAAATAGTCGTCAAAACTAAACGAACGAAGTCGGCGATACTCTCACGTCGTGTAAATTAAATTAAAGAGGCAATAATCACTTGACACTCGATCTCGCACCGTTAACGATTCTCGTTCACTGCGTATGAAAAATTTTTTCGGAGAAGAGCGTCTTGTTCTAATTGATTTTTCTCGACAAAAACTTATCTCAAACGCGCGTTCAAAATTGTTCATTTGAAATCAAATTAATGAAGAGCGAACGTTTTTGGAAAAATGTCAAACACGTGCATTTCGTCATTGACTTCGCGCGTTCTTTTTATACAAAAAAATACGCAGCGTCGCTGACGGGAGTTAGCAATTAAAAACCACGCTTCTGTCGCAACGCCGTCGGAAATGCCGAGTGTGATCCGATTGGTCCTGTCCGAGTAACGCGATGTTTATCTCAATTAAATGGATAAAACGTGACCTGTCGCGCGCTCACGCACACGGGTCTCGTTCGTCGCTTATCCGCGAGATTCTGCAACGTCGTTTGACAAATAATAAAAATCAAGGCACAGCACCGTCCCACAGTCCGCGCCATCATCGCGCTCAGAATTTCGTACAAAATTCAAATTCGCTAAGGATAAAATTGCACAGAAGATCGTATACACGTAGAGGTCGATCTTATTCGTCGGTCGGATTGTTCTCTCGCCCGCGCAATCGGATGCTGCAGTCGCAGCTCGACCTCTTCGGCATTCGTGTCGAGATGATTTGCGCCGCGGTCGAAACCAGCGTATATCGTCGCGAGCGATGTACACTTTGAACCGTTGCTCGTTTTATCGTCTTTGTGTTAAAAAATTAATTGGATAAGTGATACCCCCGCTCTCTCCAATTCTCGATCACCCGTTTCGACGTAATTCGAATCATTCGAGCGCTTCGTGTCGAAAGATTTGCAATTGTTCACCATCCGAAGTAATCTCAGTGTCTCCGAAGTAACTTTGTTAGTTAGTTCTCTGAATCTCTTATCGTTTGCATTTTGTGATTTGCGCTGTTTTGCGATAAGGTTAAACACCGAGAGATATTGTTTTGCTAATTTCGCAAGAAAATCGATGCAATTTCTGAGAATATTTCTCGATTGAGATTATCTTAGCAAAATTGCGATTTTTCGTTGCAATCATAGAAATTTGATTGCGTTCGGATAATTGTTTTGTTACGATTTTGTTAATCACAGCAAAGTTTCTCGATAACGGTATCATGTGCGGCCCATTAAAAAGAATTATATGCGGTCGCATCAGTGCGAATTAATTCGCGTATTTAATTCATCTGTACGAAATTAATCACGTGTGTGAAAGTCGTGTTTTTTTCCGGTCGTGCCATTCCCACCTGTAAAATCGACGAATAGAGAAAGTCTTAGCCGCATCGTCTCTCCTCTGCAATTACCTCGGAACTGTAACGAACAAAGAGATCGTGCAATGTGCACACCTCTTACAAAACGTTCAGCAGAAAATTGTAAACTCGCGTTCGACTAAAAACGAAAAACAAAGTTTTGCTATCACACGAGATCAGCGAGAAAAATTCGCTAGGCTTAGTAAATTGTTTATTTCACTAACAAATTGTTACGTTGACAAAGCGACAAATTTAATAGGTTTTGCGAAATTTTCTTGCTGGTCATACAGCAACTAATTTTCTGATTATTCCAGCAAAAATTGTTTTCCTTGTGTGAATGCTGAAGAGATCTGTTATCGAAAGATTTTTCGAGTTTCGGGATATTCTATGTATAAGTACGCGACTGCTTTTTTGTTGATTATTTTATTTTCCAAACTCAATTCATATGTACACGTAATAAACATCATTATTAGTCATATTTCACAATTTCCGCGTACGTGCTTGAGGCTACGCTCGATTTATGTATGTGTTTTTTTATCTTCATTCTTTATTTAATTTTCACGTGTGTTTACAACAATATTCTCTTATATATTTATACTAGAAACAGAAAAAATGTCTTTTTGCGTATTTTCTTCTTCTGACGTAATGAAATCACCATAGCCACGGAAGTTATCATTAAATCGCAGTTTGCAGTATTCTTTATTTCTCTACAAATTAGAATAACTTTTTATTGTTAAAAAAAAAAAGAGAAACAGATTGATCAGAGAGTCACATTCAGGAAAATAAAAGATAACGCACGTCCAAGGAACAAAGTGCAAGGAAAGTGTTATGAAGTGTTATGAATTACAAATTAGCGTTTTAAAATGCTAAAAGAATATATCTTAAATTGCGATAATGATATCGAAAAGAAATCGAAATTATTATTTTGATCGATGACATTTCTCGAGCGTACTCGAGATTCTGATAACGCGATCCGATCTTTGTTCTCAAATTAGTCTTGAAAACAAAAACAAAAAAAAAAACGAAAAAAAAGAGTATCGGCGAGGAAAGACTTTGAGGAGAAACTGCGCTCAAACAGAAGACATGTAGCAAAGAACGTTCGGAACAGTCAATGATGACCATTGAACAATAGAGGCGAGCGCGTAAACGAAGTACGATCGAGTCTCGAGTCGCGAATCTCGAGAATCTTGTCTGGCGGATTCACCGCGATTGAATTCTCGTCCGCGCGGAGCAAGTTTCGCGGCCCCTCGATTCGCGTGATTCAGAAGGTCACCACCACCGGCACCCTCCGCTCTTTGGTGGCGTACCTTGAGAGCGTATTTGGATGCACGCGTGCACACGCACACACACCGCGTGCGGAGCGGCGCACCACTATCATCATCGCGGTCTCGAGTAAAGCGAGTCAGTGAACCGTCCTCGGCAGCGAACGGTGGCGGTGGAGTTGTTCTCGTCGGGTGGTTACTTAACGTGTTGCGGTAGAAAGTCAATGATAGTTGACGAGATCGGAGCGACCGGTGCAGTTGTTGCCACCGCCGCCGTTCTCGATTTCGGATTCGCGCGTGCACATAATAAACGGATGCTCTCTCGGTCGACTTCTCTCCTTCGCGAGTTGTGTCACTCGGTGCCAATTTGTACAGATCTCACGGGCGCGCGATCGAATGGCGATCTGTGTTCGCGATCTGCGTGACGACGAGCTGCTAATGTGCTGATCGATTACGAGAGTCGATCGTGAAACGACGAAACGAACTGCGCCCAAACGTCATCGATCGTCAGCGTGTGATGCGTCGGATCGGTTTCGTTCTTCCCGAGTGAACTTTCAGGTGAATTCTGCGAATTGAACTGCGTGAGAGAAAGAGGAGAGACACGGAAATGTACGGTCTCGTCGAGTTTTTCCTCTTCTGCGGGGTGCTCTGCTACTTCTTCGATCTCAGGTAATACGATATGAGCGCGGCGAATGATGATGACGATGTCGTCCGTTCAATCAATGGTTTATTTATTTTTTATTATTCATAACTATTGCTACTATCGTTTCCGATAACATTGACAAGAATCGTCGGATCTAAAAAAAATTGTTTGAATTCGCAAGCGATGGAGAAAGTTTATACTTTCTGTTTTGTACAAATGTCTCTTTTACACTGACATCTCTCTCTCTCTCTCTCTCTCTTTCTCGTGAAACAAATTTAAATCAGTAAATTCTGTTTAAAAAATCTACTTGTGAAAAAGCTGCCGGATACTTGTTGCAACTCAATATCGACTTATGTCGTCGTTAGAAACGTGAAATCGCGATACAACGGTGATGATAGTCCGTATTGGGGAAGCTACGAAACGCTCGAACTGCGAGTTGTCGGTTCGTTATCGATGAAAATTCGATAGTTTCTACGGAAACGTATCTGCAACGACCTGGTCATCGACCTGACATCGCCGTTCGTGCGTGTCGGGGAACGCGCGCTTAGAGAGATTTAAAATTACACATATACGCGATTTTCGCGCCACGACCTTGTCTCTTCATTGTCCATGATTCGCATTTCGTCGCGCGTGATTCCCATACTGATGCCACACGAAGGACGACGCGGCAATTTTCTCATGACAAATGTGCGTAACACGGTAATGCATCGCTACGTTTTGTTTGCAACTAAGAGAGAAATGTTTACTTTTTTCGGATCGGAAGTGATCCGATTGAGAACTTTTGAACAAAAGAGAGATAGAATTTTTTTCTATACGAAAATATTTATTTTTCAATCTTCCAAACGATGTCAATCGTCCCGTCTGTCAACGTAGATCAAAAAGAAGCTGCGAACAATCGATTAATTCGGTTTGCACAAGTCGAAATAATTCCTCAATTATTCGAGCGTGTGTTATTTAATTATGTTACTATTGAAATTCTATTAGTTTTGCTGTTGTAATCGGTGCTATATTAATCTTTTTTTTGCGAACAAAATCCTTTGCGGTAAAAATACTTTGAACTGTTGTTCGCAAACAAATACGCGTTCGCAAAGTGTTAAACATTCCACGATCGTTGTCACAAGTGTTTTTTTTTACGATTGTTCGATACATATTTATAAGATTCACCCGAGTCGAAATTTAGCGTCTACATTGAACCTCAATTTTTCTTTTTTTATGTAGGAGTAAGAGAGAAAGTAGATCCTACTTTGACGCTGCTATTGACGTCCGAAATTTCCTTTTTTTTTACTGTAAAGTAGAGTTTAAATTACGACTCGGGCAATTTCAGAGAACAAATAACTAAGATATAGTAATGACATAGTTTTGTTTCGTCACAAAGTTCCAATGTTGATGACACCTGACCTGCCGCATGAGAATAAGTTCTATTATTGATGTCGAAATAACACGGAAAAATTCTAATAAAACAATACACAGCTCGCCCACTAATGATTACATCTATTTTGTTTTTTTTTTTTTTATCGTTATTGAAGATCGTGATTACGACATGTTAAAAAAATAAAACCGGCGAGATAAAAATTGAACTTTTATACCCGATCATTTTGCTGAAACGTGATTGGCGAGATTGCAGAAAAATATTCTTTGTCTTCTGGCGTTTTGTTTTTTTTTTTTTTCATTCCCGGTTGTTCAGCTAATGGTTTCATTTCAGAGTCCGCAGTGACAATTTCTTTTTTTTGTTGTTTGTTTTGCGAATCACGTGTCTTATGCGTTTGCAGCATCATTCTCTCTCACAATCTCTCTCCGTATTCTCCCTTTTCTCCGACCGAACGCCTCTAGACTCGCGCGTGATTATCGCAATGGACTTTGAAATTATTATTAATCGAGTTCAACTACTTATCTTTGTTCGCGCTTGTTTTTAGAGATAGTAAAAATGCTCAACAAAAATATCGGATGTATCATCGGCACACATGTTATCGGTCATCCGTTGATCGTATGCATCTCTTGCCATTTGTGTTTCGTTGTTCCGTTCATACACATTCGCGAATTCTCACAGAAGTAACAACAATTTATCTTCTTCGTGGGAACTCTTCCAGTTTGCTAATTCCGTCTGATGATTCTTTCATTTCCTCGAACAGCCTTTCAAATCGAGATTCAAAAAATCATTTAATTCGCAAATATTTGATTGTACGTTTACAAGCGCGGGCACCATTAACAATTTCTGTTGTGTTAGTTGTTTTGATATTTTAACTTTAATGAGAACACTGAATGTTGTGAATCCACGCTACTGCAGGTCCTAATACGTACACTTTCCATAACGCTTTAACGGTTTACACTCGTCATTTATATCTTTTTAACGGGACCTTCTACGTGATATTGGCATCTGCGTAAAAAAAAGAAAAGAAAAACAAAGAGAGTTAGCGATACTTTTTGATTTGTGGTAGAAGAGAACCGCAGACGTAACTGGATAGTGTCTGTGAAGGCGATTTCTTATTTTTAACACAACAAAGAGAGAGAGAGAAAGAGAGAGAATGTGTGTATGTGTGTATTAAACACAGTGAGGCTGAAACTCGCACAAATCAGCTGAGACTTGGTTGGCAGGGGCAAGATAACAAACGTAATATTCGTTTCCTTTATGCATGAAGCAACATTTAATCTCCGTTTATGTAATTGATACGCGATATTTCATTCGCACACGCAGAAGGATTATGATCGATCGAAGAAATCCGCATGACGCGCAGTTTTGCAATTTTCGAAAACATCAATTTCGATCTGATTCGAGAGTTCTTCTGATGTTTAACTTTTCTGCTCGACACGCGCAATTAATGCAAAATTAGAGATTTTTTTTGCACAAAGAAAATTAAACGAACGATTAGATTACGGGCGCGATCACGCGTGCTCGAAACAGCTCCCGTGTTTCAATGTGTGCGGGAATTAAGTGTCTTGATTATCGGGGAACTTTGCACACAGAGGTTGCGTTCTTTCACAATCGTCAAGTAGTAGTATCGAGAAATCAAATTAGAATTATAAATGACACATCGCGGCGACTAATTCTAAAGTTCACTCGTTCAATTGTAATTAAATTTTTGCCACTATCACGTTTAATCGTACTATCAAACTTCCGTCGCGGAATATTTTTATAACACGAGTAAAACTTATGCGGCGGTTTTTTTCTCGTTTTTTTTTGAATAAACGATCGACGTATCGATTGCATCGATTCGTTTTTTTTAATCGCGAGATATATTTTCTTCTAAATTATAAGAATTACAAAACGAAAACAATCAATGTTGATACAAAAGAGAAAAGACAAATATACATGTCGTCGGCGGACGTATCGCAGTATATGCACGAAGTAATAATATAAAATAATAAAGTAATAATGTAATATGAAATAAAAAAAAAAAAAAATACATACATCATGTAAATATTTCTTTTTCCGCTTCTTTAGCTCCGTGCGTTCGTTACTTTGTCTTCAGCGAAGATTGAAATAGCGTTTAAACGTGTCGCATGATAATTTCGCAATTATTGTCGTAATTGCGTGCTTGTCCCGCGGTGGATGTTTCGCTTTCTCGATTTTCCAGAACGCACCGGAACGCATCGGACCGACGATGATGTATCGCGACATTGCGAATCAATTGATTAATGTGATAGATTCACTTTCGTGCGACGCACATCGAGAAAGAAATTAGGAATCTCCGATAAAATACGTCTGTAATTAATTCTTCGCTCTAATCGGCGCACAATTGCGTTCCCGTTGGAATAAAATACACACGCGTAAGTTTTTTTATTTTGTTATAAATTTTTTCTTTCCGTTGCAGACCCAATAATATGGTGGACGTTCTGTCGACGCGTCTTCAAGAGCTGTACGCCAAATGGGACTCGGAAACGAGGACGGACATGACGCGAAATGCGGAACCTACGGCCACCCGATATTCGTTGGACGGTAACGTTGGCGATTTTCTTTTTCTTGAGTTTCCTTGAGTTGTGTTTTCGAAGCGAAGGAAATAGCATACAATTCCTAGCCGAACAACTCTGTTATCGCGCGCAAGAGCTTTCGTAATGAAACACACCGCGATCGTTCTGCGAGGAATGGAAAACGACTGGTTAAAAGACTGTAATCGGTAATTGCAGGTTTCCGACGAGGTGGTCATCAATTGTTCCAGCGAAGGAAAATTCAGGACAGAGAACAGTCGCGCAAGTTGCGCGAGCGTTCGCTTTTTAAAATCAAAGAGACCGAGCCGCTGATGCCTATGATCAAACAGAAATCATCGTTTCTTCAATACTGCTGCAACACCTGCACACCCGCTTCCAGAGTAAGTTCTCGTTTCCGCGATGCGGAATTCGTTGCGGCACGTGTGGAAAGTTCTCTGTCGTTTAGATAGAGAATAGAATTGTCGTTAGATGATCCCTGTGCAATTTTCGTATTTTGTTAACGATTTCTCTTGGGATTTTCTACAGGATTCTCTGGTAAACACTATAGTCAAACAACAGCAACCGTACGGTGTGAACGTGCTACTGGTGAAATCGGGTTCCACGTTGTTCTCCAAAATATTCAGTTGTATTTCTTATCTCAACACCACCGAGAAATTCACGTATCCCATGGTAACGCAAATGGTGAGACTCGATTTCTTCTATAATTGTGTTCGTTGCGAACTAAAAACTTGGTTATTGAATTCTTGATTGGGGTTATCCGTAGGTTCTGAATGACGAGAAGTTGAGCGAGCCCATCGCTCTGACCGCGAAGGAAACGGTCGACAATGAGGGTTGCAACGAGGAGAAAGCGTTCAAGAAGGCGAGAGCCAGAGCCAGAAGTATATTGATGCGAATGGAAAGCAGATGCAGCAACACTCTGCTGAAGATAGTCGCGTGGTTGATGTACAAACTGCTGCCTTGTTTCATACGGTCCGCCACCGTGTTGCCTTCCCAGATTGAGCTCCTGAAGAAGGCGAACGAGACCGGTCTGCCGCTCGTGCTGCTGCCTCTTCATCGCAGCCACTTGGATTACATAATGCTCAGTTTTCTCATGGTTGTGCACAGCTTGAGAAATCCGTTAATCGCGGCGGGAGACAATTTAAATATTCCATTTTTCGGGTGAGTCGGAGACCTCAACGCACATCGTTGTTGTACATTTTGCTTCTTCCAGACAATTATTTCACACATATTTTGAGTTTTTTTTTTCACTAATGTAATTTAACGATAAAACAATTAACGTGCTAATGTCTGCAATTCCCTCAATGTGCGATTGACAGACGACTTCTGAAAGGTCTGGGCGCTTTTTACATCAAGCGTCGTATCGACCCGGTAGCGGGACGCAAGGACTTTCTTTATCGCGCGATTCTTCAAACATACATCATGGAGAGTCTTCGTGTCGGTCATAATTTGGAATTCTTCGTCGAGGGAGGTCGATCGAGAACCGGAAAACCCTGTATGCCGAAGAGCGGTATTCTGAGCGTAATCGTCGACGCTTACATGGACGGTACCATTGAGGACGCGCTGCTGGTTCCTATAGCCATCAATTACGATCGACTGGTGGACGGGAATTTCGTCAGAGAACAACTGGGTCAGCCGAAGAAGATGGAAACGTTCGCGTCGACGATCAAAGCTATGTGGTCGACTTTAAGGGGCAACTATGGTATCGTCAAGATCGATTTCTGTCAACCGTTTTCTCTCAGGGTACGAATATAAATTAAATTTCTTGCAAAACTTTTTTCCACACGTCGTCAAGAGCTTACGTAACGCGAGTGATTTGTTCTCGACAGGAAATGATAAAGGCCGTTCAAGCTCAGCAGAGTAAATTGGAAAAATCGATTGTAAAATCGCCGTCGGAACGATCGTTGAAATACAGTATGTCGAATTCATCTCTTTACGGCACGGACGTTGTTGTGGAGGAACATCGTCAATTGGTAGAGAGCATCGCACGACATGTTGTTTACGGTGAGCAAAGACAATAGTCGAAATAATAATTATTACTCGCGCGTATTCTCTGAAATTTTTTTTTATTGTCAATTATATATTTTAATTCCCTATTATAATCCAGTTCTGTCTAATCGGTTTCAGATTCCTCCAAGTCTACGCCCATCATGTCAACTAATATAGTCGCATTTATATTATTAAATAACTATAGAAATGTTGGTTGTACATTGGACACTCTAGTCGGACAATTCGAGTCGATACGCCGCGAGATGGAATTTAACGACAAGGATGTAGCGTTTTGCGGAGAAAACATTGATATCGTTAAGCACGCGGTTAGTAGACAACGAGCGAGAGAAACGAGTTGTTGTGTCGTGGGAAAGATGAGGTTTGGTAAAGATGATTGTGATCTGATTTGCAGTTGGATATCTTGGGTTCGAACTTGGTGACGTATCAGCGACGCGAAGGTGACGAGAACAAGACTGTCGACAGCGATCAGTTTTACAAGTCGACAGATGCCGTCACGGTCAAAGCAGTGTCGAATCTGCCGAATGTGATCGAATTGTCTTACTATAGCAACACCTTGCTAATGCACTATGTTATGGACAGCGTAGTAGGTAAGACACGTAATGTAATTGGCGAATTGTTCGATTATGTGTAACGCAATCTGTTGTTAATTTCAGTAACCGCTTTGTGTGCTGAATTGCAGTCCGACAATAACGACGAGAACACGTATCCGTGTTGCGATTACAGTAAAATAGTGAATCAACAAAAATTGATCGAACGAGCACTCAAATTGTGTGATATTCTGAAGTACGAGTTTATTTTCTGCAGACCCTGCCAAATGCTGAACGATGTGATACAAGAAACAATACAGAACCTGACACATACGGGTGTTTTAACGCAGATACAGGTATGAATGTTTTTTGAGATTAGTAAGGAGGGCGGTGTGTTTATTCAACGCGCGTATTTGCGCGTTAATCGCGCAATAAGATGTGAAACAATTATTTTATCTTTGCAGCAACTTTATCTCGATGATGAACTCTGGAGCAAAAGATACGCGAAGAATTTTGACGACAGCTCGGACGAGGAATATTCGAAAGATCAAGAAGTCCGAAAAGTTGAATACAAAGTAAATTTCTTTTTTTTTTTAATATAAATATTATTATCGAGATAAACATGTGTGTAAATAATGTAACCATGTAAAATTCTACCCCAATATATTAAGATATATCGAGTAAAACAATTGTCACTTCGTATATTCACGATTTCAAAGCGTAACATTGTTACGCCAGTTGAAAATAAAATCTTGTAATTTGTGTCTTTTCTCCAAATTGTTTTTAGGTGAGCACGGAACAATCTCATCGCGATCGTTTAAGATTCCTGTGGGTGAGTTTACAACCGTTAATCAACACATACGTGTATAGCGCTTCTAGTTTGATGAGACTGGTTGGACGAACAATCAGCGAGCAAGAGTTGGTCAGAGAAGTATTAAGTAATATCAAAACCAGTTTGGATGAGGGTGATCTTGATTACGGTAAGCAACAACAAATTCTTCACTCTTTCAATTAGATTCGATTATGTATAAAATATAAATTATACCGCGCAATTTTTGATAACGTTTTTGATACAAATTCTTTTGTGCTTATACAAAGTGTAAAACAAAATTATAATTTTACGTTCTCTCTTTTCTCCTACTCTTTTCCGTCTTCATTCTTTTACTAATCACAATAAATGTATTATGACACACCAATACAATTTTCTCTTTTACTGTTTTGAAAACAGGAGAAAGTTTGTGTGTCGATCCGATCAAGAACTCTCTCAAACTTTTCGAAAAATGGAACGTTCTGGAGATCCTCATGCACGAAAGAACCAAGATGTTCAGCTTGAAAAAGGAATACGACACGGACGCGGCGGCGAAAAATGTTTACGATACCATAGCAATTTTTAAATCTCGAATTCAAGCGTGATACTTTCTACTTCCGACAACAATCTCCGATCAATTATAAATATTTTTTTTTTTTTTTTTTTTTTACATCTTTTATAAGGTACNTTTTATAAGGTACGCACGTTTTTGACGTATATCCGACGGATTTAACAAACATTCCCGGTGAATACCGTCAGTTCGAGATGTGCGTGTCAGATACGTGTAAGATGTACATAATAATTGTTTAATCTGAGAAGATAGAAGGAAACTACGCGCAGTCGATCACGAAGATATTTAGACATCAGCATAGTTTTGACATTTTTATTAATTGTTTTCGCCAAATATACGCAAACAAAAAAAATCTGTATATTACATGATATTAAAATTTTTTTCTCTGATAGAAACAAATGCTAATTTGTACACAATTATTATTAATCACCAGAAAAGAAACGCAAGAATAACGATTCAAATTTGTGCGAGTGTCCGGATATTTTCGTGACCGATCGTTACATATTGTAATATCGTTATTTACATAGTATATAATACATATCATTTTTGAAATGTTCCTAAAAAAATATGTGTGATTCGCATTGATAATGAAAAATACTTAAAAAGTTTTATTTAATGAAAAACTGTACAGATGCGAGCTTAACTTGTAGATCTGCAATATACTGGTTGGTGTATCATAAACTATAGTTTTAAAAACACTGGTTGTAACAACGGATCGCGATCAGCTTGAACGCGATCGTCGTGTTTGTGATTTTCCGTTCAAGGGTACTTTATTCTTTCGCGCGAGATAGACTTTCAACATTTTTTTTATCTCCGTTCAAACGGTCGAAAAACAGTCATCAACATTCTGCCGAACACGGTTATTATTTAGGAAACATAAAAAGACGATCATCCATGTGAAAATACTGTAAAATAATACAATACCGTATTATTATATGCTATAATAAGTCCTTACAGAAATTTATTACCGGAATGATCAAAGTAATAACTTAGTTTTTTAAGTATTCAAATCGCTGAAAAGTGTTTTTTTTTTTTTATTATTTTGACCACATCAGTAGTAAATTTCTGTGAGACGATGTTATTAATTAATGTACACACATAATGTTCACACATTGAATAAAAATATTTTTGCAGTTGAAAACAATTAGTTTTTTTTTTTTTTATAAATCTTTTATCTCCACCAATGCGATCGATAAATCATGTGTAATTGTAGAATCAAAAAAGTATCTGTAGTCGTATAGAAACATCGGCAATAACATCTTTCGTCTAAATGTTTGGTCACACTCTGATATTTTTCTTCTAGTTAGAAACTCAATGTTAAATAATAATTTGTAAATTTCTACATACATGACAGATCTCGTTCCTGTCTTCTCTTTCTTTTTTATTTGATTTTAACGTCACATTTGCGCGCACAATATTCTATAATTTGTTTACTTTTGAAGAAGATATAAGATTTTATATAAGAGACGCGCACAATTTTCAAACCTCCGCGTATGCGAGACGGAAGCGCTTCTTCGAAGTCCGGAAGCTCGTCGGCCACGTGACACACGTCATATGATCACGAGGTGATAGTCAGGTGCTTCGAAGCTTCTGCTCTCGGTGTGGCTTGTTGTGCAGTTTGGTGTTCCTCCTCGGATTCTCGCCCCCATTTCGGCTTCCCACGATGACGGATAGCGCGAGAAAACCGAGTCTGGTCCACGCGACGCTCCTCGTTCTTCTAATCGTCGTCTGTCAATTCGCGTTTTCTCGCGCTGGCGGCACGCCCGCCGTGATCTGGTGCCCGCACAACGACTCGTACTCCGATTACGACTCGCAGCTCAAAACGATACGCTTGAATCCGCTGGTAAAATTGTCGTCGGAGGATTTCGAAGAGAGTCTGTCGCAGTTGAGCGTGACGGACTCGGCGGTCATCGTCGCCGACGAGTTGTGCGTCGAGGATTTGAAGAACAACAAGGTTAGTCCGATGTCATTCTCGTAGAGAATGATTGCACGTCCGCCCCAAAGGTATTAAAGATTGATCTCTTACACGAGTACGAGAGAACACAATATCTAAAAGATAGTGTTTGTGTTTCTATATATATATATATATATTGAGAGATAACGAAATACTTCATTGCCGTGTGAATGTTTACAGGTGTTGTCCCTGGTCACCAATGGCTCCAAAGTACACTATTTCCCGCGTGTTGTTATGCCTGATGTGGTTTTCCAAAAAATCTTCAGTACAGGACAGGTGAAGACGATAGAGGATGTAAACGACAATCACGAGTTGAACATGATTCTCAAGGACACCGATTCAAGCAGATGTGTAGCCCTCACAGGAAAGCAATGTCGTTACAGCGAACGCATAAAAAGAGATACTGCGGATGCCGATGCTTCAGACGATAATAAAAAAGATAAAGATACAAACGAATTCAAGATACAAACCGACAGAATTATTTTCTATTCAGCTCAGCCGCTTCTGTTCAAGGTAAGAAACTCATCATTGCGTGAGAAATGTCAAAGCATAATTCAGAAGAAACAATTTTAGAGTTCTACGTATCAATCAGTAAAGTGTGACTTAAACTTCAACGACAATAAATGAAAAAAAAAAGTCAAAAATTATATAATTATATAAGAAAAATAAAATAATTAAATTTTATGACGTAAGAGTAAACAACAATCTTATTTTTTAGTCCGAAAAGATGAAGAACCATGTGGAACTTTTGCAATCCAACGTGACCAATACTTCAACTCGTACGGATCAGAATCGCACGTTGATTTTGAACATTAAGTTTGCCGGCATCGAGGAGATCGGCGAATTGGTGCTCGAGTTCTTTTTCCCGGTCAAAAATGCGGGTTACTACACGCTCGAAAAGGTCAACAGCGAAGAAAACAACGCGGTCACCGAATTATTCGCCAAGAGAGAAATTTATTTCCCGTACAATTTCTCTTATCACTGTTCTCTGGAAACCGTATTCATTAAGAACAGGGATGCGTTTCTGAACATCACGGAAATGCAGGTGCAGGTCGATCACAAGGACGCGGTGTTCAACGACGCTTACGACTGCGTCGGTTTCACCAGCATACCGATCTGGACGGGAATATTTGTCAATGTTTTATTGATTTCCATTCTGATATGGGCGCTCGTCATGATCATGGATATCAACACGATGGACAGATTTGACGATCCCAAGGGAAAGACCATCACGATCTCTACAGCGGAATAAACAATTAATAATAATAACAATAGACTTGTATAATGTAACTGTAGGAGAGTCATATTCATACAAAATTCATTATCACACAGGTAATATCGTAATGTAACATCCCCCGTTTATTATGTTCACAAAATACTCACTCGAGAGAATTTACAAATTCGAGAGTGTAGCGCGTGTTCTCGCGTGAAATCGGAGAAGCAGTATCGATAATGCTAGTCTCGTCGCGAAGAACTTTTCTCGATGTATAATAAATATCATTCCGTTGTGTTATAATTCTTAATTTACAGTTTTGGTATTTATATATATATATATATATATATAATTTGTTCACACCGCATACCGTGCGTATCTGCTGCTTGAGTGATTGTAACAAATCTTTTCGTCGTAGAGTTTTAATTTCTAATATTGCGTGTGTATGAAGAAAGTTATACGAATATTTGAATCGAGAAGGTAGAGCGCAATTATATATTGTACCAAAAATAAAGACGAACAACAGGAAATTATAAGAAAATCGCAGTCTTTTACTATCGGTGTCAATAGAAAAACATTACATAGTCAATGTATATGCACAATGAAAAAAAAAAAAAAAGATAGATTATATATCTCGCGTGCAATGCCGTAGCTGTTAGAGGCAGCAGCGGGCGGGGTGTCTTGACACTCTCGTGAAGGCATTTGCACCGCCTCTGTCTGCGCTATTTGTACAGAGCATTGTGATACTTATTGTTTGTTTTTTTTTCCGAAGTGAACAGCAACGCAGCTATTGCGAGCTGAAAGCTAGTTTTACTCGGTAAAATTTCTGCCGAGAGGGCCGTTTCGGGGTAAAACGCCTACTCGCGCCTCTACAAACGGCTTCCTTGTTGATAAGAGTTTGTAAAAAATATGTAACATATGTTTTATGATATATATATAAATGTTTAAGAAAGATAGTATATAAATAAATATACGTAAAAATTGACTCGAGTGTTTCTCTTCTCGTTCACGTCGAACAGGCAGGAACCTCGATACCGTGAATCATCATAAACACCATGGAGTACGGTGGTAAGATCACGGGATCCGCGGGATTCAGTATCACAGGTCGAAACGGCGGCAAGTCGCCGTTCGGTCGCAGCTTCAACACTTTGCCGTTCATCTTTATTTCACTGTAACAAAAACAATTAAAATTTTGTCAATGCTGATCAAAGCCAATAAACTTTTGTTTATAAAAAGTTAAAATTTGCCTGTTCACAGCTGTTTATGAAAAAAAAGTTATTTCATTTCTGTCTTGTAGGTGATACATGCCTCGATTGCAAATTATCAGCAGTCAAAGAGTAGAAGAATATCTTCACGTATTTTTTTAACTGCACAATCAATTCCGGGATGTAGACGCGGGCCGCGATTTTGTCTAAGTTCATTCCGTAGATAGTGACGGCCGGTACTCGAGCGATCAGAGATTTCTTCGGTGTGCAATGCGCGTAAAGTCGCACGTAGTCGACGTTGCTGGGCGTGTGCAACTTAAGAACCTTCTCCGACACAAATTGCTTGTAAAAAACGCTGACCCACCAGTCGGGATTCGGCGCGAGTTCCGGCGACACCATGGCGTAATAACCGCCGAACAACGACTGCCTTGTCACGACGTTCAACCCCGCGCTGGCGCTATATCCCAATTTGTCCAACCAAAGAAATCCAGCCACAAATCTGTCAGATAATTCGGGCGCTCCGCCGCCGAAAGCGGTGCTGGTTTCCGCTGCAAATTAATTTTCACTCGGTGCAAAACGTTTTCTTTGTAAAAAAAAAAAAAAAATGTACTGCAAAAATAAAAACGTGCAGTAAAAACAAAAACAGTTCCACATTTAAAAATAAAATAAAAACAGCTGGAAAACGAGAAGTAGAATTGTTTTTTTTTTTTCGAGAAATTTCCCAATTTCAACCTACACAACCACATGGGAACGTTTCTTCCCGACGCGGCGACGAATCTCCCCATGGATTTAATTTGCTGCGGCAACACGTCAAACGTAAGAGGATTCACGAAGTCCTCGACATTAGCTTCTCGTCCGTTCAAATAATACTGATGCCAGCTGACGTAATCCACAACGTTTTTCTGACTCCTGAGAAACATCTCGGCATATTTCTCTCCTTTATTCTTGTCTCCGACATGATTCACTTCTGGCCCGATAACGATGCTATCGGCGTATCCCGCCTTGTCCAATAATTCTCTCAAACGATCGTAATCCTTCGCAAGCTCTGTTGCACCGATCGTCACGTTAAACACGTGTCTGAAGGAATTTGGTTCTAAAAACAAAAACATATTATTTATCACGTACGCATCACACTATAATACTTAATATGTTAAATTTGTGTTCACACCATTTCCCAATTGCCAGTCCAATTCCATGCTCTGACTCTTAGCAAACGCGATAATTTCTTGAGCGTTAGTATCGTTCCAAGATCCATCCGGATTTCGCAGCAACACATTTAGATCAAAAATCATTCGCAACTCGGACTTCAGCGCGAAATCGTAGACAGCGAGCAAATCCGTACTGGTAATGGTAAAGTTGCTGATATCCTGACCGTCCACAGGACTGGGTATCTTCTCGGAAAAACTCTGTTCCACCTGAAGCATTGAATTGAAGAGACAATAAAAGTTGTCAATAAATCGATACAAGTAAATAATTTTCTAAAATAAAACAATTAAAACTTATTTCCATTAGAGAAAAAGTTCTAAACTTTCCAAATTGTGAAAATCCCGAGTTTTAACATTCACGAGATTCTTAACAACTACAGAGACCCACCTGATTCTGATTAAATATCAGACAATCGGCAGACGTTCCGCCCACTCTGACGTAAGCTGGACGTAAGTGACGACCTAGATTGACGAATTTTTCTTTGCCGACAGGCAATTCCTTCATTTGTCGAAGTAGAGACGTGTCAAGGCCGAGCGACAAGAACTTGTCGGAAGTAACGTGCAAAAGAGGCTGTTTTTTATCGAAGTGCAACACATGGGTGCGAACCGGTGGGTTCAAAGTTGGAAAAGGACATATGTAAAAGGATAGTATCACCAGTATCAAGAACACGGCGAGTCCGATGGAACGACAACAAGAGGGTATTCTTGAATCTGTTGAACCTGTGACAAAAAAAAGAAATATCATATTCGGAATTATATGCGAATTAAAAGTCCCGACGACTTGAATTACGCGGAGCTCAGCTGTGCGTGTATTTTAAAATTTAAATCTCCTACGATCACGTGACACAACAAACTTCCGGTAAAGATGGCGACATTCGCTGTTTTGTAACGATTGTCGGCAATTAGCGGCGTACACAAAACAATTAATGATTTGTGACAAGTTGAGGTGTTTTTATTTTAGAAAACTGCAAATTGTGTGTTCTTGTTTGCAAACAAGAGTAGTACGCTTTTTATTTTCTTGAACACGTACGTTCTTGGACGTATTCTTTCAACTTACCGCTTCCGACGAGAATGTCATTTCGAGGATCATTTAGTTTTTGATAGAAAGGACTCTTGCCCCAATTATTGTTTACAAAGTAGCTCATTGTCGTCTCGGAGAGAGGAGGATCCAACGGGAACCAACAACCCGGTCAGAGGTCAGATCAACGTTGCGAATGTCAATGTCATGCGCGCAAATTTGCCGACTCTTTTGTATGTCAGCAGCGAACAATTGACAATGGGAGTGATCGGATTTCCGCTTCGCGCGAAATCTGAAACTTAACTACGTTGAAGTATGTCACAGTTTTACGAGAGTTGAGTCACTTTCGGCGAGAAGCGATTTAACGTCACTTCGGTCCAATCCATAACAATATATTGGACGAGTGCATAAGTTTTGCGACAGAAAACTGGATCCTAAGTAATTCTTTTATTTATTAAAACCGATTCTCTCGTTCTACCAAGTAATCTCCGTTGTTTTCTATTTTTCTTCGCTGTTGTACTTGATAAAACGAAAACAAATCGTTTTTGATCAAATTGATCCAAAACTCGGTCCAATATGATTTTTCCAAATTTTAACTCTCTGCTCCGAAAATTTTTCTTTAGCAGATTTCGTGCACAAAAAAATATAGAACGCGCGCCACACACACACACACAATAGTTCTCGAGTGACGAATTATTAATTACATTTTATTTAAATTCGAACATTATTTATTTCTTTTTGGATAAAGTGTTTTTATCTTGTCGGACATCCTGTTCTGTGTCATCTGTTTGTTCATAGTGATTGGTGGATAATAAAACTGTCCGAGGACTCTTGAAACACGCATCAGTCAATTTTTGACCAGACGTAGATGGAATTTCACATTTCGCGACGACGACGTTGTTCGCTGTACAAGTCGCTTCTCCGATGCTCGCACTTGGTATTTCCCTATTGACAAATTGTTCTCTCGTTTTCTCAGATCTTGCTCGACATCGACAGTGTCTTCGTGTTTTGCGAACTACCAAGGAGAAATACAGAATTTATTATAAAATAAAGAGATTCACGCAATTTAATGTTCTGCGGTAATTAAACTTATGTACGTTATTTCTCCTCACGTCCAAAAGAAAAAAATCAAACATACAGAACTGTAGATTTTCAACGAAATAAAATATGAGAACAATGTGAGAAAGTTTACCTGTAGGCGAAGAAGCGTGAATGCTCGAACTTGAGCTGGAACTCGAAGAATTAGGAGCGCGAGATCGACTTCTATTTGCAGCGCGATTTCTATAGGATATGCTGCGACGGCGTTTCCGTCTCGTTGTTAATCTCTGTCGCGATTCCGTATTGCTAAGCTCGTCCTCGGCCCAAAACTGCCAATCGACATCGCTCGATCTCGACAGAGCTAGAGTTGAAGGCTTTAAATATACGATTCGAGTTACATGTATATTCTAAAAAAAAAAATTCTCTAACAGAGAAAGTCTTTTTTCTCAAGTAGAAAAAGACACAATGTTGAAATATATTTTCCGTATATTTCACACATATAATAACGTAATCTAATCTCGCTCGCAAAAAAAAATTTGACATCAACAAACGGAATCTCCCGTGTTGCGGGAATTGTATGTATCGCACCGAATGTGATTTGTTGTTCTGTGCTTTGCTCACGTTTTGTTCAAAAATACCGGAAACTTGACCACTTCTTCTTTTCTCTCCGATTCCAGACGTATCTCGATGATTCTCATAACCCTCCTCTTCAGAATTACACGCCGGTTTTACGTCTCCCCACGAACAATATCCCATTTTTGTTTTCACTCAATATTCAGATGCCGCACTGTCCGAGTGACGACATCATCGCGCGTCTCTTTTATGGATTAAATGTTTAAATATACTGGTGAATTTTTATACGAACCGATCGCAATAAATATCAGTCGGTCAATCGCAAGAGTTACGCGAGATGTGTAGTGTTTTTTTCGCGATTTGCGATATTACCGTAACGTAAATTTAAAAAATCATTTTGTGTATAAGTTAATTCAGTTAAAACGCAAAATTGACTGATGTTATGAGTTAATTTTTTATTTCATTTTCGTGAAGTACAACAGAAGCGTAACATGTACATACATGTTAACATCTTTGACAGCAGAAATTAATTCATCTTTTGTTACATATCCTTTTTTTTTTTTATCTAGACTCAAGGCGATAAAGAGAAAAAAAATCCATAAAGAAGGAAAAAAGTTACATTATTGAGAGAAAATCTTATAATTTTTGATGATGTGAAAATGAAAGAGAAAATCTTATAATTTTTTTCCTCAAGCTTTTCTCACGCGCTCGATTAAATTTAAATTTAGTTGATACACATATATGTATATACATTATATATTAGACATACGTGTTCAATTTAATTATACTAGATACACCTAACCAACCTTCTGTTCACTAATATGAGAGATAAAACTCGCTGTAAGTCTATAACTCTCAAGTGTGTGCTATTCTCTCGATGTCTGAAAAATACAAACTGCAAATTTTCTCGCTCGCACTTTCTTTTCTTCGCGACCACCGTTAGACACACAAATTTAAAATCTTCATACACGCCGACTCGTTAATTGCGATTTTTTTTAATCGTTCTCGGACTTTCGACGCTTCTTCGAGCGCGGATTGTCGGTGTCGTGAGGACTCGGAGTGATGTGGCTTCGTTTTCGCTTGATATTGCTCTCGCTCGCGTCGCTGCTACTATTCGCAGCCGTTCTGGTCTCTCTTCGAAACGTTCCCTCCCCGGTTACTTGAACTAATATCTAAAATTAAATGGCAATTACTATCATTCAAAAGCATACGCATATCATTTTTAAAAGAAAACATTCGGTTACTACAGACAAAATACGTTTAGAAATTAAAAATTACGTCGTGCGTTTACATCAAATAAAGATCGTCGTTCTTTTTCTTACCTGCATGTGCTGCAAACACTCCTCTTGCATCGATATTGCCATCTTATAAATTACCGTATCGTGTTTGTTGTACATGATGGCGTTCTGAAACATAAGCATGACGTCTCGCTGAAAGTGCATGGTGGATCTGATCGTGCCGTTGTCGATGTTCTTCTTGATGGTCGACAGATCCATCGGTCGGAAGATCACCGAGTGATATCCGGGCGCTTGGTCCTCCGTGATCGGTCTGAGGAACACCGACGCGTACTTGTGCGTGGCCAGACGGTTGTAGACGAGCATCACCGCCTTCTTCCAGGCGCGGTAATCCGCACCTTCTCCCGTACTCTCGTTCTCCGTCTCGCTGTCCACAGCCACGGTCTGTCTCTTCGAATACGTCTTCATCGCCCGTCCGCTGCTCAGCTTGCTCAACGAAGATTCCTCCTCGTCCAATTCGCCAGATTCCTCCACGACCGCCGACTCGGTTTCTTTCTTCACACTTTGCTTGCCTTCCGCGTTTTTCTTGGTCGTTTCTTCTTTTTCCTCTTTTTCCTCCTTTACCTCTACCTTGATCTCTTTCTCCTCCTCCTCTTCTTTCACACTTATCTTTGGCTCTTTCTTAATTTCTTCGGTGGAACGGAACGACGACAATGGTTTATCCTCCAAAGCCATTTCGGTTTTCAATTCTTTGGATTTATTTTCTTTGCTATCGGATTTGTTGTTCGCTTCGGCGTTGACCACTTCAGTTTCAACGTCAGGTTCGCTCTTAACGGTTACCACCTCCGTGGTATCTTCGATCGTTTGAATCGGTTCGGTGCTGATTTCCTTCTTTATTTCTATTTCCTGTACAACGGAACTCGTAGTATCTTTCGAGGAATCCTTGACCTCTTCCTTTTTAACTTCTTCCGTAATTATCTCTACCGTTTCTTCGACGGTCTCCTCCTCTTGCGATTTCACCGAGAGTTCCTCCTTCACTTCAGCAATCTCTTCTTTGATCAAAACTCCGTCTTTGAACGATTCCAAGGATTCGGCGCTCTCAACCGTATTTTCAATTATCTGTTCCTCGGCTACAGTTTTCTTCTTGATCTCCGAATTCTGACTGCTCTCGTCGTCCTCCAAGATCAAGCTGATGTCCTGCGACTTCTCCGTGTCCTCGGCACTGGGCATGTCGTTGGTCACCTCCGAGGAAACACTGACGATCTCCGCGGACGGCACGACGTCTTGCTGGTCCCCTGTAATTTTCGCCAAATGCATTTCTAATTGATCTAATCCCGCGTTATCTTTACCTTCATTGTCCTCCGCAGGCTCCTTCTGCTCTTTGACGCTCTCGGATGATTCTTTATTGTTGGGCACGATCACTTCTATTTCCTCGTCTTCCTCTTCGTCTTCCTCAGCGACTTCCTCCTCCACGGTCTCCTCTATCGTCTCCTTGGCCTCCTTGTCCAGAAGTTTAGAATTGGTTTCTTCCTTCTCTGCGTTCGACGCAACGTCGTCCACAGGCTTCACTTCGACGTCTACGTGTTTCTCTTCCGTCGAGACGGTCTTATTGTTCTCCGCGTCTTTGGTTTCCAATTTCGAAATTCCAAGCTCCTCCGACAGATCTACTTTCTCATCGGAAGTACTCGTCTCGGATTTCGTCACCTCCGGCGGATTCGATACAGTTTCCGTGATCTCCGTGACGATGATTTTGGGCTCTTGCGATTCTATGGCCACGGTCCCGATGATCTCGGCAATGTTTGACGTGCTGGAGTCGATCTCCTCAATCGCCATTTCGCTCTGAGGTGAATCGGACAGCGACACCGCCTCGTCCACGTCTCTTGATTCTGGTTTCACTTCTGCCGTCACTATCGGAATGCCCACCGCTTGCTGAGACACACCACCGATAACCGCTGGTGTCACTGTCGTTGTTGTGCTATTCGTACCCAGAGTTTGCGGACTGCCAGTGATCTCTTCCTTGATCAACTCCTCGATGTCGCCGATGATCTCATTTATTTCGTCTTTGTCCATCACGTCCACCATTATGTCTTTTATGTCCTTTCGTATCACGTCGTCGATGTTTTCGATAATCTGCACCATGTTATCCGACGCGGATATATTCGTCGGCGCGGTAGCGATGTTGGCAACCGTAGTTGCTGTTGACAGTGTCGTTGGAATCGTCGCTACTACCGCCGTCGCGTTTGTCAGCTCATTTTGTACAGCGACCCGATGAACTTGAGGTTGCGGCTGCACCGTTTGTTGAAAGTTGTTGTGAATTATTGCACTAGTAGACACTGCCACAGGTACTTGTTGTTGTTGTTGTTGTTGTTGTTGTTGTTGTTGTTGTTGTTGTTGTTGTTGTTGTTGCTGCTGCTGTTGTTGTTGCTGTTGCTGCTGCTGTTGCTGCGCGTGAGAAACAATGGGAGTCTGCAGATTGGGAAGAGGCCCTCTCTGTGCACTAGTCGGCATTTCCAACAGCATCGAGAGCGTGGGCGCACCTACGGACGGTCGTTCCGTAGACGCATTCGCACTGGCAATCGCCGTTGAGACCAATTGCTGCAGCTGCGGCGACACGTTCTGCGCTAACTGCGCATTTAATATCTTGGGACTAGATCCGAGTAAGCTGGTGATAGTTGGAGAGGTCACCGAAACAGAATTCACCGGAGTGCTCGGGAAGGATTGAATGGTCTGAGTGGTTGGACTGGGAGATTTTAGTAAACTTGTTAACAACGGAGATCTGCCACCTCTGTTGCTCTTTTTCTCATCATCGTTTTCTGCCGGGGTTTCTGTCGGTGTAACCGAAGGTTCCTGTGTCGTCTCCATCGTGCCATCTGCGATCTTGCGTGTCTGATTTGGAATTGAAACAGGCGAGCTCATTTCCTGTTTCTGTTGCTGCTGACGTTTCAACAACCACATCATGCGAGTTCGTTTCGCTAGCTCGGCCTCACGCTCCTCCTGCTCCATTTCGCGCCACATCTTTTCCAGCTTCTCATTAGTAATTGAGTTCGACACGAATAAGTTGAGATCCGTTTTAAGCCGCAGATACTCATCTTTCTGATTAGCCAGACTCTGAGTAAGTTCTGCTACTCTTTCTTGTGTCAATTTTCGAACTATAGATTCACTGGTAGTTTCGCCGCTTTCCCGTTTTTTTCTTTTTGGTATGTTAGTATTCTCTAGTAAAGATGCGTACTGCATGGCACATGACTTTTGTGAGAACCAATCTGGGGGTCTTGACAAATCTTTTTCAACTAACGGCTTCAAAGTTCGAGATACGGTCATCCAATTTTGATCTCCGGATTTCAGTACACTTGAAGCAAGACATAATTGTTCTCGCACAGTCCATGCGTCAGGATATATACGTTTAAGTTTCAACCCTGAAATTTATTTTACATTTTTTTAGATTCTACAATCAAATTGTAAAAACTAAGCATGAATGTAATCAAATATTCAATAGCATAAGTTCAATATTTGAAAAGAATATTTAACCCATTTGCATCACAAAGAAAAGTCAAAAATTCGTTCTTGTCACCAAAATTTTTTTTTTGGCCTGGTATAAATAATATGCGCTTTGGTGATAAATGCCAAAGTAAAATGCGCGCATATACGCGCTCTGGTGATAGTGGCCAGGCAAAATGCGCACATATATGCGCAAATATTATGATGCAAATGGGTTAAAGGACATAAAATCTCTCTTAGTTGAAATTCAATGTATTTATTAGCTTTTGAATCTTCTACGAGCTATTGGAGATATGAAATGGGACCAAGGTAATGCATCTCAATTATCGTATAAAACTTTGAATAAAAATACTGAAATGACACAACGCTAACAAACGTACAAAAAGAGTAACTGTCAAATCTTTTAAATCAAAATATTTGCAATATACTGACTTGACTTTGACATTAAATTAACCTCTCTGACGTTTAAGCTGTGCACTTTTCTGAAAACTACAAAATCTATGAAAATTTGTACGCACTTTCCTGTAACGAGGCCATTGCCGAAGTGGTTTTTTTTGATATTTATGAAATAATCTTGTTGTACAAATAAAGAATTTGTGATGATTTTTGAACACAAACTTGTTTTTTTTGGCGCGTTTACGTTCACCCACCACAAAATTTTATGTGTCAACGTTAAGCCCGTTCCGCACAAACGCAAGTATCCAGTCTCGTGGAATTGACCAATCGCAAATCAGTCAATCGGCCAATATGATTGGCCAATTCCGCGAGACCTGCCGCTTTTATAAGCTGTCAGATAAATGTCAAACTCTTCCCTACACTCTGTTCAAAGAGAGAAAATACCTGTAGCAGACGAAAACTCGTCTTGTTTTTCGTGTATCTCTCTTATCTCTCCTACCAAAAAGCTTCCCCACTCCGCAGTGCTGTACTGTTGTACGGAAGCGGATGCTCTCAATTTCCAATATTGGCAGTAAATATTGAAACACAGTCAGTGAGACATCGGACCGTTATTCTTAAATAACGATCGAACGATTTGATACGGTGTGACAAGTAGAGGCAGAGTTTTTCTGTCAGTGAATTATTAAGAAAATCTTATATGATAAAAGAAGAATTAAATATCTAAGTTTTTTTATTATCGTCTCCTGTGAAGAAAAACAAACGGGACTAGAAGAAAAACAAACGTGAACAACGAAAAATTAATAATTTATTGGCAACATATTGGATATTGGATGTACTTCAATATACTGGAGTTAGGTTAGGTTAAGTGTACGATACTGAGACCACGTTGGATTCAAAGAGAGAAGAGAATCCTGCGTATAGAAGAGAAGAAAAGCGAACAGAGTGGGGATAGCGCGTTGCGCGCGGGATTGGCGGGATATTCGCCGGCAGCCAATGGCTGTGGAGTAGGCGGGCTTTCTAGTAGAAAAGGTGCGCGAAACGAGTTTTCATTTATTCGATTTGTATTTTCACTTTCAACCCAGAATACAAAGGTTCACGGCCGATTTCTTCATACCTCTCGATATAGCTATCCTCTGGATAAATTCCTCTGAGAACCAATAAGAAGAACCAATTTTGGGAGATATCTTCTAGATAAAGTTATCGAAAACTTATCTAGAAGTGAAAAAATTGGCAAAAGTAGAAAACTGTCAAAGTAGAATACAAAATAAGACCTGGTTTATGCGGGCCTAAGATTTTAATATTTCTGTTTATTAACAGAAGCATAACAGAATATAACAGAAGCATTGAAATCCTATAGTTGAACTGTACCAATTCCGGCATAAATTAACAGTTATTACCCGCATAAACAAGGCCAAAACAAGGCCTTATTTGCCCGCATAAACCAGGTCTAACTCTCGTACAACGCGGTACAAATGAACAACGTGGTTTCGATATAACTTACAAATTGTAGTAAAGTGAAGTTTAATCTCGTTTTTTTTAATAAAACGCGCTTGTGCGAGCCTCTTACTAACGCGGCATTTCTGTGGAACAGAATATTCGCGTTATTACGAGAGTTACCTCTGTGAATGTATGTATTTTCTATAAATTTCTATTTAAATATCTCTATATTTATGCGATTCATCGGCGTTTTACACATATACGCCATTTTTCTTAAACAAGATGTCGCGCTTGTGGAGTCTCAACTCAATTAAAAAAACAATTCAGCGCCCACGCGAGAAACCCCGCTTCTACGTTCGCACTTTGCCGTCTATGGTTGATGAGATTGTCCGCGGTGCGGCACCTAGCAGCGTGCGCGTGAGACTTGACGAAATGCGGTTTTGTGTCCCCGGTGTTGCTCGTCAGGTCCGCTCGAGCTACGTCGATTAGTGTATATCCACCGCTTTGCACATAGCACCGGGAGAGTGCGTAGCGTTCAATGAAAAAAAAAATGGTAGTTATTTGGGTGTAGTCGGGGAGAAAATTTTCTGCAACACCAATGTGAGTACCGGCTGGCTAAACGGGATTTCCAAGTGCTGTTTGTCGATACATCGCGGGGCTAGTATGACCGGGTGCGTGTCGGAGGTAATGAGAATACGAGCGAGCGGACGGACGCTCGTACTCCCTCGCATGAAAGCCCAAGACCGAAGTAGGTACTGTTGGTTCGTGCATCTCTCTCTCTCTCTTTCTCTCTCTCTCTCTCTCTCTCTTTCTCTCTTTCTCTCCGCATGACATGTATCATCGCGTGGATTTTGGCGACGAGTTTTTTTCTCGTCGGTCAAAAAAAAAAAAAATAAAAAAAAAAAATAAACGGCGCCTCGCGTGACGTTATCGCGGAATGTCGTGGGTTCAGGCGCCACCTCGCCTCGTCAGCGGGTCGTGTCGTGGAACGCGCAAAAACGTGTCCCCGCGAGCGATATTTTTGGGATAGATGTCACATTATCTCGTTATATTATCTCGTTCTCTCCGCGGTGTCTTGCGGCGCCGTGCGCCGTTATGTATGTGTGTGTGTGTGTGTGTGTGTATGTATGCGTGTATGTATATGCATGCGCATTTATTTGATTTGCGAGCACCTCTATGTGTGCGGTCTTGACCGTCGAGAGCGTATTTGTGTGTGTGTGTGTGTGTTTGTCTGTGTGTACGTATGCGTGCGGTGCGCGCGTGCGTTCGTTGCACGAATGTGTGTGGTTCCTTACCCACGTCAGTAAGTGTGCGCATCGTTAAAACCGTGTATTGGTGAGAGACACGTCAAATGTGTGCGCAGTCATATACAACACAACATGTATATGGCCGTCTGGATTCTCTCTGTATTGTCGTCACATTTTTCATGCAACGTTATCCCACGATATGCCCGACAACAATCTTACGATTTTAACGGTCTTCCTGTTTTTGTTTGAAACATTTTGTCCGCATTGATAATCGACACACACGGAACGTTAACGCACATATGTCTATTTTCTTTATTAATACGTATTGATGATTCAAAGAATTCAAAGAATTCAGCTGGGTTTTGTACGGGTAAAAACCTGATCAAAAAATTTCTTCCACCGTGCAGTTTATCACCTTTGACTTTTATTATCAATTAACTGGTTCTTGTACATTGTTTGCATTTAATATCTATATTGTGTATAAGTTATCAGATATTCTAACACTCAACATATTTCATATATTAAAGTGAACATTTTAAAGTAGCAGTTTGTAAGGTCATGGCTTGTGAATATTTTATCTCTCATGGGCATACATTAAATTCTCATTTAAAAAACTTTCAATTTTCCCTCAGAGAAAAGTGAAAAATTGTTTCTAATAATTGCAAAATAGTTTAATTTGCTGTTGATAATGCGTGTGTATGTGTGTGTGTGCGCGTGCGCGCGCGCGCGCGTGTGTGTCTATGTGTGTAGAACATGTTTGTGTAATCTTAAGACTTCACGTAATATATATATATATATAATTTATAAAAAATTAAATTTATTTTTTGATTTCAGATTCTTTCAGCTCTTTGGACATTAGAAATTTTTTAACTAGTTTAGCAATTAGTACAGCAAGATACATAGTCTAAGCCAACAAGATGTTGCAGATATGGGTATTTTAACAAATATCTTGTAAGAAAGACTGCTTGTTAAAAACAAATTATCTTGGACGAAAAAGTTTTATGTTGGTTATCTTAAGAAGATAATGATTATTAACTTTATATCGAAGCGAAGCTGAGCGAGAAATAGGTGCGAGAAATTGGTGAAAATAATTTTGTGAAGTAAAATCTTGAACAAAGTTGGTTATGTGCAATGCCGAGATGTTACAATGACAGCAAGACAGTGAGTTCAGTGAACAGCAATCATACGCACAGTATAGACGATATTGTATTAACGCAATCGCATGGTTTTTCAATTGGAAGCCAGTTGGAAGCAGATGAAGATCCGCCAGTAGTTGAGAAATCCCACAGACGACTTCGGTGTGACTTGAGTCCAGTTCCAACAAGTGGAAATTCTAATTTGAACATAAAACTGTTTGGTTTGAAGGTGAAATTAATTAGATTCTTCATTATGCAAAATCAGGCTCTTTATATGAGAACTTCAATAATGAATTGTAAAGTCCATTAGAAGATGTTTTGAAGATGTTAAAAAATTTATTAATTTGTTATTTTTATTTCTTGTATTTTCCAGAGCGATAAAGGTACTCGTCAGGATCATCAGGTGAGCACTGGCTTCGGGGGGCACAGAGAAAAAGATAGGGATACTAAAAAGAAAGCAGCAATAGGCAATACAGTGCGTGGATTCCTCTCATCTGGCCACAGCAGGCAGGACAGGTATAATGATGTCTGTATCAAAAATCATGCTTTTTACATTGTCATTTGTTATGTCTTACTACTTGTTTTGTAGACAATTTTTTATTATTATTTTCTGTACGTAATCAACACATAGATGTTTTGTTTTAAATATAGAATAGTATTTTTTTATCAACTTTTTATATTATTTTTTATAAACTACTAGTTTGCATTTGTGTGTAATAGTTTGAATTTTTTTTTGATATGGTAGATACTTAATGTAATAGTATAAACTAAAAAAAGAGTTAAAGTAAAAAAAACAGTATCTTTGTCTGATAATTTTACTTGAAAAAAGTAATTTGTTTAATATCCGAGTCTTGTGCATATCATACATTCCATGCATAAATGTACTAGTGTTTTGTGATTAGCCTACTTTTACTCTAATTTAAACAGGTGAAGACATACTTAAATTAATTGCACATAACACATTTATTCATGGATAGTACTTTAAAAACCAATGCTTTTTTAAGTGTGATGACATTTAGCTGCACAGCATTATAGAAATAAATACATACACCTGTTACATGTAGAAATAACAAATGTAATGTCTCTGTGTCTGCAATAGATTAAGAGTTTTCTCTTTTACTTTTGTCTTAAGAATAATAAATATATTTAAAAGTAGAATTACTTCTCTCTATATATGTGAGAATTATTTTGAAAATTTAGATTTCAAGATTTTGTGGATCAAGAACCATGAATCTTTCAGGTATGAGACTAACAGGCAACGTACTTCGGGTGGAACTGGTGGTGGCTTATCTAGTTTATGTCCTAAGCTGGTGGCCAGTGGAGGCAGTGGTAGTCAAAGTGGTATCAGTTTAGCAGTGGGCCACATAGCCTCTCAGGAAAGCGGAGGCCCCTGTGCAGTTGTAACGACTCAAAGAATTCACGGTCACGCACATAATCATAGACGCCAAAGAAAACTATCTATTGTCACCCAAGCAGGTTCTAGTGCCAATGCTACTGGTGATAGGAAGGTTAGTTATGCTTTTAATATTTCATTATATGTCGATACGTCGTTTTGATTATGTCATTTTAATGTGTTATTAATATAGTTGAATAATTTCAATATAATTTAAAATGTCATAATTTAATATTATCGTGTGTAGGTATTATCCAGTATAAGTCGCACCTCTAGCATCTCTAAAAAACAAATTCGAACACAGCGACATGATCAGAGTACTGAAGCTTTGTCTATAAATAGTAACGGTCTTGCGGCTAGCTCGCCATCTTCCAAAAAGAAAATAATTTCCACGTTACGTATCTCTGAAAAGTCACCTGTCCAAAGTGTGAATTCTTCATCATCGTTGGATCATGAAAATGATCGTAGCTTTAGTGATGCTGAAGAAGCAATTACAGCAACGGAAAACGTACTTGCAGCACCAGGTGAAGTGTTCTCACGTCTACACACACGAGACTTGCAAAATAAAATCACGTAAACTGATGGAAAAAAAATAATAATTGTAACGATATTCTATTTTTATGTGACAGGGTCTAGTTCTACGCCTTCTACGCCAATTAGTAAAGTAAAATCCGCCAAATTCGTTAAGAATGAGGAAGAAAATGTGGAAGAAAATATTCTCGAAGAATGTACTAATCTGCAGCGAAATACTGAAGATGTACAACACGTAACTTCAAATGAGCTTGAACAACAAAATGATATGCCACTAAAACCGTCTATGGTGCACAAATCGCAGACAGCTAATCAGGAAAATATCGCAAATATTAAACAAAAATCGTTATCGAATTCTACCGCTGGCGCCAAATCGATTAGTGACCAAAAAGTTTCGAAACGTAAAAGCGTAAATTCCGCGGACAAAATGATCGAGCATCATAGTAGTAAAGATATCGAGTCGGTTAACATAGAGAAGGATTTAGATGATACTACAACAGACACCGAAGCGAATCCTACAGACAATAGCAAGGGTAAACAGGCGAAAAGTAGAAAATCTATCGGCTACGCGGATAGTGGTGATGACGGTGTGGATAAAGAGACTGCGAATGCTATGAAGACTGTATTTAGTGATGAAAGGGAAACGGGGGATAACGCGGGACCGAGTGAAGAAGTAATTAAGAGTTCGAGGTTCGTAACGTCAAAGGTACCGGAAGAAATAACGGAAGCGGAAACCAAAACGGCGGATGTAGAGAAAGAGGTGGAAGAAGAAAGGATGACTATATTCGACGACGATGGTACTAGTATCAGTGATATTGTGGCAACACAGGCGCTTCACGAATCGTTGAGTAAGTTGGGTAAAGTTCCGCCGTTAGATACTAAAATGGAAGAAGTACAGAGTACAGATTTGCAAGACAAGACGAAGGTAGAGGAGCAATCCGAGAAGGATATGGTGGCACAGGAAGAAACAGTGGAGGGTTTTATCGGTCCTTTACTCGACGAAAACTTTAAAGTTGATGAGAAATTGTCGCAGAAAACAATGGCGATGGAGGAGGTTCAAAATTTATTGAAGAGAGCTAGAGTTCAAGCTGTCGAAGACGACGACGACGAAGAAAAGGCTGTAGGTATTTCACCCGATGGAAGATTTTTGAAGTTCGAAGAGGAGATCGGTCGTGGTAGTTTCAAGACTGTTTATCGCGGTTTGGACACTCAAACGGGCGTAGCTGTAGCCTGGTGCGAATTGCAGGTTAGTAAGATCTTCTCGATAATTAGTTAATTTGTTCACCATACGCACAGAACGGCGTATGGAGTAGAACTCAAAGCTCGTTTAATCGTTAAAATATCAAAGAACCCTGCCAATTTTCGATAACTTGCTTCATAGCAATATAACTACATTTTGCTTTCAAAAAAAAAAATTGTAAAACACTATAACATCTCTATTCAAATAATTTTGTTTTTTTTTCTCAAAGATTACTTATTTGTCACACAGGAGAAAAAGCTGAATAAAACAGAGAGACTGAGATTCAGAGAGGAAGCTGAAATGTTAAAGGGATTACAGCATCCGAATATTGTAAGATTTTATGATTATTGGGAAGTCACACTTACCCGTAGAAAATATATTGTGCTAGTCACTGAACTTATGACATCAGGAACACTGAAAACGTAAGTTCTTTTAGTTGCTCGAAAAAAAGCTTTAATTTAATATGTATTATACGCTTTAACTTTGCCATATTGTAAGATATTCAAGGTACAGCGTTTGAAGGTATTACAGGTATTTAAGAAGATTTAAGAAGATCAATCCCAAAGTACTGAAGTCCTGGTGTCGACAGATCTTGAAAGGCCTGAGCTTCCTTCATTCTAGATCACCACCGATTATCCATCGTGATTTAAAATGTGATAATATTTTTATTACGGGTACGACGGGAAGCGTGAAAATTGGCGATTTAGGTCTTGCGACATTGAAGAACCGGAGTTTTGCGAAAAGCGTTATCGGCACGCCAGAATTCATGGCGCCTGAAATGTACGAAGAACATTACGACGAATCGGTCGATGTGTATGCGTTTGGAATGTGTATGCTTGAAATGGCCACAAGTGAATATCCATATTCCGAATGCACAGGACCAGCGCAAATATACAAACGCGTAGTATCGGTGAGTGTACAATATCGTTGAATTTCTACGTTTTAATCTTATATTTTCTTTGACAAGTTTGTAGTAGTGATATTTTTTACATATTGGTACAGTTAGTTCTAGAAAAAAGACATTTATCTTTTTAAATCGGGCGTGAATATAAATTACAGCACGTGATAAAACATAATGGGTAATTTGACAATGCTTTGTTTATATTACCTACAGGGTGTTAAGCCACAGAGCTATGACAGAGTTGAAAATCCGGAAGTGCGCGATATCATAGATTTGTGTATACGTCTGAAGAAAGAAGAACGACCGCTCGTTAAGGATTTGCTCAATCATGAGTTCTTCGCTGATGATGTCGGATTGAAATTGGAAATGGTCTCGCGTGATTCGGCAGTTGCAGATCCCGAGCTATCGCGTGTTGAATTTCGATTGCGCGTGCTGGATCCCAAAAAACGCACTAACAAACACAAAGAGAATGAGGCGATCCAATTCGATTTTGACATACAAGCCGATAACGCAGAGGAAGTGGCGTTAGAAATGGCGAAATCCAGTCTCATATTGGAAGATGACGCTAAAGCAGTAGCCAAAATGTTAAAATCACAAATTAGCGCTTTGCTGAGAGAAAGAGAGGAACGTAAAGCCAAAGAAGAGAAGGAGCGCTTGGACAGAGAAACGGTCACAGCAACCGATGCGGCTAACACCGCGAACGCTGAGAACTTGTTGCAGCAACAGTTGTTACTTCAGCAGATGCAATTGCAGCAGCAGCAGCAGCAACAACAAATTCAATCTAATATCAATATGCAGATGCAAAATCAAGTTCCGATGCAATTGCAGCAATCGCAAATGCCCATTCAACAGCAACAACTGCAATCTGCTGCGCAACCGGCTCAACAACATACCTTGCAACCTCAGCAAGTTCAGTTGGTTCAACAACAACCGATAATTCAACAGCAAACGTCAGTTGTGCAACCCCAGCAAGCGCAACAGATGCAATATCAGCAGCAGATACAGCAGCAGTATCAAGCGGCACCACCGCCTACGCAGCAGCCGCAGCAGCAATATCAAGCGGCACCACCGCCTACGCAGCAGCCGCAGCAGCAGTATCAAGCGGCACCACCGCCTACGCAGCAGCCGCAGCAGCAGTATCAAGCGGC